GCACAGCAGCACTCTATTGTGTGGTGAGGCTTGAACGGCCGGATATTGCATATGCGGGACGCGATACATCTCCAAGAGTAGCATTCGTTGCAATGTGAGCTGCACGCTGCACGTCCCCCAAATGCACCGAGGAGTCGCCTGCCATCAACAGAGTCGACTTCACATGTTGCGCCTTGATTGAGCGGGAAACGACCAATGTTTGATGCCGCAGCGGTCTCGTACGACCCGGCTTCTGTCCTATCGAGGCGCAAGAGAAGGAGAACCCAAAAAAAAAAGACGCACGGCTGAGCGCCGGGGCTGATGACCCTTTCTTCCTCGGAGGGCTTGCTTGTTCAGCCAACCAACAGACCGGCGCACAACTCCATGGAACCGGGCGCGGGAATGTACTGGTATTCCACCGGCCTTGTATTACGGACTATAATGACCAGAAACGTGAGGGGGCCGGCCATGACGTGAACTGGGAATTGATACCGTCATGAAAAACAGGTTGCACACCATCCAGCCCCGGCGGAGCGGCGGACGACGGCGCGGCGGCGGTGGCGGAGTGGTGCGCCACCGCGCCGCCACCTATCACGGGTACCTGGGCCACAAGTTGCTCAAGAACTATTCAGCTAAGTTTGTGCTGGTTTTTGTCTCTTGTTCCCAATTGTAATGCTTGTTCCTCCCTATCGTAGTGGTGGTCGCAGGCTACGAGGTACCTTGCATGAGAGGGCCGATATTGGAGGGTCGAGAATCACGGCGATTAGTTCGTTGCGGCGCTGGATGATGGATGGGCCGGGCATGCTTCCAAAACAGGACGACCAGAAAGAGACGCATGCAGTTTATTATTCTCGTGTGGCTTTTATTTCCCAATATCGCTTCTGCGTCCCCCCCAGGGCTGACGCCGAGCTGTTCATGACCGGGTTCTCACCGGGGCCGTCGTCGGCCGTCGCTTCCGCCTGTCCAATGGCCTTCTTTTTGTTTGCTAGTGATGGTGAGGGCTGCAGCCATGCCATTGACCGCGTACATAGCAATGACTGCCTCGATTATGCCGTAGCTGAGCGAGGTTCGGGGCTTTTTTCCCGCACATTTTTCATAACTAGAGCAAGCATCACATCATCCACTGTCGCCGATCAAAAGGGGGGGGCCAAGCTTTGCTCTTTGTGGTAGTGCCTCACATGTCAAAAGACTGAATCAATGACGAAAGTGTCTTTCTTTCCATTTGCATCAACGAATTCCGGAATCAGGAAAGAGGGAATCTGTATTACAAATTACACGCATTCATTATTCATGTATTCGGCAACATTGTACATACCGACAACGCTAGTTAGGGGGATGGGCCGCTCCCGTGCCCTACGCCAATCGACAAGCAGACATTGAGTTTTCATGACTGTTGCTTTGTACTTTATACGTCCGTCTGTGGACAGTGGCCCGGCTGCGGGATTAATCCGGCATCCGGAGGCAGAGTTTTTGAGTACAATGCGAGAAAGAGAAGAGAGAAGAAGAGAAGAAGCCCAAAGCCCAAAACTCCACCGACCCGTGGTCATCACAACCTTCTAGACCGCGGTCGGTGGAACCGGCCCAACAAGACACTAGCAGACTCGGACAGTGGATAATGTACCCTTTGGCTGGTGGACGCCATGGTCATGTACTCTGATTCCCGAAGCCAGTTGTTACTGTGCTGTTACTGGCTACCGGCTGGTCCATGGGCTTACTCGCGGTGCCCAAGTTGCCAGCGGCTGGCTTGTACATACATACGCTCTTTCTACGGATTACAGCGGATTGCGTTACCGTGGCCGAATCACGGAGGACAAGAGTCACACACTCCGTTTCTTGGCACCCATTTGCAAAGTCCTTTGTTGCCCGCCGCCGTTCTGTCCTCAGGCAGCCAGTCACACTGTCACGGCCTGAGCACCGAACCTGCCTGATTGGGGACAGCGAGGCCCCAGCATCTGCCGAGACATCGGCCGTCGCCAGTCAAAATGGCACAAGCCGTGTGTCTTCTGATGGAACGCGCAGGACAAGGACCGTAGGGGGGTGGCCTTCGGTAAGAAGACTCAAAACTGTATCGCTGTCGGGCGTTGGCGACCACCGGTCGGCGTTGGCAACTGCCGAAGAAAGCTACGACTTAGTAGAACAAGTCGCTCACGTTTCTTCCAAGAGACGGCCGGCCAAGGCAATACCATACATACATACAGGTCGCGTTGCACCAACGCCGTGTTGAAATAGTCTGGTATCACGAACCGGACGCGAAATCCTTGGCCTGAATCGATCCCCCGCCCCCTCCATGCGTTCTGCCCCCTCAAAAGTTTAAAAACGACTTGGAAACTTGGCCCTTTTTTTCGGAGAGTTGTACAGATGTGTCTACATGGTGTGAGAGCGAGCTTGCTTGCCGCCGGCAGGCCCGGTTGGGTGGTGTCTCTGGCGCCTGCGCCGTCAGATGTGACGGCGCAAAGGTACATGCGATCGCTTTTTCGCGCCCAACGTGATGTACGTGCCAACTTGGCATATCAGGCGGGCCGTTGCTAATAACTGCTGTTTGACGGCGCCTCGAGCAAGCTGCAGACTGTACCAGCAGGTTGTACAAGCAAGACCTCCTACACTATCGCCCGGCGTCGTGCTGCACCTTTGATGTTGTCGTGACCTTTGGAATACTCGTTCAAACTGGTGACAGATACCTCCCTCCTTGACACCCCCATCCGCACGTTCGCGTTGACTCATCACCTGCGCGCGTTGCTGGATGCGTAACCAATGATGCCACCAAGAAAATGAAAAATTCCTCTCAAATCTGCTCCGGTGAACTCTCATCCTCTGTGTACCAGGCCAGCACATGCAAAGGCCGCACTCGTAGCACAATCTCCCCGCGCGTCCTCATGTAATGTCGCCTTTGCAGGCACTTTCCGCTTTCCCAAACACCGCACGCCGTGCTTCCGAGACACGTGGATGGAGTCACTCGCAGACGTTGCACGCGCCGCCGAGTCCTGGCTCGTCCTCCCGTCGTTGACGTGGCCGGGCATTCAGGCCCTGTCGTGCCAGGTCTGGCTGCGAGGCGTACCCTGTAGCCGAGACAATGAACATGGTTACTGGCTGGTGCCACCAGTATTGGGCTCAGGGAGTTTGCAGCTCGGAGATAAAGCAGGCTATTGTCTCGTATTGATCGATTGGAGTAAATCTTGGAGTGTTGTGCGCGAGACGTGGCCCGTGGTGTTAGTTGGCTGCGAAGCTCCTCAGCACGACCAAGTGGCTGTCTAGACATGCTGCTGTCGTGGCAATGACACGAGCGTCACGTTAAGAAAAGCCACGCAAAGGTGTTGTACTTGTATCATTTAGCTGTGGTAAAAATGCTCCATCCACCAACAGGTCTGGTTCTCGCCAAGATGACGATGAGATTGCGGTGAAGGTAATAATAGATGCTTCTAATTGACTCGTGGCACCCACTGTGGCAGCCATCATTGGCTTACAGGACGCACAAAGATGAAGTAGACAAACATGTACAGACTGAGCGGTGTGTTAACACAGAATTTTATTCAGTTGAGACTCCTGTCATCTTGATCATGTGCGGTCGAAATGTCGACCATCGTTGGGAACAAGGCAGCGAGCGGCGTGCGCTGAGCCGAAGGAAAGACAAGAAGCCCGAGCCTTATCGCTGATGCTAGGTCTTGACGACTTCAAATAAACAGTTAAATGTGCGAAAGACTCGAAAGTAAAACCAATTCGCTTTGTGACTATGTATGAGAATCTTATGCGTACCTACACCATCTGAAAGCGTCATATGCGATGAGAGAAGCTGGTTCGGGAAAAGCTGGGCTCCTCGCGCGCGAGACAATCCTGTCTAGTTTACCACGACAAACAGTACCGCTCGCAATAAAAAGAGCTACCCTCACCAAGGTAAGAGAATGACGGCGATGTGAGAACTCCCTTATCACTGGTCGTTCAAGGCTGTACATGATGGCGTCTTCGCCGAATAGCTTGGTGTCAACGTTTGTTGGCTCCCGCCTTCCAAGTAGGCTTTGGTTTCTGATAACGATTGATGCTACAGGTCAAACCAAAATGTAAAAAAATGTTGACACGGGTTTCTCAAGAACCCGACTGAGGAGTGGATGGGTTGAAACCATGGCCGACGCAATAGGCGGCGGCGGTCGGGCCGGTCATATGGATACGAGAAGGAAACATGATGCGTATTTTATTTGCAGAAAAAGAGAATGCTACTGGGGAGGAGATGGTATGTAGCAGAAATTGATTATATTGAGCATGCCTGGGCGTACTGACAAAGCGCCTCTGGTAACGCACACTTTCTTGCGACATTATCCAAAGAAACATATCCAACTCTAGGCCTTCGCGTCCGCGTCAATTCAACCCAACCTACAAAGGGCAATCAAGAGGCTCCGAGCTCACCACCTCGCTGGCAAGTCGTTTCAGGCGGCATTGTTCGCGCTTTTCATCGGCCGTGGCGTGCAGTCGTTCTTTCAGCCCACGCCGATCATTGGCTGCGATATGTCGGCATCGTACTCTAACACGTCTGTCCGGGTACCGCCTTGCGGATGCTCGGAGCCATCTGCAGACTCGACAAATTGGTGGAGGGTACCGAGGCTGGACAGAAAGACACAGCGTATCGGTGTGTGGTCTGCTTGGCAATGCCAACCTCCAACTGGGTTGTGTGGCCCGCAAAGGCTTCCAGTAGAGCTTTCGGCACTAGAATACCCCTGTAAGTAAAGATTCATAGCTTTTCGTCGCGAATTACAGGACTCAGCCGTTGCCGGTGAGAATAATGTCATTCCAATTGCAGAAGGAGATGGTGAGCTTGAAGCCATCACGGGATTATCAAAATAAATTGGTGGAGGCTCGAGGGACACCAGTAAGCTAAGTAAACCGGTCCATAAATGCGTTTATATTTAAAACAAGAAAACTACTCTCAAATAGCAATTATTGAAAAGAAGGTGTGCTGGAGCAGCATGGTAGGCTGATACTACTCTGTGCTCAACTGATGCCCTTGCATCGGCCCATATGTTGAGTAGGAAGGATCACACGCTGGGGACCTCTTGTGTCGAGCAGTGAATGCCTCCGCCGAGGAAGGGCAGCTCCCGCGCCAAGACAGTTTCCACGTCGCGGTCCTTGTACAGGCCACGAATGATGCTCAACGCCGCCGCATCCGCCTTGTCGTCTCCAAACTGGGGAAAGATGACGCCGCCATTGACAAGCAGATAGTTGACATAGGTCAGCGCCGGCGAGTCCTCCCTGCCCGCGTTGATGGCGTCAATCTCCTTCTTGCTTAGCCCAACCGCGTTCATATCCGCCTCCACAATCTCCGTAATCTGCAGACGCCGGCCCCTGGCATCCGTCGCGTTGCGCAGCACGTCGTACGCCTCCTTGTAGATGGCGGTCCAGACGCTGCCGTCGAGCGCGCTCGGCCTGCTGAGCAGCACGTGGCCGGGCGCGACGAAGCGCGCAATGCCGTCAATGTGCCCGTCCGTGACCTCGAGGCCCCTGCGGCCGGGCACCCAGAGGATCTTGCGCACGCCGAGCGTGCGGCGCAGCTCCGCCTCGACCTCGGCGCGACCCAGCCCCGGGTTGCGGTTCGCGTTGAGCACCGAGCTCTCCGTGAGCAGCAGCGTGCCCTCGCCGTCGACCTCGAGCGAGCCGCCCTCGGCGACGAGCGCCGTGCACGCCCGCGGCACGCCCATGCCGGCCAGGCTGATGGCGGCGAGCGAGAGGCCCTGGCCGACGGGGTACTTGCCGCCCCAGCCGTTGAAGTTGTAGTCGACGCCGACGAGCGTCTTGGCGGAGCCGTTGGTGTCGAGGACAAAGGTCGGCGCCATGTCGCGCATCCAGAGGTCCAGCTTGGGGTAGCCCTCGACGGGCTGGACCTTGATGCTGGTCGGGTTCCTGCTGAACCGCTGCTTGGCGGCCGCGGCCCGGTCGGGGGTCACGAGCACCGTCACGGGCTCAAACAGGGCCACGGCTTCGGCGATGAGAGACACGTCCTCGGTGGCGCGATGGAGGTCGTGCGCGGCGCCCTGGTAGGCGTCGTTCTGGGACGAGGGCCACGCCATGAGGACGTGCGACTGGCGCTCCCACTCCGCAGGACGGACGAGGGCTGCAGCAGCGGCGTGGGCTATGGCGATGGTGCTGAGGAGATTGCAAGACGGTGATATGTTCTGAACTCTTGTTGCAAGTGCCGAGGTTGTTGGTTAGGTATCAAACTCCCGGGTTGCCCATTGCCAGCGACGAATGCCAGTTTATATACCTGGTCCAAACCTGCCCCGCCACTCCAGCATTTGGAGTCAAGAAGACGAAACACCTCAGGGAACATTTGGCCCTTTGTTATCGCTATTGTGATCTACCATGGCTGCGCCATCCGCAACCTATGTGTTGCGTAGTTTTGAGGCTGGGCAGGTCGACACGGCAGTGATACTCGAAGTCATTTACTGTAAAATTGGAAAAAGACGACAATCGACAGGAGAGATACCTGCAACTTCAAGAGGGGCAAAGACCGAGGCCATCGCAATGTGATGTGAATGGTTACTTTTTGATCGGATGGGTGGACACTGTGGATGCAGCCCTGCCACAACCCCAGCCCGACGACGGCGATGGTGCTCCAGACCTTGGCGTTCTAGAAGAGATTGACAGATACTGAACTCACCTGCCTAAATGGGGATTTCTAGTTTTACTTGATACGCTATCGAAAATAGTCGAAGTTGCAGGGATTACAGGTTGGGAGTCCGGGGAAGGTATGAAATTCAGGCACTATTCATACAGTCTGGATTATGTCGACTGGAGAAAAAGAGCAATGAGCAAATGGCTTGGCTGGGCGAGACAAGCCACCAAGTTCCAGTACAGCCAGAGGAAAGTGCAGTGTTACTTCACCATCGGGATGTTGCCGTCCGTTGCTCCAGACTTCTCAACTACCTAGGGAGCAGCACAGTCCAATAACAGGGAAAAGAATAGCACCAAGTAATACAAATCATACAAGTTCCCTAGAAACACCGCTAATCAGTGTCCAGGTAACGACCAGTAGGTCTGTCGCAGCCACATCAGCGTCTTGGCCGCCGACCGTAGTTATGCGCAGCTACCTTGGTGAAGGGCAGCTTTCTTGCCTCCACTCCGAAGTGTACATTCCCTCTATGCTGTGATTTCGGGTATCTATTGCCATCTTAGATGGCTTTACAGAGGTACAGCCCAAGGGTTAAGATTGCCCCCGGGTTGTGAAAGGTCTAGTAGCAAATAGGAACTAGCCATTGTCCTTCGCCACTAATAAGGAATAAAATCGTCAAACTCAATAGCTGCGAACACATTAGTATATCAGACTCGAGGACCTTAAAGGATCCATATTCTCTTACCTGCAGGAGAGATACGAGAGCCATCTGATGTGAGTCGCCACAATGCCTCCAGCTTCTGCAAGGTCCGATGCGCACTCTGATTCCGCGTAACCTCGTGCTGGATCTGCAGCAGCGCCCGTACATCGCCACGCGCCTTGTCCGTCGCTTCGCAGCCCGCCACAAACAGGGCCGTCGTCAGCACGATGGAAGGATGGAGGCCCTCGCGCTTGGTCATGGACTCTGCTAGACGCACGATACTGGCAACCGAAGTCCTCACGCGATCGGTCTCCCGGTCAAGCTGCAGGCCGTACCGGTACAGAAAGAGGAGAGCAATGTGATGGGCGACCGAGTTGGCCTTTCTGTACTCCTCGGTCAGCGCCTTGTCGCAGCGCCCGGCCAGGTCTTCCGACAAAGTCGCGGGCGTGGCCTCGTCGCGCGCCATCATGCGCCGCACAATGCCGACCAGCTCCGACGCCCTGGTCCGGACATAGTGGGCAGAGATGAGCTCATAGTCCAGCGTCTCGTAATCCTGCGAGAACTGCCGCATCTCCTCCAGCGCCTTGATCCACTTGAACACGTCGAGCAAGTCGCAGCAGCATGCCAGGTTGCCGTCAATCACGCCCACGCTTTCCACGCAGGGCAGCGCTTGCGGAAAACTGTCGGGCACAAGAGGTGTGTATTTGGAGGGCCACGGCGCGGGCAGCGAGACGAGAAACTCCATCAGCGAATACATCCGATCGATGAGTCGCCACAGACCGGTACTATCTGTCCTGTCATGGCCCTCCCGCCGCGCCTCTGCCAGAAGCAGACGCGCGCAGTCGAAATGGCTCCGCCAGCAGCTCGCCTCTGAGTCGAAATGCAGCTCGCACGTGGCCAGCATCAGCGTCGTGGCAATGACGGCGGCGCTATTTGTCCGGTCGTGGCGGCGCAGCTCCGTCTGCAGCAGGGAGAGCGCGGCCGAGCGCAGCTCCATGGTCTGAATGTCCAGCGCTCTCCTGCTGTCGACGCCCCGGTGCCCCTTAGCCGCCTTGTGCAGGGCGCCGAACAGCAGCGTGGAGTAGAGCAGGCTCGGGACGACGGACCCGACCGAGACGAGCGCCTTGCACGTGTCGTGCCGGATCGTCTCGTGGCAGCAGAGGGCCGGGGAGGCGTCGCCGATGAAGTAGTCCAGAAAGGCGCCGTGCGACGGGTCCGCCAGCGACACAAAGGCGCTGTAGCCGCTCGAGATGCTGCGCACGAGGTTGTTGAGCCGGAGCTGGGCGGACGCGCCGCGCGGAGGCGATAGCTGGCTGTCGGTGCGGTACACGCACGGAGCGGCAGACGACGCACGGCAGCGACTGCACCGCGGCCGCTGCTCGTCGCACTTTTGGTGCCGGCTCCTGCATCTGGAGCAGCCGGTGCGAGATCGGAGTTTCAGACGCCGCTGCGTCTGCATTGTTTTCGCTGAGTCAAAGAGGGGGACCGATCCTTGCAAGCGTCAGGCTGCGATTTTTTTTCTTTCTAGAAGGAATATGCAAGTTCTGCATCTGCATGGGTTCCTCCGCAATGGGACCGTGGGGGAGGGAGCCGATGGGCTCAGCCCGGCGATGTGGATGCCCGGCGTGGCGACCAATAGCATCCAATTGCGACGACGGCAACTAGCTAATGTTATGGGGCGCAGTCTCGGCTCGCCGAGGAACCATCAAGAGGTTTGTTCTAGAGAAATGCCTGGGATTTTATCAGTCAATTTGTTGAAAAGGACGGCCGCCGCGGCCGCCGCGGCCGCCGATTGCATCCCCGGACCTCCGGAGACCCGCGGCGCTGTCCATGGGCTTTGCGCTGGCTACTCGACCATCTCGGTGTTGCTCAGCCTATAAAGACCTTTGATCTGAGTTCAAGTGACTGGGGTTGGGTGCAAAGGTACACTCAAGCAACTCTTTTTAAATTTCTTTCCAATACTTCTCCGTCACTCAGAAATGGCCGCTACATCCGCTCTACGCATGCCGGCCGAATGGTCTCGCCACCGACGGACCCTGACGGCCTGGCCCGACCAGAGCTCTCAAAAAGATGCCGAAACTCTGCAGGGCGCCGAGCGCGACGTCGCAGCCATTGCCAACGCCATTGTCGAGTTTGAGCCCGTGACGCTTCTCTGCCGACCGCGAAACGTGGCCCGCGCGAGGGCGCTGCTGTCCCCGTCCGTGGCCATCCAGGAACTCGAGGTGGACGAGCTCTGGCTGCGCGACACGGGCCCCGTGTACGTCAAGAACGCCGAGGGCGCGCTCCTCGGCGTCGACTTCAACTTCAACTACTGGGGCGCCAAGTATCCCGGCACTATTGACCAGACCGTGGCGCGATCCGTCCTGCGCCACGACAACACGGACCGGGTGCAGGCGCCGCTCGTCGCCGAGGGCGGCGGTCTCGAGGTCGACGGCGAGGGCACGCTCCTGGTGACAGAGAGCTCCGTCGTCAACGACAACCGCAATCCCGGGCAGACCAGGGCGCAGATTGAAGCGCACCTCAAGACGCTGCTCGGGCTGCAAAAGGTGCTCTGGCTCAAGGGCCTGCGCGGGCTCGACATTACCGACGCGCACGTCGACGCCACGGCGCGCTTCGCCGCGCCCGGGCGCGTCCTGCTGAACCGCCCGGCCAGGACGGCCAGGAAGGCGTTTCTGGACGCCTGGGAGGACGACAAGCGCGTGCTGGCGGCGGAAACGGATGCCAAAGGGCGCCGTCTGGAGGTGATTGAGCTCGAGGAGGCCGACCCGACCAAGTTCGACGGCGACGAGTACGAGACGTGCCTCTCGTACCTCAACTACCTGCTCGTGAATGGCGGGCTGATTATGCCCAAGTTTGGGGACCGCGTGGCTGATGAGAGGGCGGCGACGCTTCTGCGACAAGTCTTCCCGGACCGCAAGGTGGTGCAGGTGCAGCTGGATTCGCTTCGGAAGCTGGGCGGTGGAATTCACTGCGCGACGCAACAGCAGCCAGAATAAAGAGGTACCGGTTAGATCTAGGTAAGCTACTTGAACTAGTATAATAGTTCATAGTGAAATAAAGTAGCCCATCCTAAATTGATCTGTGTATCGATTGTCATCAAGTCCGAGCCACTGCCGTGAGCTAGAGCAGCGATGGTCGATCTCGACAAGTATACACTTTTTTTTGTAAATTATGGAGAAATAACAACCTTCAAATAAACGAGTAGTAATTTACCCAGCTTTGTTGTCTTCGTTTTAGTGTTTCTCTTCAACAGGCAGTTGCTTCGTTTCCTCTGATCCGCGGCCACAATCACCGATCCCTTCACTTGACACCGAGGCTGAAACATAGGGAAGCTGGCTGTCGCAAAGGGCATTCATTGGCTAAAGTATTTTCTACGTCGCCGGGTGATCTACATGCAAGCCCTCCTCAAGCCACCATATACCTAGCTCCCGAGCCCTATCTATGACTTACTTGCTCCCCATGTCAAGGCCGTGCTCATGTGGCGGCGTATGGCGAATATCGGAAAACCGTTTCGTTGGATACAGCTGTAATAATTTATGGAATCATGGCCAATCTGGGAAGCGATGGAAAGGGCTGCGCCTGCTCCAGCCATTTCAGGCATCCACGTACCGCCACTCTCTCATTATTGCTTTTGGCAGGATAGGGAATTTCAAGGGAACTAAGAAATAATCTCACAGTTATCCAAATGATCTTCGTATGCCGCGAGTACACGATATCAGTCTAGTTCCGTCTCACCCCGCGATACCAGGGAGGCCCCGGGATACCAGGCGCAATCATGAAAAAGTCCGGGGTAGTGGTCGCTTCGACTCGATAGCTGACATTGTTCAACATATATAACAAGCCAGGAAGCCCGACTAAGCGTTGCACCTCATCAATATTTACCATTTCAGTTGCTTGCAATAAACAAAAATCATCATTCAAAATGCCCAACTATCAGAATGAGCCCCCGGGTACTCTCCTCCTCTTCACGCCGAGTGAAGACGGACGGCGCCAAGAAATCATCCTTCATCCGGAACCCACCAACTCGCCAAATGATCCTCTCACCTGGCCAATCTGGAGAAAAGCCTGGCACGCTTCAGTCCTGGTCGTCATCACCGGCCTGGCCGCCGGTCTCTCAACACTCTCTGGCGCCGCCTCCTTCGCCATGAACAATGAGCTGCACATCACCCCAGCCCAGTTCAATGTGGCCGTGGCCGTCTTGTTCGTGGGCATCGGCGGCGGCACGTACCTCATGTCGCCGCTCCCCCGGCTGCTGGGCCGCCGAATCTCGTACGTGCTGTCTCTCGTCGCCGGCATCGCGGGCTGCGTCATGTTCGTCCGGGTTCAGCGGCTGGGTCTGCTCATCGTCTCGCACCTGTTTCTCGGCGTGGCCGAGTCGTGCGCCGAGGCCATGGTCCAGCACTCCCTGTCAGACATCTTCTTTGAGCACCAGCGCGGATCGGCCATGGGACTGTACGTCCTGGCCCTCTCGGGAGGCACCTTCATGGGCCCGCTGGCGGCAGGCCTGATCGCGTCCAGCCGTGGCTGGCGCGCAATCGGCTGGGCTGGCGCGGCCTGCTGCGGGGTGATGCTGGTCGTCATGGTGTTGACGTTGGAGGAGACGACGTTTGATCGAGCGGCACACGTGCTGCGAGGAAGCGACCCGGAAAGCGGCGAGCTTGAAAAGAGGACATCAAGCCAGCAGCAGCTCGAGCACGCTGCGACCACCTGCGAGCCAACTATTGCCGGTTCTGCACTCGATCAAAAGAAGTCGTACCTACAGAGAATAAGAATCATCACGCCCACATCGTCCAACAAGACGAAACTAATGCGAGGCTTTATCTACAGACTGCGACACTCGCCTCGTTGCTTCGTCTTCCCTGCCGTGTTATTCTCCGGTGTTCAGTGGGGTGCTCAAATCACGTTTCTAACCTTTTACCTGTCCGTGTCCGACGTCCAATACTACGCGCCGCCATGGAACTACAGCGACAAGGCCGTCGCCCTCATGGCCGTTCCGTGCCTCATCGGGCTCCTCGTCGGCATCCTCTACGCCAGCCTGGTCGCCGACTACTTTGTCGTGTGGATGGCGCGCCGAAACAGCGGCATACTCGAGGCCGAGCACCGTCTGTGGCTGGTCCTGCCCGCTTCCGTCACTGGATCTCTCGGCCTCTTGCTATTCGGGATCGGCTCGCAGCGCGGTTGGGGCTGGCCCGTTCCGTACTTTGGCCTGGGCTGCTTTGGCTTCACATGGGGCTGCGCCGGCGATATCAGTCTGTCGTACATGCAACAGGTGTACCCAGAGGCGATTCTCGAATGCATGGTCGGGGTAGCCGTCATCAACAACATCTTTGGGTGCTCGTTTACCTTTGCCGCAGGTTGGTCCTATTTTCCGCTGTACACAGCGTCTGCTAATGCTGCAACTAGGTCCATGGCTTGAGAAACAGACCCCGACTCAGGTCTTCTCAGTACTGGCCGTCATTAACTTTGTAGTCACTTTACTGGCAGTACCTATGATTATTTGGGGTAAAAGAATGAGGGCTGGTACTGCGGCCAGCTACTTGCAGTTTGTCGACAAGATGAACTCTGCTTAATCTCCTTGGCTTAGATAAGGTGCCGCCTGTTTTTTTTTTAAATAGTCACTTAATTATATTTAAAAGGCAGAAAAACGAGCAGCTTGACAGATTCATCACCGTCCCATGCTCGTGATATTTGCGGCACTTGCATGTTGTGAGGCTGCGATCCGCGGACGCCCGAAGTGCGCAACCATTTCCCCGCGCCCGCACTCGACAGCCCCGCGATGGCAGCCTCTCATGTATGATCAGATGGGCAAGATGATGGTATAATTGAGTGGAGACGAGTGGGATCCTATCAGGATCGATTCCGATGCTAGCCATCGATTCGTATCAAAGCAGTTGGCAGCTATATCAACGGGCGCCAATCCCTTCATTACAACGTTTGTCGAGAACAACAGCACCTAGCGTCTTACCAGTAGCGAACCATCACAAAACGATAAAATGGACCAGCAATGTACCTCGTTCAACGTCGTCGAGGCTAGTCTGGAAGACATCCAAGCGGCGCTCACCAGCGGTGCCATGACCTGCGTGCAGCTCGTCGCCGAATACCTGCGCCGAATCAGCGTCTACGACTGCCGCGGCCCCAGCCTCAACTCGATCCCGCTCATCAACGCGCGCGTCTTTGACGAAGCGGCCGCCTCGGACGACCGGCGCGCAGCCGGCGCGTCCCTCGGACCGCTCGACGGCGTCCCGTACACGGCAAAGGACAGCTACAAGGTGCAGGGCATGACCGTGGCCAACGGCGCGCCGGCCTTTGCGGACCTGCTCTCCAGCACCGACGCCTTTACCATCCAGGCCCTGCGCGCCGCCGGCGCCGTGCTCGTCGGCAAGACCAACATGCCGCCGATGGCGGCCGGCGGCATGCAGCGCGGCGTCTACGGCCGCGCCGAGAGCCCGTACAACGCAGACTTTCTCGCGGCTGCGTTCGCCTCCGGGTCGTCCAACGGGAGCGCCGTGTCGACGGCCGCGTCGCTGGCGGCCTTTGGGCTCGGCGAGGAGACGGTTTCGTCGGGAAGGTCGCCCGCCTCCAACAATGCCGTCGTCGCGTACACGCCGTCTAGAGGCAACATCTCCATCCGGGGCAACTGGCCGCTCTATTCCCTCTGCGACGTCGTGGTGCCGCATACGCGTTCTGTGAGCGACCTCTTTGGCCTGCTCGACGTCATCACGCAGCCTGATAGCGTCACAAAGGGCGACTTTTGGAGGCATCAGACTCTTATTGCATTGCCCCAGCCATGGCAGGATAAGCCCGCTTCGTTTTATGATTTGCGGAAGCGACCCGTCATGCGGAATCTGCGCATTGCTGTGCCGGACCTGTACACGCTGGGGACAAACCAAGGCGGCGACGACATGGACGGCGTTTACGTCTCCGACGCCGTGCGGGAGCTTTGGAAACGCGCCCAGTCTGACTTGGAGAGTCTCGGCGCCCAAGTTCTTTCCGTGCCCGACTTTCCGGTAGTGACAGAGTACGAGGCCCACGCCCACATTGGCTCCGAAGACAAGCTTGGCCTACCCAAGTACTGGAAGCAGGTCGAGCGCGCTCAGCTGCCTGCCCTGGCGTGGCACGAGTTCCTGCAGGACAACGGCGACCCCAACATGAACTCGCTGGACGGCATCGACCCGCAGCGCATCTGGCCCTTTCGAGACAAATCAGATCCGCAGGCCCGGTTCTTCAAGATGGAAAACGCCGTGCTCTGGGACAACCTGAGCGGATACGTCGAGGAGCTGGGCGCGCAGCAGCCTCCCGTCCGGACGCAGTACGAGCTGCCAGGGCTGGAGCAGGCCCTGATCGCCGTGGAAGCGTTGCGAAAGTCGCTTCTAGAAGACTGGATGTCAGCAAACGAATTCGACTTTGTCGTCTTCCCGGCTGTCGGAGATGTAGGGTACGCCGACGCCGACGTCTGCGATGAGCACGCCCGGCACGCCTGGACCAACGGCGTGAAATACAGCCACGGAAACCAGGCCCTGCGCCACCTCGGCATTCCCAGCATCACAGTACCGATGGGAATTTTGGCCGACAAGTCGATGCCGGTCGGGCTGACCATCATCGGCAAGGCGTACGACGACGTTCGGATTCTGCAGCTCGGCTACGCGTACGAACAGGCCAGCCAGAGGAGAACGGCCCCCGCGCTGACGCCTGCGCTCCCCAATACCGTGTTCAAGCTCCAGGGGCAACATGAGCGACCGCGTTTGGAGAGCGTCGAGTGCAGCGCCTCGACGGGGGTGGGCGGCGGTGCCGGGACAGTGCAAGTGTCCATCTCGGGGACAATCGACCCCGCGCAGCGGGATGGAAAGCGACCTGTCCTTCAGGTGTACGTTGACGGCCAGATTGTATCGGCGGCGGATATTCAGATAGCTGAGGACAGCTTGCCCGTATACTCGTGGAGCTGCAGCGTGAGCGTGCCGCGACGACCTGAGCGAGCGGCGCGAGAGACGGTTGAGGGGAGCATTGCGCGAGACAAGATGGTGATCATGGTATTGGCCTCGATCGGGTACGGAAGACCAACCGGATGGTTGGGCTTTATAGAATGAGAGAGAGTAACAACGGACCCGCTACCCTTTTGTGAGCTATATACCGCCTCATGTCACATTGTCGTCTCATCACTCGTATAAGCTGTCAATCATCTCTCCACATTTCCCTCAACGCCAGCCTTCAAGTGAAACTTGTAACGCTTTATTCGGCTTCTCGTCCTCTTCCGTGAAATTCCGCCGCGGAGAATAATAAGCGACATCGGGCCACTCACTTGGCGTGGTCGACAACCCCGCTGTCGATCACCGTCTCGACGATGGCGCGACGGGGGAGGGGGGGTCTGTGCTAGCCTCGGATCAGACCCTTTGCAAGCTTGTGAGTGAGAAAGCTTCGGGGTTAATAAGACATGTTACAGGAAAAAAGGCCGGGTATATCCAAAACCCTCTATAACACTCCAAGCTAAATTGAGGTCGAGCCATGAGGCCAAGTCGTTTCCTGAGGTACCCTACAGTACTGGTGATAACTGCCACAAACAGCCAACCAGGTGTTACTCTATCGGCGGTGCAGGAAATCCGGGGTTCTACATACATAGTGGGTTGCACTGCCCATCCCGAACTATCCGCGATATGCCCACCGTTGCAGGGGTCTGCGTTTAGCTGACGGACGCGGGTCCTTGCTTGTCCTGTGTCTTGTGCTGGTTTCCAGTTTTCTTGGTCGGAATGAGCGACGATACGATCAAGACAGCAGAATCTGGAAAGAAGTCGAAACCCTGGTTGCGCTGGGTAGTGGCCAGTATTTGCGGCCAGTTTTCCGAGTCGATATTGATGGGCATGTGTGATGGCCGATTCGACTCACGATGACGCCAGCTCAGTTCGGCAACTGCAAGGCTGATGCGATGGGGGCGCCTCGGCACCAGCATCCAGGACGATCGTTCTGCCTTCATGTGGCACTGAGGAATGAAGCACCAGCAAGACACCCTGTAGTTGATAAAGTCCGAGTTATAGTACCGAAATAAATGAACTATATTGAAATAAATACAATCGTCCCGCAGGGGTAGTAAAGTAGCCAGCGCCTGTGTTGACATGATTATTGCAATCTAGCGTAGGCTTGCAGCAAGTATCCGGTTCCAGTATAAAACTCCATACGCCAAGTTGCCCTCCAAATCCGACATGCCTAATTCGAGCTTTTCCATCGTTTGTGCCCTCCGTATTGGGTGATTAATATAGTGACAAGAAGCTCTGCTTCTGTAATGAGTGAAAATACGCAGAAACCTCTAGCGATTCTCGCCGCGTGTCCTAAGCCTTGGACCAGAACTTGCGCTTCGACTTTGGCTTTTCCGTCGCTCCCTGGTCCTCGAGACAGCTGTAGAGCTGATCCCAGCCCTCGTCGGGCAGATCGCGGAGGGAGTTATTAAGTGTGTCGATGATGAAGCGATTCGCTGTCGCCGGTCTCTCAAGGTTAGAAACGTTTGCTCATTTCTCGTAAGCGCTTTGGTCGATCGGGTCTCTCTCTACATACGCATGAAATTGACAGCCTGCTCGCCCGCGCCAAGCGCGAGGTCGATGCGGGTCGAGTTGTAGCAGGCGTAGCGCTGCTGCAGCGCCAGCATGCAGAGCCAGAGCTGCTGCGTCTTGTCGGCGCTCATGTCCTCGCAGCTGCGGACAGACGAGACGCTGTTTTGGCGATGGCGGAGCAGCGGGCATTCTGGGGACGGGCACCGGTGGCAGTTGGCGACGGCGACGGCCGGGGCGGCGGCGGCGGCGGCGGTGCCCGTGGTGGTGCCGTCGAGGTCGCTCCACGAGCTCTCGGCCGAAGAAACGGAGCAGAGCGATGGCGAGCGACGACGAGCTTGGGGTCCGCGAGACATGGTGTGAGAAAATCGTGAAATGCGGCAACGTTGAAAACCAAAGTGACGGTGTAAGTGGCAAGAGTGGACGGCGTGGCGCTTCCAGAGCTACGGAGTCAAGCCCGGGATCGAGGAGGGGGGGAAAGGTTACGGGAATATCATGTACGCGCGTCTGGGCGGGTCATTACATTTATACATTCTGATTCCAAAGACGACCTTGCTCGGGAGTGAATGCTGCCTTTCTCTAGCTCGCTTGGGCCGACCAGAGCGCCGATCCGATGTCTTACCCAAAGTGGGCCAACCAGCGCTCCTCCTTCGCCTTTTTTCGAGGCAAAGTGATGAGGGGGGGCCTTGATGGAAAGCTCAAGCGTTCGGTTGAGTGCTGCACAACCTGCGGTCCTCGGCCGCACCTGGGCCAGACCGGGCACGGCACCAAGTGGAGAGGGGGTGGACGGGGACTCATTGATCTGACGAGTTTCCTTTCAGCATTTGCTTCCCAGTGTATCCGTGATGAAAGGAAAAGAAGCTTTCCATATCCAGTACGACACACGGAACACCAAGTGCACACTTTTGTGCAACAACCTTGCAGGATCGCGGCTGGGGCGTTGCTTGGGACGTGCAGGAAGCACAGGAAGAGACAATTCCATCTCGGCAGTCTTCAAAGACCGCCACCTGCAGGTGAATTTGGAAATAGTGTCACCGGGTGAAAAAAAAAAAGGGAGCTGCGGGCCGCAGCTTTTCTTTTACACCGCATCACTGCTAGCTCTTGTTTCCATTGCACAACCACCATTGACAACACCACAATGATACCAGACCGCTGCTGGTCGAGGCCTCTGATTGGCCCATGGCAACGGCCTAGTACAACTTGGCCCCAAATGACACGGATCGCCCACGAGACAGCGAGAAAAAGGGCGCCGGGATATGCGGGCCAAATGCCGAAAGAAAGTGACAGGGTGACATGACGTGGCTGGAGTTGTGTGTGAAAGACGGCGCGAGGTGGTTTTATTCGGCGGCATGGTGCCAACTTGATTGCTACTTGCGTCATGTCTCGCTAGTTCGGCTTCTCAAAGGATCTGGTCGTGGCTATTTTAACATTGTTCATCTACAATTATCAAAAATCCAAAGTAATCGTTGAGCTTAATCGCCAAAAAAAAAAGCCCCGAAGGTTTCCTTGATTGGGTGAAAAAGGAAAAAAGGTCAAGATGGACCGACCAAAAGGCTGGCAAGGGCGTTGATTGGCGTCGGTCGAGACCCTGTGCCGAGAGTTTAAAAAGCCAGATCGAGAGTTAAAAATTGCCAACTGAAAAAGAGTTACGGGAAAATACCCTTGCCAAATTCGACAATACTAGTCATGATCAAACGTGACGAATAGAATCAAGACTGAAACAAGTGTGTGTGGTTCGTGTCCCGATGTGACATGACACTTTGTCGGCAGTGACAATCATGCTCTTGACTGATTCAGAAGTCCTCTGTGTAGCACTTTTTTTTTTGTAAAAAGAAAAAAAAATGGAAAAAGAAATACAATCAAGTAAGATTTCGACAAGGTATCGGATGAACGACTGGCGGCCTGCAGCATGGGCAGCATCTTCAGCATAGGCAGGCGCATAACCCACTATAAATCATCCGTATAAATTATAAACCTGCGGCTATAACATGTGCCCAGATCATCCATCTATCTGCACTTCGCCGTCCAAATCGGGTACAAGGTTTCAGTCCATTGGAGAGTTTTAGTATGACTGTGATGGTGATAGTGGCGCCAGGCCCTAAAACGGACCACTGGACAGAAATCCTCACATCGGGAGGCAAGCGGAAATCTTTTCCATTCCACGGCCCGTTATAAATGGGAAGACAGGTTCGACACTCACTCCACAAAATATCAAGACCTTCGCATGAAGCAAGTTGGAAATATCATGAAAATGCGGGAGACCAGGACCGGAGTATCCCGTCCATGTACGGTAAGAGGCTGTAGTGCTTGAATAGCGGCCAGCAGCTGGGTTCTGGGGAACGGCCTGGGACAAATTTGGCGATGCCAGACATGCGCCAAACCTATTCAACATAGGATACTTTCTCCAAGATGCCTGATGAAGGAATGACTGCATATCTAGGGCTCTTGACAGTCCCTGGCTGGCTACTTTGAGTTATGGCGGCGTGCGAGTTCCGGCAAACGGACTGTGCGCGCCCCATCCCGGATTCCCCTACTGGACCATCTTGTGGTCGATGCCAGTTCAAATTCGTTGGATGAGAGCTGGATGAGCAGCGGACGGCATCAGACGAGATATCAAGACGTTCATCTCCCTCAACTATTCTCAGCAACCCAACGACGTGACCCATCTACGTTTGCGTTTACTGCACTCCCGGCGGCCGCCACCGGGGTCACTGTGCGGCCCCTGCCATCAACTACCAAAGCGACTCGAGGCACACGGCTCCCTTATAATTTACTAGTCAGACGCGTCCATACACACTGCGCGAGTCATCCATCCCGCCGTCTCTCTTTCACATGCGCCGGCGTCGCGCCGTGTGTGGCTCGGCCCCACACGCAGCTCCGCGCGACTGACTTGCCCGGCCACCCTCTTCGTCTGGCCTCGGCCTGTCGGTCTCGGCCCAGGCGGCGCCACGGCTCCGAGCATCCATTTCATGGCAGTTGGCGCGGGTGATATTCACAAGACTTGACGCACTGATGATACTCGGCAGTCGCGAGAAGGGGTGGTGCGAGGGCAAGTACGCGCTTGTACGTCACTGCGCTGGACAATGGAAAAGAAGCAAATAGCTTTACGTAGTAAAAATGTATATGGTATTTCTGCCATTCAGTTGAGCTATATCTGGCGCTCAAAAAATAGGTCTCCTCGTCGTACATGGCTCGCGATTCACAGCGACCAGCGGGGACGCTCTACCGACCATTGACAAGAGGGGAGAAGGAAGAAGCAAACTGTGACAAGGCCCCCGGAATATGTAATGCAAGAAAACAGTCGTAAAAAAAGAAGAAAAAAAGAAAACATGGGCTCAAAGCAAGTCGCAGTACAAAAGCAAGTATAAGTCCCGACAGACAAGCATGCAAAATCCAATCTAAACGCCGTGAGGCGAAGAGCACGCGACGTCGCTCTTCTATGCTGGGCACCGTACCGCGGGCGGCTCTGCAGAAGCAAAGAAAAAAAAAAACAAGAGAGAAGCAAAAACAAACATGCCATCTAAGCAAGAGGAGTTGCGCCGATCTAGGGGGAATATTTCGTGACGAGTGAATCAAAAACGAGGCAGCAGCGTGTGTGTGTTGTATGAGAAAAGCGCGTTTCCGCTCGCGACACTGTTTTCATTTGCGGTGCGACTTGGACGGGCTGTAGTGTCGACGAACGCGTTCACGGCCGCGCCTCTCCTCCTCGTCGTGCTCCTCGTCGCTGCTGCTGCTGCTGCTGCTGCTGTTGTTGCCCGCGATGCTGCCGGCGCCGGCGCTGCGACGGCGACGCTCCTCCTCGTAGAGGGCGCTGAGCGACTTGCCGCCAAACTGGAGGTCGTCGTCGTCAATGAGGATGGGGTGCACCCAGAGGTCGGGCGCCTCGCGGTTCATGGTGCCGCGCAGGTTGGGCACCAGGTAGTAGCCGGCGGCCGGTTCGGTGGTGGTGGTAGGCTTGGGAGCCATCTTTTTGTTGTGTTTTGTTGGTTGTGGGGGACGGAGACGCAGTTGCGCGCGCGCCGTCGGTGGGGTGTTGATGATGATGAAGGGGAAGAAAGAGCGGCGCCGGGGAATGGGCAGAAGCGTTCTTGTTAATAGAAAGTGTTTTTGGGTGCTGCTGCAGAGGCCAGGCAGGATTCGTGCAACGTCGGGTGGCGAGGTTTTGAAGTGCTCCACGGTTTCTTGTGTATGAGTGAGTGGATTGCGGGGGGGAAGGACAAGCACGTTGAGCGGTGGCGATGTTTGTGTCCAAGGAAAGCCTCAATCTTCTTCTTTTTTTTTTCGGCCTATTTTCTGATGTTCAGGAAACAAGACAGAAGAGAAAATCGTTCGGTGTGCAAGCTTCCAATATTGTACGCGACAAGAGCCTTTCTCGTCGCGTTGTCTCGGGTCTTGCTTGTTGTTGTGTGTTGTGTGTTGGAGGGGGGGTGGCACGAGTTTGGTGTGTGAAAGGGAGGCAGCCTAGGTTGTTGTGATGAGTGATGATGCGTCCCAGATCCTGCTGGGGGTTTTTGCGTAGCTCGGTAATATAACTCGTCGATGTGTGGTTTTATTGAATTCCAAAAGGAAAAAGCAGGAAAAACAAAATCCAAATCCCGGGGGCGGGACCCGTGGCATAATATACCAAGTCATGGCAAAGGGACCGGAGGCCGAGCCCAGGTTGTCAAACAGAGGCCCGAGTCATCCATCACTTGGCCTGCCTGCCTCGGGACCCAACGCACACCCCCCCCCTCCAAGTCAACTCGGCGCCGGGGTGGTGGCGCTGCTGAGGGATGCCTGGAAAAGGCGACCAGCCGGAGTGGGCGTTGCATGGCGGCTGCCTCCTATTCAACCGTAACGTTAAGTTAATTGTTCAGATTTTTGAAAGGTGTCGAGAACGCAGTTCAGCCCTCCCACGACCGACGACATCTTTGCCACTAGTTATTCAGAGTCGTTATGCAGGCAGTCTTGGACCTCTTTGTCCTGTGGGGCTCCAAAGGTTCCAAAGAAAAGGCAGCAGCACCGACAGCTTGGGCCAGGCCCTTGCTTCCGATAAAACTGCTGGTTGTACATATTGATGCCTGGTAGGCAGAGGCCCGTTGGGCGGATTTCCACCACGGCCATCGGGAGAAGCAGGCTGGCGTGCGCTGCCTAGACGATTAAAGTTTCAACCCGTTCTCGCCTTGGTACGGACAAACCCGGTGAGCCAGCGCCGCTCTCCGAATGGCTTCCCTGTGGCGAGTCAGCTCCGGTGTATTGACAATCGACTATCGGTACGCACGGGGGCTCTTTACTATTGAGCTCGGCCTCCCTGGCGAAAACCGCAAAGCAGTGGTTTCTGAGTAGTTTGTAAATGCACGGCAGGAAAATACAAAACGCCCGATTTCGCATTGTCCATTGCCAACGCCGATCGCATCAGCATCAAGACTCAAAAGAGTCACTGGGCGCCAACAGGTGAGTGACAACCCGCCGACCGATGAGATGGCAGGGGGGTGTGCATGTATCAACCCTTGTTTGTGGGGGAATGGAACCAGGCTCACGAGAACTTGTTAGGGCAGGGCAACGTGCCTACTAGGTAGTTACATACCTCTTGTCTTGCTTGCCTGTACTGATAGGCATCACTGCATCAAGTATACCATTACCCAACTATTCACACACAAAAAAAACTTCGTCCCTTCCCTCTTCGCTCCCAGCTGCGTAATCATAGACGACACGCATGGCCAACCGATGACCGACCGCAGCCACCTCACACCCCCCCTGGCCGATGTATTGTTGGGCGTCGTAACTACATTCGTACTTCCCGTACGCGACATTGGACGGCAAGGCTGGAAAGGTCGGGCGACACGGGTAGGGTTGCATCCCCCTTCAGCCTTTGAGCCTGGCCGGGTGCACGACTGGCGTTCAGCTGCCCGCTGCGCCGCCTCCCAAAGAACAACAACTCTCTACACGTGTCACAAGTGAAGACCAGTCAGTGCCAAACTACCAGCTTCGCACGAATGTGTAAAAAATTCATTGCGAGGCGGACAAGCCGGTATGCGCCCACCAGCTTTTATCAAGAGCCCGACGCCATCACCGGCGGTGCGCTGCAGGCACGCCCATCCACCGCAGTATCGTAATATAATTATTACGTGAATCTTGTCATTTTCGCATAGTGCCATGGCCCCTTTTTAGTAGATGGCGACTTTTTGCGCACTTTTGTGCACATGGCCGCCGCGCCCCTCCCCCATAGTTTTCTGGGGGCCGAGCCTCATGACGTCTGTCGTCATCGCCCAGCCTTGATTACCACCGGCCTCTAGTAATAGGCTGCTGACGCGCCGTCACCGTCAGCATCGTGTATTATCGAGGTTGTTACTGGTGGCAATGGCTGATGTTATCTTTGCGTGGTCCAAGTTGCCAACATGCAGCATGCCTTGATCTCGTCATCGCTCATCGCTGACCCCTCAGATCCAGGGCAGCCCTGCCCGAGAGTAAGTACTTTTGAGAAGAACCATCCGCCAACCCACTGACGATTCAAACTTCCTGATCCAGCAGCTCACTCTTTCACAATCTTGGCCATGCAACGTCTACATTGGGGAGCTCGTCTGCTAGCGGTGCTGATCTTATAGGCCCGTCAAGCACTATAGTGAATCGACTGGCTGGTGGCATTCGCAGGCTACAGCACTGTCTCAGCAGCATCTGCCCTGTACCCGCTATTACGCTACTTCTCCACGAACCCCACAAGCGCTATACGTTTCCCTTCTTGCCTGCTTATTATCAGAATCAAATTTCTAATCGTCTAGTGTTGATCATTGATTTTTTTTTTTTTGCAAACTCTTCTCCCAAAGAAATGAATCAAAGGGAAAACCGCCTCTATATGCGATGGTTGACAGTGACATCCCCTTCAACGTTGCGGTGATGGAATACATCGTCTCGTGACAGCTGAACGTGATTCGAATGCTTCTTTTTGTCAAGAAAAATGAACGTCACTCGGCTCAGGGCCGGCAGTGCCTAATTATACAGTACGTCATATTATTATTCCTCGTTGTACTTAATTATACTGTACGCCATCTTGCTATTCCTCGGTTTGGTACCTCAGGTGGACCATCAAATTGGCCCGGCATCCTTCCCAACATAACCCAAAAGCCCCTGCATCTGGTCTTTAGCATTATATAATAGTGCCAAGCGAATTTGACGAGGCATTGTATCACTTACTCAAACGAAACACCCCCTTCTTTAATATTAACCCCGCCACTCACTCTTCCGAATCCGTGATGACAGCCTCCTGCGGCCTGGTATACCACGGAAACAGCATCCTCATCTTCTCCCAGAACCCAGGCCCCATAAACTCATCATTGCACTTAATCTCGGCGTCCAAGATGGTCAGCACGCCCGGGCTCACGAAGTTGCGGCAGCCGTCCTTTTGCTTGCTCAGCAGGTCATTCTTCATGCCGCCCTTCTCCCCGAACTCCCACTGGCAAATCGGCACGCCCGCCACCTCGCGGCCGCTAAACTGTTCCCACGCCGTGATGGAGAGCTTCGCCGCGCGCACCACATCCTTCCCTGCCGCCGCGTCCTCCTCGCCCAGCGGGCACCGCTCGTCCAGGATGCGCATCGCGTCCATGTACTCAATCAGCGAGCCCGGGGACCAGTCGCCCAGGTTGCACAGGTACGCCACCGCCCCGTTGTGCATGGCGAAGCGCACCGACTTGCGCGGCAGCCAGAACAGCGGCGTGTAGAAGAGCCGGTTGACGGCCTCGTGGAAGTCGGCCACCGCCATCGTGTGGTTCTCGGCCCGGCAAAATTCCCCCGACTTGGGCAGCGGCAGCGTCTCCACGAGCAGCTTGCTCCTCGGGTCGATGCGCCGCTTGCTGCCGATACTGCGCGCCGCAGCGCCGTCTACCCGCTTGATTATGGCGTGCGCGGAGGGCTCGCGAGGATGCTGGGCTTCGTAGACCCCGTTGGGGAGATGCGTGGGAACAGTGACGAAGCCGGACGCGCAGATCGCTCCGACAATGATAGCCGTGGCGGGTACCGAGATCTTCATTGTTGCGACGATGGTTGGTAGCAGAAGGACAATATCACAATAAGCTGCATAGTCTGTCAATAAGTTGGTAGGGTATATATACCTCTATACCGAGGTTGAAGCCATGTGTGCAGAATTTTCCTGGCGCCTGAGATGTGTCCAAATCTTATCAAGTTCAAACACCACTTACACCAAGGGCAGAGCCGCCGGTCCGGTCTAGTTACAGTACTACTCCCGACGACGGCAACTTTATTCTCTTCACATAGACAAAGAAATCCAGCCCTGAAACTCGACCAGTCCATACCCAATACTTGTACATGTTGCTAAAATGCCGGCTAAAATGCCGGAATGTATACTTGCGCCTGCACGTGGACTCAGCGCTAGACGGCTGGTCATCGGACAGCGATGGCAGAGCACGTACCGATGCAGCCCTGCGAAAAGGCTTCCCGTCCGATTCTGCAGGCATACCTGTCTTCCGCGAGAAAATGAGACACGGGGGGTGAGATTTAATTTTGTGCGTCTCATCTATCACGAAGCATGTCACGCGCACCACTGGTACCGCTACGCAACTGATGTGAACTCTCCTCGCCACCACACTCTACCACTTTAATAACTGAGAAGTAAATATGATACTGACTGTCTAAGGAAGAACAATAGAAGAGGTCTCGGGATATTTTATGGCTGAGCAGAAAAGAATGTCGCCGGCAGGCATCGTCATCTAGCTCCGACGGAGCATTTAAAACCACTATAATCGACCAACTCATATTTCAGAGACACGCAGAGACACGCAGAGACACGCAGAGACGATGGCTGTATACAATTCGCATCCCACGCTTTATTTTCTTATCCCGCTACCACCTATCCGCGCTTTTGCAAATCGCACTCGCACACCAAGCTGACACCAGGCTACGGTAGTGCGATCACGCTCACACCTTAATTGCACCCTTTTCAATGCACGACGCTAGTTAGGGTAGATTAGCCGAGATGAGCATGCACATGCGGAAAAATTGTACATTGGGAAGGTTTTTGAGGTCGAAATTACGCAAAATTCTCTGCAGTTGGGCAAGGGGATCTGGCTCGAGTGACGACACGACCATGATGGGCGCAGAGAAGTCTCAGCACAATGTATATGGAACATAAAACTATACTATACAATACAGAAGAATAATAGATGTGGAAGCTTTCCCCAGACTAAAAGGAGACGTAGTTAAAGATTATTAAAAACTATTCCCTGGTATTATTTCTAATCTCATAGAAAGGTGTATTATCTTTTCTTTAAATTTTCTTAACTATTATTATCTCTTTTATCTCATTATATATTCCATCGTAATCATTACTTCATTTCTGCAACGAATATTCTATTCACGGGTCCTCTATAGTAGAGGCCCCGTCCACGTCTCGCGCCGCAGGCGGACATACCAAGATTGTTTGTGCGGGAACGATATCTGCCTCTCGCGGCCAAATCCTGATTCGTCCAAGTGCTTGAGAATCCTGCAAAACGCGTTAGATCAGTCCCACGGTGATTTAATAGCTCATCAGCATAGACAAGACGTTACCTTTCGTTATCAATCCTCGGCTCCAGGCAAATATTCATCGTTCTCATGTCCGTCGTGAAGCACCAGTGAACCAGACTCGTCATCCACTCCGACGCCCGTCCACGCGCCCATTCCTCGCCCACCAAGACATGCAGGCCCCGATCAAAATCGCCAGCCTCGCCACCGAGCACCCGGCCCAGGATGTCCTCCTTGACCCAGTAAATCTCAAAGTACCCAAACGGCACGCCGTCCCAGAGCCCAATCGCCGGGAACGAGTGCTTTGCTTTCAGGACGGTGGGCAGGAACTCGGGCGTGCACGCGCCCCAAAAGGCCCCCACGCGCGGTTTGGTGAACCACGACGCGAGGAGCTCGCTGTCAGAGAGCGACGTCAGCTCCGGGTGGTCGGGCGGGTTGGGCCCGCGGGGGCCAAAGTACGGCACGGGCTCTGGCGAGAGCGAAGCCACGCGGAAAGACAGGTAGCGCCCGACCGAGGGAAGGAAGCGCGAGTAGAATAATTCGCCCATCCGAGGCGGCTTGGGGCGCAGAGGGTGCCGCAGATTGTCGGTAAAGGTATACTGCAGCGTCAGCGGGGGATAGTAGGTGGGCAGGTGCGACGTTGAGAAGAAGGGCGTGATGGGGTGCGCCGCAGACACGCCGGCGGCGAGGCTTGTCGGGGTCGGGGCGCCCGGCAAGTCATTATAGAGCCTGGTCACGCCTAGTTGGGGCGACTCTGCTCTTGGCGTAAAGTGAGGCGTCGCACTATACGCTGCCGGCGAGCCGGGGCGGCTGCTGTTTGGCGACACCGCCGAGCCCGTCCACGGCGAGGGGGGACCCTTGACAGGCTTCAGCGTGAACAGGAACAGGTTCGGCGGCATCTGCCAAAACATGCGTTGCGAGACAAACATGCGGGACCACGTCTCGTCGCCGTCGTCCAGACTGGTGCCGACCTCGGTCGACTCCGTCGCCAGCAGGCCCATGCGCTCGAGCTTGGGGATCAGGTTGCGGCCGCGCAGCACGCCGTCGCGCTGAATGGTGATGCGCCAGTCGCCCATTGGCTTGGCCGAGTCGGGCGTGGCGTGCGAGGCCTCGGTGCTCATGTGCGGCGACGGCTCGGGCTGGTGAAAGTACCAGTACAGGCTCACCCACAGGATCATGGCCATCTGGCGGGTCGGGCTCGCCGGCGGGCCGTACTCGTGGCTCGACGGCGTGGACAGCGCCGAGATGAAGAGGGTGTCGTTTTGCCGAGTCGGCTGCGCGAATGGACGGACGCGCTTCTTGCGCTTGGGCGCCGCCGCCGCCGCCGAGAGATCGTCCGTGTGCATGGTGTCACCGCCGCCGGCAGCTTCCGGGTGGTGGTGACCGCTCTCGCCATTGACCGGGGCCGCGGCTTCGTCGCCGAATACGACGCGCTCTTCTTCCGTGTGCAGCACAATGTTCCAGCCGACGGGGAAATGTGATTCGTGGGTGAGATCGTTGCTCTTGAACGCCACGCCACCAAACACAGGGCTGACCGTGTACGTCTGCCCATCGGGCAAGTAGATGGTCTCGGGCGTCATGGCAAGAGAGAACTACAATCTCGGAATGTTCGGGTTCAAATCAGCCGCCTTGTATCGCCTGCCAAGATGCACGAGCGTGAGAAGAAATCGAGTCGGTGAGCATTTGTCGAGCAAAAAGATGAGTCGACTGAGGGGCTTAATAACATGCTGTTTGCCTCCCTCTGTTTTGAAAGCGGGGGCGGGGTCACAGAGGAAATAACGGCGGACGCGGCAACGAGTTGACCGTAGTGCGCATTTTCTGTCCAATTAGCTCGCCTGCGAAATAATACACTGATGAATATTGGACAGTTTGATCAAGTTCCAAGACCCAGCGGCTCGTCCCGAACTCCCTTGACGACTTGGCTGTGATGGTGACCGGCTTCTCCACCGGCTTCAACGTGACAGGTCAGCGATGCAATGGTTGGGGCCATCATAGTAATCCCGCGTTCGGAATGTGGACATGAGATTCCTTCACGCAGGAAATCTCTGCCTACTACTCGGCACAGTTGGTCATCGGATGCTCCCAGGATCCGGGATGGGCAGGATCACCCGATAACATGGCGCCATGAATCAGTAGTAGCCTACGCCTACCTAAACGAGTAAGTACATATGCAAATTTCTCTCGAGTTATTGCGAAAGTGGGGGAAATTTTCAGAGTACCCTCTATCGTATTCTATTCATAGTGATAGAAAGAGATGTATTGTACTCTAATATATGCTCTCTGAATCCGATTCGAGGCGAGTCAGGGAAAGCTAATGAATGCTATGCAATTCTAGTGATACATGTCCATGAATGGATCGAATCAATGTTGTTCCTTGGGACGCTCCTGTTTCGAGTCTCGCTTGCGGCTCTTCTTGTTGTCGTCGTCGTCTTCATCACGGTCTTTTTTCTTCTTTTCGTCTTCATTCTCCAGCGCCTCCTTCACCCCCCAGCCACCCAAGTCCTTCATTTCTTCCCATTCGACATCGTACTCGGTCGCAATCACCCTGAGCTCGCGTCGCAGTGCATTGGCCTCTTGGACCAACTGCTCCCATTTTGCAATGTTGAATCCTCGCTCCAAGTAGAGAGCGTTCTGCCGCTTCGACACGGTCACATTCATGGCCGCCTTGTAGCTCAGGTCTCGGCTGATGAATAGGAACCACAAATAACCAGCCATGATGGTGGTGAGCCCGGCCAAATAGGTAATGGGCTCAACAAGGTCCCATCCCATCTCCGTGTGGAATGTGACGTAATAGACCGTGGCCCACCATGAGGCCAGCAGACCGAAACCGCCTTTGGCGAGACGGTAGGCGCTCTTGTGCGCAATCTCATCACACTCGTTTTTGAGTCGTGACATGGCGTCGATTTGTTCGCACATTCGGCGCAGCCGCATGCGCATATAATGGGTGCGATCTTTGAAGCTGGGGACGGCCACGTGCAGCTTCTCTGATACGCCTTCAATATCGACAGCAAACTCTTTGCCGCGCGCTGCATCGCGAATAAAGTCGCCAACTTCGGTGCTGGAACTCCATCTTACCCAGCTCTTGTTCTTGTTGCTCGGGCCTTCATGTCCGAGACCTGAAGACGAGGCGACATTACTAGCCTTGGCGCCCGTCTGCTCGGGAATGGCTTCCTTGTCCACCTCGGCCCAAAAGTCCACGTCTGGTGTCTTTTCCTTCTTTCCCAACTGGAGCGGGGGGAGCTCTGCCTGGATCAGTCGCTCGAGATAGGAGAGTGGTTGATGTGGGTGGATGAGCAGCGCTAGAGGAGGCGTCGACGTTTTGTTCTCTTGTATCTTTTCCAACGGCTGTTTGTTGAGGTGCTCTTGCCTGGCATCAAATGGCAGGGGAAGTACAAGCTTCAGGAGTCTCGTCGGCGTCGTCAGGATTCGTCCTACGAGCGTGTGTCAGTTGGAAGGGCGCGTCAGTGATCAGCGACCTGCACAGATGCACGCACCTTTGGATACTACATGTTTGGAGGCCTCAGCCTCGTTGAAGTCGGCTTCTTTCTCGGCCGCAGACTCGTGCGGTCTGTCTCGCTGGTAGACCGTGGCCGTGGACGCCCGCGCCACCTTGGCAAAGTTCCTGTCGTAGACTGACTTATCGGCGCCGCGATATCGAGAATTATTCCATGTATTTCCAGTCGCAATCTGCTTTGGGGCGCACGAGTGGACTCGTTTGATGTGTTGCCGGGGAAGACAGCCTGGTTGAGCCGACGTGGAGACTTGTTTACACGGCCGACAGCTGGCCGCGGCGCGCATCGCCTCCCTCCCGAGTTCTCTGCTCATCATAGCCGTTAGATCTGAGAGTTTCTAAGCGCAGATATTGATGAGCAACGGATTGGAGGCTGGGAGCAGCCGCCATCAGGAGATGCGAGACGTCAGGGAGATAAAAGGCTCATGCATGCCTTGCGTGCATCCTGTTACCAGCTATGACGTCAATTGGAACAGGATCAAGATCGGCCCACCAATTGGATTATGCAAAGGGCAGGCTAGCACGGGCGAACTGCGCCTTGGAATCATGGGCGAATCACTCATATGGATTTCCTAGGTCTGACTTTAATTCTTGGAACAGTTTTTTGCTGCTTCTCAACGGTTACTGATTGTCATTTTGGGCTGTAAGCCACCACACGTTAGACTAGGATACACTGACATGGGGTGCGGCACCACTAGAGTACTACATCCTACTACCTGCTACTACAAATAAATGTATTGAAGCATCCAGTACTAAAAAGAAAATCAAGTCGACCTCGTCGCTTTACTGGTTAATCATTCGAGATGCTTTAATTATCCCCAAACTCGGTGAAGAGAAGCCTGCTGGTTACCTCGTTCACCACTGCCAGCCACCCAAGCCACGATCGCAGGATCTGCACTGTACAACGTGACGACAAAAGCACTTACAGAAAGTGAGGAAAGTCAATTAGCAAAGATTGGGGACCTTATACTTACTAAAAGTGAGAAAAACATATTTTCAGTGAGTGAGGAAAGTCTATTAAGCAGAAGGTTTCCCGATTGTATCAAAATTAGACGAAAAATCATCAAGTCTCCGCAGATACTGTGCGTTGCAAGGCCATATATTTACAGAAAATGACAAAGGCATATTTATAGAAAGTGAACAAAGTCCATTAGAAGAATGTTCTCCAATTGTATCCAGAGTAGACGAATAATCATCGTCTCCGTCTCTACTATACGTTGCAAGGTAACCTAGTCCAGCCCACCCACCACAGTTCTTACACACAGCAGAGATGATAAACATTTCAATTTGGTCGACAGGCGGCTCGCGCTTGCGAAGTTAAACCATAACCAAGACGCAAACATACCCATCCGCGCTGAGTAGACTGAATATGAAAACTATGCCTGCTATGGTAGGAAAACATGTAAACCTAGTTTGGCGTGAGGCAAATCATGATTTCCTCTACCAGCTCTTTCTCCTATATCATAAAGTCTCTGTGCCATCCTGAAGAAAAGACCTATTCCATACTACATTCACAAATCTAATTGTCCACTGCCACCAGTGTTGTTCTTGACCACCCCTTCAAGACACTACCATTACTTGTTGGCAAGAACAATTTACCACCATTACCTCTCAACAAGAACAACCTACCACCATTACCTCTAACAAGAACAACCTTCCACGATGACATCCCAGCAAGAACAACCTACCAATATGGCCTCCAAGCAAGAACAACCTGCGACACTGACATCCCAGCAAGAACAGCCTGCCAACATGGTGCCCCGGCAGGAACGACCTACCAACATGACCCCCCAGCAAGAACAATTTACCCCTGTGACCCTTCTGGAAGAACTTCGCGCCAATTCAGTCCCCTGCACAAACACGGAAGACTTGAGCAATGCACCTTTTGCGTTCGGCCGTCTTCCCCACGACCAGGAGAGGGAGGCAGCAGCGGCACCACCTCGTCGCGAGACATCTCGGTTTTCTGGACTCCGCCAGCAAAACCCGTCAATCATCAACCAGGTGCTTCTTCCGCAGCCTGATTTTTTTCTTGCTCCCTCAGACGACGAGGAGGTCTCCAGCGTTGTCCTGGAACAAGAAAACGGCCTTGGGCGTCTCCAGCTTGCCGACTTTGCCCTCGTCTCGTTACGGATACACCTCCACATAGTTTTCGAATGTCCGCCTGCCTCCTTCTCCCACCACGACATCCATGAACCTCTCGAGCCAGCCATCCAGGGCACCTACTCGGCATATCATCATAGCCCTCATTTTTTTGTACCAGGCTCGGCACCACAGCATGAGGATATCCCGAGCACCCACTCAGAGGTGGACTATGTTACCCAAACGCCCTTTTTCAGTCCCTTTGTCCATGGCGTTCATGGGCCCGGTGTTCCTATTTCGGCTGGAGAACTGGAGCTTATTAATGACTGGGCAGAATACGACCCGCCCGGCTCATACTGGCCTACAGAAAGAGAGAAGGCAATGGCCGCACAGGAAGAAGCACGTGCAGAGGCAGACGAAGTCCTGGGGCTGGTCAGCGCAATTCATGATTGCATCAACTCAGAGCATCTGAATCTGTAGAGAAAGCAGAGTAACTAACCTGCATCTCACTCCGACGCGGCTTCACAAGCCCAAACCTGCGCCTCCAGCCAGGAGACTTGGCAGGCACGCTGGATGCACTGTGGGCTACCTGCAGGCACCCCGGAAGCGAAATACTGCGATTATTTTCTGTTTGATTTTACTTGGCAGGACATTGTTGGTACCGGTCACGATACGTATCGTAGAAAGCAAGGCAATTCTGGATCTTTGTACACATTGGGAAAAGGGATGACTTTACCAGTATTTTCCAAATGGCTGAATGAGATTTGTTTTTGATTGAATAAAATAAGACTCTTTCAATAATGTGCCCTTATTTCCGTTGTGAGAAATCTTTGTCTGCTGAATATTTCGCAGCGAGCCACCAGCATACGCCAATGTAAGGCTTGACGCAAGACCATAAAGCAGTAACAACGAGTAAACCTGGTCATTTAGAGCTACAAACCTGAAAAAAGTCTACCTATTGGGTCGACTTTCGTCTTGTGATGGGACAGATGATACGACGACCGCATTGGATTGAGAATGTCGTCAAATACAGGGTAACTCGCCAGGTCGTCGTATCCTGGGGTTCAACAGGGGTATCAACTTCGGCCCCGCACTCAGAACCATCGAGTTGCCCCTCCATCGACACCGCTTTCTCCTCCAAAAAATATCCTTCCCCAACTACAAACCACACCTCCTGTCGTTGGGCCGTAATCGAGAAGACATCGACATTCGCCATGGCTGACACCAAAGTCTACCGTGCTGGCACCACCGCACCCGTCAACATTGCCGTCGTCAAGTACGTCGTTTCCCCTCCTCATCATGCCAAAGCTTGCCCCGCCGGACACACCGAACCCCTAAAAATGGCGAAGCTCTTGCGGCGCATGATGCTAACAACGAACCGACGCGCGACAGGTACTGGGGCAAGCGTGATGCCAAGTTGAACCTCCCAACCAACAGCTCCATCTCCGTCACACTCTCCCAGGCCGACCTTCGCACCCTGACGACCGCCTCGTGCGCGACCGCCTTTGCCGAGGACAGCCTCACGCTCAATGGCGAGCTCTCTGATATTTCGGGCGCCCGAACGCAAGCGTGCTTCCGCGAGCTGCGCGCCCGCCGCGCCGCCCTAGAGGCGTCCAACGCGGCCCTCCCCAAGCTGTCGACGATGGCCCTCAAGATTGTCTCGGAGAACAACTTCCCGACTGCCGCTGGTCTCGCCTCCTCGGCCGCCGGCTTCGCCGCCCTCGTCCAAGCCATTGCCAACCTCTACGAGCTCCCCGACTCTCCCGCCGACCTGTCCCTCATCGCCCGCCAAGGCTCCGGCTCCGCCTGCCGCAGCCTGTTCGGTGGCTACGTCGCCTGGCGCATGGGTGACAAGGCAGACGGCAGCGACTCCAAGGCCGACCTGGTCGCCGAGGCTTCCCACTGGCCTAGCATGCGCGCCCTCATCCTCGTGGCCAGCGCCGCCAAGAAGGGCGTCTCCTCCACCTCCGGCATGCAGCAGACCGTGGCCACGTCGGGCCTGTTCAAGGAGCGCATCGAGCGCATCGTCCCCGACAACATGATCTCCATGGAGGACGCCATCCTCAACCGAAATTTTGCAAAGTTTGCCGAGATTACCATGCGCGACTCCAACTCTTTTCACGCCTGCTGCGCCGATACCTTCCCTCCCATCTTCTACATGAACGACGTCTCCCGTGCTGCCATTCGCGCCGTTGAGTCTATCAATGCCAAGGCCGGCAAGACTATTGCTGCTTACACCTTTGATGCTGGCCCCAACTGCGTCGTTTACTATCTGGAGGAGGACAAGGGCGCCGTTCTTGGCGCATTTTCAGAGACTCTGGGCAGCACTTCTGGCTGGAAAGCTGGCGTCGGCTCCCAGTCGGGTGTCCTGGATGAGACTGTCGCTGAAATCCTCCGGGATGGCGTGACTCGTGTTATCATGACTGGTGTCGGTGAGGGTCCTATCAAGACGGATGAGTTTCTGATTGATGCCAACGGCGAGACTGCCAAGCGATAATTTACAAAAGCATGATATTTCTCATCTATCAATAGAGCCTTACATAATCTGCATCAAACATATTCAAGCAAACGGATGGAGAATAATTGTGTGTACTGTGCCGTTCGTGCTCTGCCAGCTGCCTGGCGTTTAGACGCTTGTTACGGCGGGCCAGCTGGCACTTCAATCACTTGCACACATCCAACACCCTACATCAACCAAACACCCGAGAGAATCAATCTTTTGCACATTCAACTCCTGCACCTAATTACTGCATATCCGATACTGCAGATTAAGATTTCGCTCCGCTCGTGGCTGCTCTTCTCATCCAATCTGGTGGCCGGCAGCGATGGCGCAAACTAAATCGCCAGACCTGGCTGCGGCTACGATAGCAACACTCATCTCGAGTGGTAGCGAGATTGAGGTCTCCGAGCTCGACAAATCAGGACACGTGCAGCAAAAATGGCTATATGAGCCAAGCGGTCGCATCGTACACGTTAGTATACTGTTTCCATGTGGTTTTCCCGCTGCCGCGCGTCATGGCTAACAAATGCTGTGCTAGATCCGTCCGAAGGGCCACACAAACGACCTCTTCTCGCGCTCGCTGCGAGAATGGAAGAAGATCCTATCTGATTCCTTCCTGCCCGTCGGCTTTCCGCACTCTGTGTCCTCCGACTACCTGGCCTACCAGACTTTTGATTCCCTCCAGGCCTTCTTCTCCACCATCACCTCGCTCCTCGCCAACCGCGCGCTGCTGCAGGGCCTCGGCGTCGGCGACGCCAACTCGTCGGCCACCTTTGCGCTCTTGCTGACCATTCTCCGCGATGCCACCTCGCGCGTCGCGACGATTGCGTTTGCGCACCGCTTCGGCCTCCGCATCGAGCCAGACGCCAAGCGGTACCGGTTCCTGGCCGACCTGTTCAACGACTCGGCTTTTTTCCTCGAGCTGTACAGCCCGTACCTGTCGCCGTGGGGCAAGGTGGCCGCGCTCAGCATCGGCGAGGCGCTCCGGGCGCTGTGCGGCGTCTCGGCCGGCGCGAGCAAGGCGGCGCTCAGCGTGCACTTTGCCAAGCATGACAACCTGGCCGAGCTGAATGCAAAGGAGGCCAGCCAGGAAACCGCCGTGGGGCTTATTGGGCTCCTGGTCGGGACTGTTGTGGTCAAGGTGGTTGAAGACCATCGGAGCGTCGTTTTCTTGATGATTCTTCTCGTTTTCGGTCATCTCTGGATGAACTACCTGGGCGTTTGCAGTGTCGAGATGACCACACTGAACCGCCAGCGCGCCACCATCTTATTCCAAGAATATCTGCAAACAGGAAAGGTGCTTTCACCCGCCGAGGTCTCGAAGCGCGAATACATTGTCGTTTGGAGCCCCTCCGTCTCGAACCGACACGGTCAGAAAGTTGCTAAGATCGAACTGGCTGAGAGCTTCGGACATGCGATGAGCAGCTCTACTGGTAGGGTCAAGATTCTCGATGGCGACAAGTACTCCATTGCCGTCACGCCAACATCGGCTTACAAAAACACGACGTTGCGGATACTGCTTTGGGACAACTCGTCGCCGACGCAGGCCATCATGGCCTGGTTCGAGGCTGTTGAGATGGCCTGGGCTATGGACAAGCTCACAGGTTTCACGCATAATCTGCAACGGGTGTTTAGCAACGAAGATGTCGTCGTGGATGGATACGTAAAGCACTTTACCAGCAAAGAACTTTGGACGAGCATGGAAAAGAAGGGCTGGGACTTGTCCACACAGTCGCTTGAGACAGCTGCGCCTGTCCGATTAGTAGCTCGCAAATTGAGCAACAAGGTGTATTAGCCGCCGGACGGCGCTCAAGAGCTTGTTGCCCATAGCTCTGAGCATAGCACCGGCACGAACAAGTATGCAGTGAAAACAATTTGCTCTATTAATGCTGGTGTCGTGTTGTACAATGGGCAAGTATGCCCAGTAGTTTACATGTCTTTATATACTGTGGTACAGGAGATGTTCAGAGCTCGTCGCTTGTGTCGGTCATTCATTGTCGTGTGTCGGGTAGGGTGTCTGCCCCCTCCCCCTTTCAGGCCAAACGCACCCAGCGCATGGCGCGCATCTTGACCCCCTCCCACGTATTCAGCTTCGGCCGCACGTCGAGATAGAAGCTGGGGCCCGGCGTCGCGCCGCCCGGGCGCCCGGCGTAAAAGTCAATCACGTAGTCGACCCTCGTGCCGCAGCGGTCAATGACCCAGTCGTGGCGGTCAAACGGGGCGGTGAAGCCGAGGATTGTGTTGATGCGCGCCGTGGGCGTCATGCGGTCCATTTTATTCGCAAACGATTCGAGCCTCGGTCCGCCGCATCTGGCGAGAGCGTTAGCCACAGCACGTCGAAACACAATCAGGGCAAACTTACTCCGACTTGGCCAGGTACGGCGCCTCCCACTCCTTAATCTCCTTCCAGGCGCGCTCGTTGACGGCGTTGTGGATCGGCACGACCGTCTTCATGTCGGCCACGCGCGCGTCGTAGCCCTTGCGCTTCATGGCCTCGAAAAACATCTTCTCCGACGGGTACACCCAGTTCCCCGAGGCGGCGTCGGCGCCCGACTCCAGCTCGCTGTTGGCCGGGTTGGCGGATGCCCCGTGGTCGACGGGGCACGGCGAGGAGGGGTCGCCGGCGGCGCGCGGAATCGTCGAGACGACGCGCTCGGTGTCAAGGGGGCTCCTCGTCGTGTGCGCGGGCGGTGGCGTAGGAGCGGCGGTGGCCGACGACGACGACGACCAGAGAAGGGAGGTCAGGCGCGCGCTCCAGGACGGCGAGGAGGACGGGGATGGTTGTGCGGTGTGGTCGACGGGGCATTGCTTCGCAGATGCGGCGGCGGCGGCGGCCTTGGAGGCTTCGGCGACGCGGGCCTGCTCGAGCCACGCCTCGCGGCTTTTGTGATCGACGGGGCAGGCGTCGGCGGCCATTTTGCGTGTCACTCGGTGCTAAGTTGTGGTGCCTGTGCGATCGTAATGGAGCAAGGTTGGAGTCGAGATGCTGGCGTAATTCGGGGAATAGGGGGAAAATAGCTGGATTGTGTCGGGAAAGGTCGTGATGCCCTCTGAACAAAGAAAAAAAAAGTTACAGCTGCGCTGGTCAAAAGTGGACCCTGTCAACATGAGCACGGAAATGACTTGGATACTTGAATATTAATGACCTAATAAATCATTTAGCTATGATTCTTTCAAATTCTTTACTTCATTCTATTTTTTTTTTCTCGAGCGGACAGTCTTGCCTGCCATTGCCTAGAGTGACCTGTCGGTGCTTCTTTCAACTCGTTTGCATCGCTAATGTAATCCGCTCCGTATCGCCACTCTTCTGCACCATGTCCCAGAACAGGCCGCGTCGAGCCATCAACGTCGCGGGCGGCCCAAACTCGACCACCTCACCGTCGCGCATGACGAGGACGCGGTCAAAGTCAGCCACGGTCAAGAGCCTATGCGCGACCACGATAATGGTACTCTGAGAGAACTCTTGGCGGATGACGCTCTGCACGGCTGCGTCGGTTGCATCGTCCACTCCACTCGTCGCCTCATCTAAGAGGACGATTGGGCTCTCGACGAGCAGCGCGCGTGCCAGGCATATCAGTTGCCGCTGCCCGTACGAAAGGTTGACACCGCGCGCTTGAATCGGCATGTCAAGATCTGAGAAGCTGGCCAGGGTCTTGTCGTCGATGCTCGCACCCGGCTGGATGAGACGGGCTCGACGCAGCACCTCGAGCAGTCGCTCGTCAGTTGCGGTGCTGCAGGGGTCAACGTTGGATCGTAGGGTCCCTGAAAAAAGAAAAGGGTCTTGTGGTATCAGTGCCAGAGCTTCTCGCAGTCTTTTCACCTTGATGGTTGAAATATCGACGCCGTTGAGAAAAATCTGGCCCTGGGTGGGATTGATAAAGCGTGCCAGTGCGTTGATAAGGCTCGTCTTGCCCGATCCCGTACGGCCAACGATGCCGAGACGCTGACCCGGCTCGACTGAGAAACTGACTGCGCGCAGGGCCGGTCGCGCAGATGCTTCATAGCCGACTACCAGGTTGCAGACCCGAAGACTGGCGTCCGTCGCCCAAGACGATCGAGGAGGCTCGTTTCCCTCTTGACTCTCTGTTTCGACATGGGAAAGGCTCACAATTTGACCAATGGTGCGAGCCAGCATATCATGGAGGTTGAACATGGTGGTCGTACCACTGAGAGTATCTTTCAGTTGGAGCGCCAGAGTAATAATCAAGCCCGCCTTTCCGGCATCTTCCTCTTGATAGACGAGAGTCGCTGCCACAATGGTCACAAATACCGCGCCGAGGGCACCTAGGCGAACGGCGAGCCAACGCTGCCCTAGTATCAGATGGAGGCCCAACTTTGCGCTTCGATCTACCAATTGATCCATTCGCTCAATGTAAAAGTCGGTTCTGTCGAATGCCCTGATTGTTGCCAGACCTGAGGCGATTGACGAAGCATGTTCAAGTACGGGTCGAAGAGATTCGTCAATAAGTCTAAACAGTTGGCGAGAAATAGCAAGCTGTTGTATCACCGCTCGGGAGTAGATGACGAGAACAGCAGCACTGAGGAGTATCGTCTGGGGGGCAGATAATAAGCTGTAATAATTAGCAGTTGCATTCTCTGCGATTTGATGCACGGTTTCATACCTGCTGGTCAGTATAAAGACCAAGTTGGCAAGACTTCCTAGTAGGTTGTGTAGTGATTGGGTCGTTTTGTTGTCCAGTGTATATATATCAGTCTCTAGGACTTGAATCATCTCTCCGAGCGGCATGCTGTCAATCCAGGTGAGGGGGGCGTATAAAACGCTTCGCACAAGTCTCCGAAAGAGCGATCGCGAAGCAGTGAGGCTCATCCCGAGCAGAATAAGCGATATCAGTTCCAGCCCTATCACCGTGCTCAAGGAGAGCGCGAAATATATTTTGATGTTGTGAACCACAGAATGATCAGCGCTTGTCTTGTCCTGTACTGTCCACCGAGACAGCCACCACGAGCTGCTATGCGTAACGGCGCGAGACAGCAAGGTGAGCAGGACGCCCATCACCAGGGACCAGACTCCGCCACTAGCCCATATATACGCTGATAAGATCTGACCAGTCCTCATGGTAGGAAGGCTCGCAGAGCTTTTGGGATTTTCGGGCTTTTCAGATTCCTTATCCAGGTTGAGGATTGGGTCAGGGTATCCCTCTCCGGCTTGCGCAGGCTCCAGATTCTTGCGTTCCAATACAGCAGTACGGGAAATGGCTTTGCCGATAGCACGATTATTCTCAACAGTGACGTGGTATTTAGCGGTGTCCAAGAATGCATTTGGGCTGTGAGTAGCCAGAATGACGGTTCTCCCCCTCGCCAACTCACCCATCAACCCTCGCTCACAGAGTCTTTGGGCGACGTGGGCATCCACAGCGCTTAGAACATCGTCGAGAATAAGTATTTCAGCAGTGGAATAGAATGCGCGAGCAAGCGCAACACGCCACTTCTGGCCGCCGCTCAGAAAGGCACCATTCAGTCCCGCGATGGTCTGGTCACCTCCAGGTAGGACCGAGAGATCATGGTCTAGAGCACAAGCATCCAAGGTCGCTTTGTACCGCTCGTCATCATACACGTTACCAAACAATATGTTGTCTAATATGGAGCAGTTCTCAATCCATGGCGGCTGCGACACCAAAGCTGTGCTTCCGACTTTAATGCGAACCTTTTCGTGACTAGATTCGGGGCGAACGGAGTGCACAGGCGGGCGAAGTAGTCTTCCTTCCCCAATGTTAGCCTCCTCGAGCAGGGCGCTGAGCAAGAGACTCTTTCCAGAGCCAGTGCTGCCCGTCACAATGCTCAGTGCCGCAGGCGGGAAGGCAACATTAACGCCGGACAGGGTGAATTCATCTTGAAGGTTTGGGTCAGAACTCTTGGCATGCCAGCGCAAAAAAGCATTTTCAAGCCCTAATCCCTCGGATGAGACTGCCGGTCTTTCTCGTTCGGGTTCGCTCAGATACTGGTGAAGAAGCCTGCAGCTAGACCATGAGACGCGGGCTTCCGCGAAACGAGACGGGAGCTCTTGGAATGCAGATTGAAGATTGTCGAAGAGGTTCAACGCGAGGAAAGCAATGGAGGGACTCAAGTGGCCGGCCCCGTATGCATACATAGACAGTGCGATACAGACCAGCAAGACGGGACCGAGATTTACGGCCAAACTCAACAGTGACATCGCGATGCCAGCGCTCCACATTTGGTCAAGCTCCTGATCTCTCACGGCGCCTAGACGATCTTGCCAAACGCCTTCCATAGAAGCAAGTCGAATATGGCGAAGGCTTTGCAGTGCCTCGGACACGAGGTTGGAGACGGCAGAGTGGGCTTTGGTCCTCTTGGCTCGCGCTGCTCGATATCTCTGGGAAAGCTTGGCGGACAATGGAACCAGTAACATAGAAACAATAGTTCCGGCCAGTATGCTTTTTGTGCCAAGCAAGCGCGACAAGTAGTGAACGTCTAGGCATAGCTTGAAAATGGCCACCAAGAAATGATGGGTATGGGCGCAGGCGTTGGCAGTCTCCTGACTAGATTTGCGTTGGCTGAAGATTTCTTCAAGCATATAGGTGAAATATAGACATACCAGTGATTTGTAAGAATGTCCGTCAAAGACGGATACTCGAACTGACCCGCACTTTTTGCGTTGCTGGCTTGTTTCGGTACAAGACCCTTTCCGGGAGCCAATGGTCTCCGCGTCAACTTATCGACGACGAGAGATTTGAGTAGTCCTTCAACCGGAATCTGCAATTTCATCTGGGTGAACCATATCAGCCAGCTATGGGACAACGTTTCGATAAGAAGCCCTGTACCAAGGCCAGCCACCCATGCCGATGCCGAGTTTGAAGGTTGCCCATGTTTTTCAAGGCATTGTAATAACTTGAAGAGCGCAAAACGACTACCAAACTGGGACGCAGCAGAAGCAAACGCAAGACACCACTGAACAATGAGTGTCGGGAGGAAAGCTCTCATAAGCTGCTTCCAGAGGTGGACTGAATTGTCTCCTCGAGTCGACGTCCAAATTGGTTTCCATCTCGCAACGCGCGAAGAGTGGCTAACCTCTGGCAGGAGATCCATCTGGATCTTGTGAGGAATGGCAGACCGTGACGCGTGAAATGGGCCCCAGGAGAATGCAAGTCTACTCCAGAATGAGACAGACAACTCAGAGTCTACCTGCAGACCCTGGCGAAAGACGACGGGGCGTCTTGGTATCGACCAACTAGCCAGGAAGACAGCCAGGAGAGAGCCAATCTCGGACCAAGGTGCCTCCGAGCGACCTTCCTGTACGGCAGCCGCTCGGTAGAGAATCCATAGCAAGCATAGAGCGGCCGAAGAACCAAGGCGGAAGCCGTGTGCGTAGCGCTGCTGGAACCTCTGCTCGAGCGACAGGATGAGAGCCTGCACGGACAGGAGCGCCTACTTCTAATTAGTAAAATGGTGTGCGTAGCGAGGGGGCTCTTTTTCAACTCGGTCGTACCCAAATAACAACCTCCACCGCGTTTGCTGGGAGCTGTTGGCGTGGAACAGCACCCACGGCGAGGGCATCATACACGGCAATCGATAGCCCTGCTGCTGTGGCCACGTCTATAATTGCCTTTTGGGCAGCAGCTGAACAAAGTGCTTCCGAATCTTTGGTAGCCTCGCCATCTTCATCGTGATAGATTTCCTTTGGGGCACAAGTGTGTTGGGCTCCGCCAAGGAATTGTCTCAGTGTAAGGAGCGAAAGGGAGGTCGCGGTCACCACTGCAGCGACGGACGCAAGAGTTGGGACGTGGGCGCTGTCTTGCCGCATCGTCTCCTTTAACCCATCTATGGGCGCGATCATAAGATCGGGAAACTGAGTGCGGAGAAAGATGTTGTCTTTTTATTTACGCGTAGAACTGCCTGATCGTGTATCGTGTTCCAAGTTAATTGTTATGTTGGAGAGCTTGCGCATAAAAAATCTCTACCCGAAAGGCCGATTATGACACCAGGTCTAGATCCCGAATGACGAGGCCTAAATTCAAGAAACTTTCAATAGAACGAAGGAGCAAGCCATATAAATGTCATTTGAATCGGTGGGCGATGTCGACGTTAATGCCACTGTCAAAATGGGATCGCGACAGTGACACAGTACTGGATCTAGTGAGACTCCGTCGTCACAGTTTATAAAATAACTATCCGCATTCTCTAGCAATGCCACGACTTCGCTGAAAGCTAGTTCAACAAGCTGTGACAAAAGGCATCGCCCGATGGCTCACGCCCTAGAAAATTCACCAAATTCTGAAACCCATCTCTACTACCACCGCTTTCAAGTACACACTGTCGATAGCGCTTGAATCTCTCGGCGTCCCGCGGATGGTCATGGAACTCGCTGTAAAACAAGTCCGCCGCGTATACCTTGGAGCTGGTAGCCATGCGTGCGACATTAGAGATTCGTCCATGAAAAGGGGTCAAAATCCGAGAAACTTACTACAAATAGCCGTAGTAGCCAGCGGCGTGGTCGGGCATCATCAGGTGCGTGGTGGTGGCGTATCCGTTCCCGTGCGTGTAATTTCCGTCAAAGACCTCTTGTCCGTCAAGGAGCCCCATCTCCTTGCGCGACGCGTTCCACAGCACGGTAATGTCCAGGTACTCGGCCTCCTCCTCGCTCGCAATCTGGTGGACGGTGAGGTCAAACGAGGCGCGATGCATCTGGTCCAGATGGAACAGCGGGCCGAGCGTCGATCGTCCCGCCTGCGTGAGCACCTGGATAAGCTCGTCTGGAATCTCGGGCTCCGGCTGCGCCTTGCCTTCGTTTTCCTCTTGCCACGCGGCGAGGTGTGCCGGGCTGAGGTGCGAGTAGTGGTAGCTGAGCGCCTTGAGCTGCGACGGGGTCCGGCACCAGTACTCGAGCATTTGGCTGGGTAGCTCGCCGACATCCGCGGCCAGGCCTTGGCGCCCGTGGAAACGCGAGTACTGTGTCTTGGACACCAGGTCGTGGATGCAGTGTCCCAGCTCGTGGAGAAGGGTCGTCACTTCGAAATGGCCGAGTAAGCTCGGCTTGGTCGGTGTTGGCTCAGAAAAGGCACAAAGCAGGGCAGTCGACGGGTAGTGGCGTGTTCCATCTTTTCGAGTGAATCCCTACCAGGTGATCAGAATTAGATCACGGGACAACACGTCATACGTCTTCGAAGACATGTTGATGCCTCTTGGGAAGGCAGTATATGCTTACCGGCTCCAAATTAAAGCCTGATTCACTCGGGTACTTGCCGTCGCGATGGAGGAGATCAAGATACAAGTAGCCAAGAAACTCGGCCCCATGACTTGCATCATTGTAGACGGAGAATAGCTGGACATTTGGATGCCAGACATCATCTTCGACGGCTCTAATCTCAATGAACCTTATCCCAAACAGCTCACTGAAGAGATCCATAATAGCTGACGTCGTACTTTGCAAAGGAAAGTATTCTCGAGTCTGCGATCTGTCCACGGACAGCTGGGACTTGAGTAGCCGGCTGTGATAGTAGTCATAATCCCAATGAAAGAATTCGTCACTCTCATCGTCCTTGTCCGCATCGTTTCGCTTAAGGTCCCTCAATTTCTGTACGGCTGCTAGGCCGCATGGCCGCAGCTTTGACTGCAGATCCAGCAAGAATTCTCGGACGCGCTCCGGTGTCTTGGCTACTCTCGATTGCAGCTGCAAAGCAGCGTAGCTGTCAAAGCCCAGCAGCTTGGCCATTTCGTACCGGAGCTGCACAGCCTCTTTGACCAGGGGCACGTTGACGCCGCATCTTGCATCACTCGCAAGGAAGAGCTGTTTTCGCGTGCTGCTCTTGCTGGCGGAGGGGAGGATGTTCCTGTGCGCCGGGTTCGACAGATCGAGCCGCAGCTTGCCGCTGCTGTCGTCATACTCGAGCTGCTTGACGGTAAACTCGGGAACGCCCTCCAGCTCCTCCAGGCTGAAAAAGATCTCATCCGTGCAGTGGCTCAGATTTTCGCGGGATTCTGCGTGGATCATGCTGAGACGGCGTTGGATTTCCTCGAACCGTTCCCTGCCCGCGGCGTCGCGTATTCCAAAGCCCGACTTGAGAAATCGATGATATGACGTCTCTACGAGCAGCTTGGACTCACCCGTGAGCTCCTCGGAATTATGGTATACAACGGCCACGAGCTCAAAAATGTCCTCTCTCCGCCAGCACTCGGCATCAAAGTCGTCAAACAGTGCCTGCGCATTGGCCGACGCCGCACGGATGTCGGGGTCTACAGAAACATGTCGATAGAAGCTGAGAACCCTAGATTTGGCGGCAAAATCATTCTCCATCTGCGCCAGAGGGACCATGACATTGGCGAATGTTGCCCACTCGGGAGCAATGTCTTGGACCAGCTCGTCCCTTTCGCATCTTGATGCCCTGACCAACCGCTCTGCACCGGTAGTTATGGAAGCAGACGTGGCAGAAAATTCAATGCAGTACTGTATTTCTGGCATCTTGTTGGGCTTGAACATGAGCGTATTTCAAGTGATTGATCGCGGAAGACACACTGTAGTTGTGTTTGGGCAGCGAACGTTGAGCCCGAATCTTGGGCCCCCGCATGTATGTCAACTACATGATAACAAAATTGGTTTGTACGTAATCGAGTTGAGGGGAGTTGGGCTTTGGCGTCTTATCACTTTTATATTTTTATGGAATGATATTGATAGGACGTGCCGTTCCTTGCATGAGCACAGCAACAGCACTGAAGACTGTGCAGGCAGCTGAGGCGGAATTAAACGCAAATTTAATTTTAGACTGGCTTATTTCCAGTCAATCTAGATGCAGGGAGAAGCTGGAACCCTTTTTTACTGCCATGAATGGATCGACAGGTCGTTGCACGTCCAAGACCGTACAATGTGTAAGGCGCCCTGATGCGGGGTCTTAGAGGCGGAATTATGCATTAATAAATATTCTATGATTTTCCATCTTATTAATTCTGCCCCTTGTATGTAATACTTTCGGAACGTCATCGTCGATGTTTGGCAGTCGTTGCCGAGATCTGCGGCTTGCACACGAGTAAATGCTGTGGACGACACCAGCCCAAACCTGTCGCGTGATGACAGCACTCGTGCCAACCTGAAACCTAGCAACTCCAAAGCCGCCTCACTTCAGCAATCATGCCGCGCTGCCCAAAGAACACAACGAGGAAAAACGCCAGATGACTGACAGCTCCGCCTCTTCCCACATGCGTCTTCCACTGCCCGGGAGTCCCTCGTCTTCCTGGGGCGCCTACACCGCGCGTCTCAACGCCCTCCGCCATCATCCCAACATGAAGGTCGTCGTCGCCTTCTGGCTATTCGGTAACGTCCCCCTCTCGCACGCGCATCGTCGTCCCAGCCGTATAACTGCTAACCTTGTGCGCGCCGCCCCCCGTCTAGGCCTCATCAACAATGTCCTCTACGTCATCATCCTCTCGGCCGCGCAGGACCTCGTGGGCACGGTGCCCAAGGGCGTCGTGCTCCTCGCCGATGTCGTCCCGTCCTTCTTCGCCAAGCTCATCGCGCCGTACTTTATCCACCACGTGCCGTACCGCACCCGAGTCCTCACATTCTGCGCCCTCTCCGTCGCCGGCATGACGCTCGTGGCGCTGACGCCGCCCTCGGCCCCCGTCGCCGCCAAAATGGTCGGCGTCGTGCTCGCCAGCCTCAGCAGCGGCGGCGGCGAGCTGAGCTTCCTCGGGCTCACGCACTTTTACGGCCCCGCGAGCCTCGCCGGCTGGGGCTCCGGTACCGGCGCCGCGGGGCTCGTCGGCGCCGGCCTGTACGTGGCGCTCACCGACTGGTGGCGCGTCAGCGTCCGTGGCAGCCTGCTCGTGGCGGCCACGCTGCCCGCCGTCATGCTCATCAGCTTCTTTGCCGTGCTGCCGCAGGGCCCGCTGCGCAAGGGCGCGACGGGCAATGCCGGCTACGGCGCCGTGCCGGGCGACGATGCGGCCGACGACGAGGAGGAGAGCTCGGCGACGGCCGCCCTCTTGGATCCGGCACGGGCGCGGGCGGCGGCCGACGGGGCGTCGGAGCTGTCTGCCCTGAAAGCCAACTTGAGACGGGCAAAATCACTGGTGGTGCCGTACATGCTCCCGCTTCTTCTCGTCTATGTGGCCGAATACACGATCAACCAAGGCGTTGCACCCACGCTCCTCTTTCCCCTCGCCGAGTCGCCATTTGACGAATTTCGCGGGTTCTACCCATTCTACGGTTTTCTGTATCAACTTGGTGTCTTTATTTCGCGGTCTTCAATACCCTTTGTCCGTATTCGCCATTTATACCTCCCCTCCGCTCTACAAGTCGGAAACCTTGTTCTGCTGACGCTGCATGCCATGGTGTTCTTTATCCCCTCCGTGTACATCATCTTTGTCATCATTTTTTGGGAGGGATTGTTGGGCGGCGCTGTCTACGTCAACTGCTTTGCTGAGATTATGGAGAATGTGCCCGAGGAAGAGCGTGAGTTTAGCTTGAGTGCCACAACCGTCAGTGACAGTGGTGGTATTTGCATCGCAGGTCTCGTAGGAATCTTCTTGGAAATCGGGCTTTGCAACTACCAAGTAGCGCACGGCCGGGATTGGTGTAAGCAGATCAAGGTGCAGCGTGGGTAACTTGATCATGTGCAACTATCGATTTAGAAGCGATGGCAGTCTACGGGACGTTGAATAGATTACAATTTAGAGCCTGGTCCATTGCTTGCTCCCATGTGACTTGGCGGGGAAAAAGCCACGATGCCACGTTTGCCTACTCATGTCACATGCTGCATATCAGCTCTGCTGGACCATTGGCAGAAACAAACAAGACGAGCAAGAACAATGGGGCTAGGCTAGTAGGATAAGAAGAAGACGAGACGCTTGCCAGAGCTATCTGTGCCAACTCAACTTTGGGGTTGTGGCTTGCTGTAAGTCCAGCCCCATGTTTTCTGCCGATGGGTGTGGCAGCCTTGATGCGGCGGACTACAGATACATAGCGTCATATTGAGGTGAGGAGCGAGTGGCATCAGGCAATTCAGTGAAACACGCACCCTGCGTCGAGGATATGGGCGAAGCCGATGGCAGGTCAAGAGCATGCCTCTGCCATGCCTTGCAGCCTGGCACGAGACAGAACTGTGTAGCAGCCGTCTTTCGCGAAACGATTTCCAAATATGAAGTAACTAACTAGTGGAGGGTGTCCTCGGGACAGGCTACAAATATGGTTATCACTGTGCTTCGGCTGTGGTGGTGGAGGCATGTGAGCTAGTGTGACGGGCTGGGCAATGGAGAAGTGGCGCGAGACCAGCTCATGCCAAGCGTCATATCTGTCGATTAGATTTGGTGAGAGAGGATCGGCGAGGTAGCTCTGGAGCCTTTCGGGAGGCATGCAGCTGGGAGGGGGGGAGGAAATGGCAGGTTGTTTGCTGCGGGATTTGATGCAGTGTCGATATTGTACCGAGACCTTTGGAGAGAACATCAGTTGACGTGTGGAAGGTGTGTCTCACGGGTGGGCGGTTGGTGTATTTTCTAGGACCATGCAGTAATCTGTAATCTGTAATCTCTCATCTGTAATTTGTAACGGCATATTTTTCTCTTCTTTTTGGCAGCGGCTCGAGGACCGATGGGCCCCACAAGATTCGATAGCTCTACAATAGTTACGCCGTAACTATAGATAGGTACCTACGGAGTGGCTACGGAGTACTGTGCAGGCGAAAAAGAATGCCGTCCACACTCTATAGGAACCCGGCGAATAACATCGAATAACGACTGCATTTATTTACCAGTCCCCAGACTACTCCGTACCATGCTACCAAATGCCGTACCGCCCTCGGCCCAGTCAGTGCCCCCCCAGACCTCCAGGTTCGGGAGGTTCGGGGCCCAAGAGTGGATCCCGGCTATGAGCGTTCCAGCGTCCGCAAAGCCCTGTAGCTCTGGGGCTCATCCCCAGATTTGGCCCAGCGACTGCCCACTCACGGCGGCCCAAGCAGTGGGAAGCAAGCCGCGGGTCAGCCAGCAATCAGCAATGCGCCAACACTAAAAAGGAACAAAAAAAAACTTTTGCCCAAAGGCCCCAAAGGCCCCCCCCGGCCCTCGCCATTTTGGAGTCCAGGCACCACCTCCCGCCTAGAGCAGCCTCCAACCAGCCCACCGTCACCCGTCACCGCAACTGCTGCATCTACAACACCAACGGCGCATCATCATCACACAAGCCCGCTCCCGTCAGCGGCATCAACTCTTGTGCATCTGCGAGCGCCGCCGTCACTGTCGCCGCCCACCACAGTCCGTCGCCGCCGCCTCATTTCCCCATCGCCGTCCCGACACTGCGCTGCGCTGCCGCCACGCGCCCCCAGCTCGCGACGCCAGCTTTCCCGATCCAGCCAGCCAGCCTTCTCCCATCACCCTCGGAGCCAACCCGCCTCTCCATCTCAGTGCTGGCCGTGCCCATGCCGCCTCCCACCCGGACGCCGCCGCCGCATCTGGGCCAGCAACATCAACCGCCGCATCACCAGCACAGTCACAGCTCCGGCAGCTACCATGGTCCGCCGCCGCCCCGGCCGCCTGTCGGTGTAGCGCCGTCGCCGCACCCGCACCCGTCCGCCTCCTTTACCTCGGGCAGGGGATTACCTGCGCTGGAATCACTCACGCGATCCTCGCCAGGGGCCGGCAGCTCCATGTCGATATCGTCGATGCTGGGCGGACCGCCTCCTGCCTCACGCGAGTCGCAGCCTCCCCCGTCGCACTACTCACCGCACTCTGCGCCCCCGACCACCTCCGCGGCTCAGTACGGCCCATCCGTACATGCGTCGCCCCGAATGCACTCGGCCTCTTCCGACTTCAACCCATTTCGACGCCCCCAGACGCCCGACCACCAGCGAAACTACGATCCGCGCGGGAGCGCCGCCCAGTCCCCCCGAGGCCACTACGCCACCACACCCGATGTTCAACGATACGGCACACCGCAGTCATATCATGTGAGGCACCCGTCCGCGCCCGCCGACACTGGCCGCGAGCCAGGTAGGATGTCGACAGGTCCGCCAAACACGCCAGGCAATCAGCCAAAGCCCTTTAGCAGCCTTCCGAGGCCGATAGATTTGGCGCGCGGTCCGCAAGAAGAACAATATGCGCGTCGCGAGGACCCTCGTCACGGTGCAGACTACCTAGACCGTACTACACATCGACATTATCCATTTGATGACCGGTACCGGTTGGAGCGCGATAGGCAGCCTGGGCCCGACCAACGAGAACGGGACGCGCGAGAGCACGCATACGCTGGTGGAGAACCGCGCCACGGCCCGCCAGAGCTCAACCCCCGAAACCAGCCATCCTATCCAAGGCAACCAGAGCCAGTCGACCGACGCGAACCGCCTCGAGACCAACACTGGGGTCGGCAGCCACCCGATCACAATTATCGCGCTCCCATGGAGCATCAACGTGGTCATCCTGAATATCCGCCCGCGTCCGGCCCCTACCCGCCCCATGGCCCTGCATACCAAACAGCGCCGCCGCCGCCGCCGCCAACGCAGCAGCAGCAGCAGCAGCAGCAGCAGCAGCAACAACAACAACAGCAGCAGCAACAGCAACAGCAACAGCAACAGCATCAAGACCGCTACGCACCCACATCGCACCCGCATCCTCAGACCTCTGGTAGCGGTCCTCCCCAGCCCTATGATTCCCCCGACCGAGCCCCTCTAGACCGACTGCATCCTGGGCCCCGCCCTCGCGAAGACCAGAACCAGCACCCTCCTGCTGGGTACCACAACCCAGCGCATGGTCCTGGGTCGTACGACCTTGCCCGACAGAGAAACGGAGATGACCAAACCGGTCAAATCCATCAGCGCAATCTTTTGGGCGTACAAGAGATGAATCGCAAGGGGCGTTTGTCGCCCCTCCCCCAAGCAGTGCAGGGCGCCCAACCACAACAACCAGGCCCCGCCGGCGAGCCAGGTATCAAGAGTGAATTTGGACGCATGTTTGGTGGTATTGGTAGCGGAGTTGGCAACATGGGCGCTTCTAGTCCGATGACGTCCGCGCCTGGCGGACAAACAGGCGGCAGCGCCTTGTCCAGGGACGAGGACCCTGCTGCCGATGGTGCAAAGAAGCCGCGGAGAAGAAAGCTCAAGGATGACATTGACAAACCTGATGATGAGAGTACTGGAAGACGGACACCGGTTGGACGTGGCGCTAAGCGCGTCAAAGGACATCACCACCATCAGTATGCCGCTCATGACATCATATCTGGAGCAATTGCTGACATTTACCCAGCCATCACCACCATCATCATCATGCCCCCGATTCAGTCTCTTCCCCGCTGGTTGGGATAACGCCACTTAAGGGGGGTAAATCGAGCGTACCGACCGACATTGCCAGTGACAAAACCGCTACCGGAGCGCACCTTCACGCCGGGCGACCAGCACCGAGTTCCACACCCAAACCCGTCGAGATTCAAGCGCCTGTCATTCCGCCCAAGACAAAGACCATCGTATCATCCAAAGCCGTGTTGGAGTCGATATCAAACAAACCTCGTCATCACCTAGGGGACTTTGTCTACGAGACGGAAATCAAACCCGGCAGACTTATACCCAGAGCATCGACTAATCGCGGCTTTTCCTCAACACCCAAACCCCTGCCTCTGGACCGCCTCAAGGGCAAAGAGAACAGCATATTGACCATCAAGGTTCCTCGCGTGCACCTCATGCCCGTCGCGCGAGAAGAGATAACTGCTCGATCGTTCTTGTGGGGGACAGACGTCTACACGGATGACTCTGACGTCGTTGCGGCTTGTATCCATGCTGGGTGGATTATGGGCGAATGGGCCGAAGACATTGATACCGCCATGCTGAGTCTAAACAAGGCTGACAGCGCCAAGGAGTCTAAAAAGTCCAAAGCGCCTGTCGAGTTTGCCTCTGAAGGTGTCATATCGTCCGTCCCCAAATCCGGCCCGATGCCGGTCCCAGCCAACCGTGACCTCCACATCAACGTGGTCATCGCACCGCGTCTCCTCAAGTATGCCGGCTGCACGCGGTACGGCCTCACCAGCCGCGAATTCGGTGGCGAGTTTGGTAGTCGTCACGCCGTCCATGATGGTGTCAGCTACATGATTGAGAGCATCCGCTGGGTCGCCAACGGCGGGCAGTCGCAGGCGCGCCTGCGCGGACAGGCTCGTCGGGACCGCATGCGCAAGGCCATGGTGGAGGTCCACGCCAGCCTCGGCAACATAAGCGGCCAGGAACGAACGCTGGAGCAGCAGCGCATCAGTAAGCTGCGCGGCGAGATACCGGGCACCTGGTGGAAGCCCTCTGAGAACGGCGGTGGCGGTGGTGACCAGACGGGTGGCCCGGACCAGGATGTGCCCTCGGGTGACAAGGAGAACCTGACGGCCGGTACCGGTGATGCGGCGGCGGCTGAGGGTGTTCCAGCTGAGGCCAAGGGCCGGCCTGCCGATCAGGACGTGGACATGGTCGAGGGCGTGGACGGCAAGCCCGCAGATGTGAATGGCGCGTAGACGAGACGGTCGCGTTTGGACCCATGTATTAACAGTTTGCGGGCAACGACATATTCTGTTTCTCATCTCGCGAACGGATATTCTTTTTATTTTCTGTGCGGAGAGGGTCATGTATAAAGGGAAGTTTGATTTCTTCACTATTCTCAGTTCGGCAAACAGCACAATCACGCACGACTCTGGCGTCGTGGTTTCTCCCTCTATTGATACCAAGAGAACGTATGTATGTATGTATATAATACAAGTCAAACCTAAAAATATATAAGATAAGAATTTGCCTTTGACGATGTCAAAATCAGCTCCATCAAGAACAGTATGTTGTACAGTATGGTCTCTCATTTCCTCGTGACGGTCGCGATTCCGATGCCCAGTCCATATGCGCCTTTGTTTCACCGTTGTCTAGATTCTCGAATTTTCATTTCTTTCCACGCGACTAGAAATCCGTCACCTTGCCGTTGTAGCTCCAGTCGCCGGCGCTGCCCCAGCGCAGCGGCTCGTTCTTGGGCCCGCCGACCTCGCCGGTGCGCGGGTTCCTGTCGCCGTCAAACTCGGGCCGGGCGCCACGGTACAAGCCGCCACGGGTGTCGAGCTCGGCGTCCGCCGCAGCGACGGATCTACTCGTCTCGGCTGGGGGCGCAGCATCGGGCTGGAAGGCGGACGACACGGCGGCGGCGCGCTGCAGCCGCTCAAACTCGGCCTGCTCTTTGGCGGGCAGCTTGGGAGGCGCGGGGGCGGTGCCAAAGTTGGTGGAGGAGGCGTGGCGGCGCGCGGCGAAGGTGGCAAGGGCGAGGCGCGGCGAGGAGGAGGAGGAGGCGCGGAGGAGGAGAAGCGCGGCGGGGGGGAGTCGTGTGAGCATGGTGTAGGTTGTTGGCTTGTTGTGGTGGTGAGGATGTTGAAGAGGTTTGGTTTGGGTGGCGACGGCGACGGCGAGATTCGGGACTCGGGAAGTACTTGAGTGGGGCCGTAACGGTCATTCTGTTTGTTGATGTTGAGTAAAGGCCATGAGAGAATAACTGAAGAAGTAAGTTTATCTTGATTAAATAAGGGTTGTTTTAATTCAATTTCAAGGGCATTTAAATTGTATCTATATTCAGACTCGACCTCTGCAGTCGTTTTCCCCCTAATACTACACATCACAAACAGCAACAACTGAGCGATACAACATCACACAGCAAAGACGCATCCTAGCATGGGATGATTTCTTGAATAGCAACGGGTCAGTTGACACGCTCTCAACCGATTTGGACGAGCACAGCCGCATGTCTGTTCAATTTTTTAAATTGTTGCCGGGAGCTCATTGGCGGAGGAGGGCGGAATGCGGCGCTCGGCCATGTGCTTTGGCGCGCCAACGGCTGGTTTACCCGCCCCCTGGGGCAAAGACTGAAAAGGCTGTGAGACATGATCTTACGCAGCTATTTTTGAACAAGGAAGTAGTGTCTTAGTTGAGGAACGAGAGTGAGGAGGCGGTGACAAGGCTGTCCGAAAACCTAGTTCAGACGATTCCTGCGAACTGCGACACCTGGACCAAGGGCAATGAATAAACGAAATGTTTCCTCTACTATAGTTTTTGCTGAAAAAAAAAGAGTTCATTTGCATACCGAACAATGATTCATGTTACTGTAACACGGGAAAGTTTTGTTAAAAGAGTGGTTACCGACGTGCCATTTTAGCCATCCTGCGACGAGCGCTGCGACTTGGACCCTTCATGAAACAGAACGGGCTCCGGTCTGGTCAGGAGCGAGACAAGATGAGATTCTAGTGACATCTCAGTTCTACAGGGCGATTTATCGTGACCGTTCTCCTGGCTGCTCTCGATCTCGTTCATGCTTTTCCTATCACTCATCTCCCTCGCTTCCTTTCTCTTTCTTAGTTGGGAAAAATTCCGTCATAGTCCCTAGCTTATCTATTCTTTTTTTTTTTTCTACTGCTGGCCAACAACTCCTATCAATGCACCCGACGGTGCCTGGGCGATCAACAATTAAAGTTTTGTAGCAACTTTCCAATGCGCTGCAATATTCATGGCTTCGTCGCCTGGTGTGCTATGCATTGCTCGGCTGCATTCGAATGTCGTACGATGATTTTATAGCGCCCTAACGTACCCTGAGTACCAAAGAGAAGCATTTTGGCCATGGTAAGAAGGACACGGACGCGATGAGAAAAGACGGGGAAATATCAGCAAATGGTGATTGAACCGTATTACTTGCAGTTTGACAAAATCCTCAAGATGGTTTGATAATTGATTCAGCCCCGATGTGTTACCCTACAGTGACAACTTATTCCCCACAGGCGTTCCTCGAGCAATTCTTGCACTCCAAGTATTTATTATCCGTCGGTGTAGTAGTACACGGTCTGCTTCGACAGAACAATGCCGGCTTCTTCACAGTCAGGTCAGCACCGCGCAATCCGACGATCGTCCACGCGTTCCTACTCTATGCAGGTCGTGGGCGCGCCCAGCTATTCATGCGCCACGCTGCATGACCAAATTGTGCTCGGCGGTTGTATCCATTCAATGCTCTGGCTGCTGGATGAGGAAATTTGGGCCAAGACGGACATGTATGAACCAGAATGGGACCCCTCTTGTTTTCGTTTTGAAAAGAGCCGTTTCTGCACTGCAAGTCTGTAACTATTACCTTGGAGATCCGCAGCTGAAGACGGCCGGCTTGGCTCCCAGCACGTGATGCCACTCCCATGGTCGAATCAGCATCGCGCATTGACGCACACCGTCAACAACATCCCACCATCACCTCGCCCAGGAACGAATATAGTCACCAAGACCACAATTCTGGGACAAAATCATCGGCCCACGCGCAAGCCCTTTCTGCTCCCGCAGGACCCGCCTCATATATATCAGGAAATGCGTCAGTTTCCTGCTCAAATGGCTTGGCCCCGTGTTATACCTCCCATGGCGGCGGCAGCCGATTCTTTCCCCGTGGGCTCCTCCCTTTGGGCCAGAACGACATCAACGGCTTTTCTGCTCGGCTAAGGCAGTCTAGGGCCGCTCGAGTGTTGCATTGTCGATTGGATCGGCCAGCTCTTAATCCTGCCACCACCCACCTCCAGTGCACGCCTACGCATGTACATGCTTTCCCCAGCGACCGAGTGACTACCTACCTACCTTGGATATCCTCTGTCAAATGTCTCGACAAATTCCATCCTCAAGGTAATCCCATCTTGTCGAAAATGTATTCGCAGCTTCCACATCAAACCTGTCCTCTCCATTCAATCCATCCTGCCTTGTTCACTGGGTAAATTTGTCCTCCATTGCTGGTCCTCGGGACCGTCCGTCTGGTCAACGCCTATCCCAACATGGCCGTCCTCTCCAGATACAACTACGTCTTCGTCCTCACGGCGATATTCGCGCTCCTAGATGCCTGGAATATTGGCGCCAACGATGTGGCCAATTCGTTTGCCAGCTCCGTGTCCTCGCGGTCGTTGACTCTCAAGCAGGCCATGGTCATTGCGTCCTTTTGCGAGTTCGCCGGCAGCGTATCGGTGGGCGGCAGAGTCTCTGATGCGCTGCGCACCAAGATTGTCGATCCGCATCTCTTTGACGACTCCCCGCAGGTGCTCCTCTTGGCCATGATGTGCACAGTCATGGCCTCGTCCATCTTCCTAACCATTGCCACGCGATATGGGATGCCAGTGTCTACCACGCACAGCGTCATCGGCGGCATGATTGGCACGGCCACCGCCTCGGTTGGCATTAACAAGGTCAACTGGGGATGGCAAGGCGCGTCCCAAGTCTTTCTGGCCTGGGTCATTGCGCCAGGCATTGCCGGCGTCCTGGGCGCCATGGTCTTCTTCATTACGAAGCGCCTCATATTGATGAATCGCAACTCGGTGCGCCGCGCGTTTTGGTCCATACCATTCTTCACCTTCCTCACATTTGGAGCTGTCTCGAGTAGGTGCTTTCGCCCGCCAAGGTTGCTGCCTCCGTCACAGTGCTAACTGTTCCAGTGTTGCTTGCCTGGAAAGGCGTCCGTAACCTCAACATCACGACCGCGACGACCCTCATTGTCATCTTCGTTGCTGCCGGCGGCGGCACGCTACTGCACGGTGTCTTTGTCATGCCGTACCTGTGGGTGCGCATCATTCGCCAAGACTGGACACTGAGATGGTATCACGCTCTCCTGGGCCCATTCCTGCTCAAACGCGATGCCCCTCCACCAACACCAACCAGCTTCGTCAAGCCGCAAATCAAAGACTATTATCGCGGGCACCTAACCCCAGACGAGCTGACCTACGTCCGCGCATCAGAGACGCTGTTGCGATCAGTGCAGATGCATGGGGCGAATGGGCCCCCAAATTCCGACATGGACGACGAGTTCGTCCTTCTTCCGCCAGCAGCGCAAGAGCTGCCTGAGGAATCAGGGTCACGGCCACAGTCGTCTGCCCACGACAGCCTCGTTCCTCCTCGACCACAGGGCAGTTGGAGGAGCTTTCCGGTTCTCATCTGGCGGATCAATCGTATTCTTCTCCGAGGCATCGAAAAGGATGTCATTAGCATGCAGAAGCGCAACGCGGTGCTGAGCTGGGACCTAGAGGTCATGCACTCCCGCGCCCCGCGCTTCGATAACCGCGCCGAGTACATGTTTTCGTCATTGCAGATCCTGACAGCCGCTGCAGCGTCCTTTACACACGGCGCAAATGACGTATCCAACGCCGTCGCGCCGTTTACCACCGCCTTGGATGTCTGGTCCCACGGCGTGGTCAGTGACAAGGTCGACGTGCCCATTTGGGTGCTGTGCCTTGGCGGCGTTGCCATTGTGCTCGGCTTGCTGACCTATGGTTACCACGTGATGCGCACGCTGGGAAATCGCTTGACGCTCATATCCCCGACGCGTGGCTTCTGCATGGAGCTGGCGACGGCCCTGACTGTCATCATGGCCACAAGGCTCCGACTGCCAGTATCTACGACGCAGTGTATCACGGGCGCCACGGTCGGTGTTGGGCTGGCAAATGGAGACTGGCGCTGCATCAACCCGAAGCTGGTGGGATGGATCTATATGGGATGGATGATCACCGTACCTGTGACAGGTCTGATGTCGGGATGCTTGATGGGCCTAATTGTAAACGCTCCAAGATGGAGCTTATGAAGATAGACACATATTAGAGTACATATGACGACAACGTAAATATTCACTATAATTTTATTGATATACTATACCGCTACAAGCAAAGATTACGTGGCATGCGAAAGCACTCGCGCGCAGCAGTAGCAGGCACCAATTCCAAGTTGCGGATTCGACAGCACAATGCCAAGAGTCCTCGACCGAATACCAAGACGCATCATCTACATGATTTCAGCCGCAGCAGCACAGTTCCACCATGGCGCTTGACCTTGCTTACTTACGTACAACTTCTCAAGAAGACTATTGCCCACGTGCGGTCGCATCGCAGCCCCGGTTGGATCCGCAGCTAGCTCATGGCTTTTAAGCATACCGAAGACCTAAAAGAGCTATTATTAGTGGGACAGTCCGATATTATAAGGCATGGAAAATGTTGTCATCTGTCCTGCATGTGCGGCGTCGGTCAATGAAGCGCTATTGGACGGCGCGGCCATGGAAATTCTGACGAAGCAACAGATAAAAGAATAGCCAACAGCTTTTTTCTGTATTTTTAAGTTGAATCACCTAAGCCAATTATCGCCTCTGGTATCATAATATTATCTCGATAGCGGTATAATGCGATGCATAACTAGCCGGAATTTACATCGCCTCGGCGACGGCGTAAGCCTCGACTTGATCTTCCACGCCTTGAAGAGTACAACACGAATTATGCCACATCAGCCGACATCCGAACCAGTCTCGCTGTTGAGCAGGCAAAGACGCTTTATCCCCTTTTTGTCGCGGTCCAGAACTGTGTAACTGCCCGTCCCATCAGCAGCCATCCTCAGTCCTACAAAATAAGGCGGAGGGGGGGGACTCTCACCATAGGTAAACTTCAGCAACGTCTCCGGCTGTTCATCGTACAGGCTATCGATGTTCTTCCTTGACGTATGATCTACATCGAACCCGAGCAGATCTGCCAGCCGGAGTAATTGCTGGAGAGCGGAGTAAGTATGTCTCTCCTTTGCACCTTTGTGCTCCAGTCCCGCGAAAGATGTCCCACTACCATGTCCACAACTCCAAATTCCGCGTCTCCTCTACCGTCTAGCGCTTGCAAGCCGGTGTGATAATCCTCCCTTGCAACCTGGGCAATTCTTCCCGCGAACCGGGCGTTTGTATCGACCCCCTCTCTCGATTTCTTGAAGTGCGCCGACGGGGTGCAACCGCAAAAGTGCAGCAAGATGCTTACACGCAAAGAATGGCGGACGTTGACGCATAGAGAGAAATCTGAGTGGGTGGGAGCTGTCAAGGTGCGCCGTCCTTGCTCCCGGTGGTCAACGCATATTCGTTGCTGATGATGTTGTAGTGCTTAGCAGGCATACGACACGAACGGCTATCCTTCATCAAGGACTAGAGTGCTCGAGGGGAAAAGAAGCCTGTACGATGACTTCTCCTACTCACACGCATCCTTCGAGCAGAGCGCACATGGAAACACCTACTTTCTGCCATGGCGTGCGTTCCGGCCCTCATCGTCTTCCCGAGCACGAGCTGACTTGACCCTTCCTCCGCAACACCTGTGGGTATTCCGGGCCAACGCCTTACAGGGGCTGGTCACGCGATCACGCTCACCTGGTCGGCTCGCCAGTCTTTGAGGACTCACCCGAGTATGGGCTCGGTGGAACGGGGGATTGCGATTCCTCCCCCGGGGCCGACTGTACCGTTACCACGGGTGACCTCACACGCAGGCCCAACAGTACAACACGAGAGTTCGCCTGTCCCAGCGGGGATAAACATCTAGTGGTGGAGTTGAAATGCCAGCGCGTGGGGTGTCATGCTAGTTTTCCGCAGATTGATATGGCGCCGAGCTTTGGCTTTGAGCTGGTGAGAAGGAGGGCATGAGCGGGGTAACATGTTACACAGAAAGCAGCAGTTACCAGTATCCGTATTAGGCATAGAATGAGCCTTATTCCGAGCTTTTTGTGGGCTAATTTCTTTGTGCGTTTGTGCGCTTCACCTGGCTTAACAGTTGTTTGTTGCCCTCTTTGCTCCTTCCATAGCTACCTCTACGCATCATTATGAAAGGCCATCTCATCTACACCCCTTTGTTACCTGCTGTCACTGAGCTGGTCGAATCCCTTTCATCCAAGACATCTCGTACATAGCACTCCTCGATTCCACCATGTCCACTCCGCCCGACGCCGCAACTATCGCCCGCCTCTCCTTGCACGATCCCGCACACTTTGGCATTCAGCACTCCCAAACTCTGCACCGCCTCGCGCTCCTGCAGCACTGGAACATTGCCACTGATGCCAAGGTGCTGGAATTAGGCTGTGGTCAGGGGGACTGCACAACCGTCCTTGCCAATGCTGTCGGCGAGGGAGGGAAGGTGGTAGCAGTCGATCCGGCAGATCTGGATTATGGTAAGTCATCGCTCACTTCTCCAGCTTTACTGCCCCTCCTGATGATAGGAATCATCACAAGTCAGCTAACTTCTACTACAGGTGCCCCGTATACTCTTGGTCAAGCACAAGGCCACATTTCACAAGGCCCGTTTGGTAGCCGGATTACCTGGGTCCAGCAACCCACATTGGACTACCTCTCTTCTCTACAACCCTCTTCTAGCTCCTCCCCAGTCTTCGATGCAACTGTGCTTGCACACAGTCTCTGGTACTTTGCCTCCCCCTCGCTCATTTTGTCTACCTTGTCTGCTATTAAGCAGCATAGCAAGCGCCTCCACCTTGCTGAGTGGTCGCTAGCAGCGACGCACCCCTCTGCCCAACCTCATGTACTAGCTTCGCTTACCCAGGCGGCCTTGGAGTGCCGTAAAGAGAATAGCATCTCCAACGTCCGAACAGTGCTGGGGCCAAAGCGGCTTACCGAGTTGGCCGTGGCTGCCGGGTGGAAGCTGGAGAGCGAAACCCGCGTGCAAGCTGGAGAAGGACTGTTGGACGGACGATGGGAAGTGTCTGCTTGTCTTGATTCCTCCTTTGAAGAGGAAGTAGAGGAGCAAGTGAAAGACGGCCGAGAACGTGCAGTGGTTCTAGCGTTACGTGATGCGTGTGAGGCGAGCTTGGGGGGTATAGAAGGGGGTCAGAAAGGTGTCAAGACCATGGATATCTGGGTTGCTAATTTCGTTTGATGTCGATGCGAGTGTGTCCTAGCCCAGTTCTTGGCTGCTTTACACAATGAACCACCGAGCTCGCGAGTGTCCTAGCAAGCACAAGACAGTATGTGCGACAAGACAGCGTTCGTACCACATGTAGGCATACCCAAAGACGTTTTGTGCCCCAGAATTCCCTATTTAGATATACACTGAAGGGATTATATCTCCACACCTTACAATCAACAGCGATCAGTCAAGGGCTGTAGATATGATCGGCTTTCGGCCCCACCATGGCCGACCGACAGGGAGCTTCGTGTGTTGGTCCATTTCGGGACAGCTTCTAGCTTCTCATGAAAACTCTAGAGTATTTTCTCTGTATAAGAAAATATCGGCAAATAACCTCTCAGAGTGAAAGACATACTGACGTTATGAGCATATTTTCTATTATTCCAATAACTACAAGGCGGGATAGCCACTACCATATATTCCCTTCATTGCTCCGGTTCTCGGAAATCGTCCATATATGCAAGCCGCTGACGGTTGTCGTCGACCATGCGCGCATATTCGAGCAGCAGCCTAGCTTCATAGCCTCATCTCTGTACACGACAATGGCCCAATTCCTGCTCTCCGTTGCAATGACCTCTGCCTGAGCGTCACGGTATCCTTCGCAGCCGACGGCTCAATCAAAAATGCTACCGCACGAAAGCACATGCTTATGGTACTCAGCCTAGGTGATTTACGCCGGGCGCTGCACTCAGACGGATACAAGATTACACTAATGACGTGACATTGCGGTCGGGACCGGAGGATAGACGTGGTAATTTACACATTTGACTCCGGCGATGCAAGGGAAAAGATATATGAAGGAACGATTGGCTGGCATGTGCCAGCTGCCTCATTACCATCCCCAACGAGACCGCGAATTATTGCAGTCGGCGAGAGAGTGCCTGAACTGGCTGGAGCTCCTGGCACGAATACGGGAGACGGACCTGTCTGCTTTTCAACGAGATGACCCGCGAAGCGAGGGTGGTGGAAGATGTGGTATACTACCAAGGCTCAGACTATTAAAGGTGCATCTTCCGCAGAGACGCTTTGCACTGGCCTTGTGTCTGTACACTGCTTTTCCGTTTCTCCCATCACTTGCGCCTCCAGCGTCTTTCTGCATCGGACAACGTTGACTCGGCTACTGCATCTCAAAACATGGCACTCAATCGAACCTCGATTATCGGACCTTTTGGGCACCACGACCGCTGTCAGGACTGTAGTGCGCCGAGAATCAATCGCATTCTCGTTAGGCCTGTGTCATAACGGTACTATGGCATCGTCATCGGAGTGAACAACATGATTTCTCGACGAATAGCTGCAGAGAAGGGTCTCTCTCAATTATCGTAGCTCTTCCGATCCAAGCAAGAAGTTAGTTTTGTACCTTACAGACTCGGGAGCTATAATTATAGTGTGAGTGTAAAGGCTAACTATTCTTAGAAGGAATAGGCGGCCTAGCACGTGCGGTAGCCAGGGGAGAGTGCCCCGTGGTCGACGTTGAAGAATTTGATTAGCTAGAAAAAGTTATTAGCCTATAGCTATAAGGTTTTGGTATAAGCCCCGCCTCGGGAAAAACAACCCTAGAACCTCAGCTCGGTCAGGTCCCCGACAGCTCGGTGTCAAGACTGGTAACTACGAAAGAGTCTCAATTCTGACCATGCTTGGCCAGAGTCGCTCCACCTCGTCGTTCAGCCTCTACTTTGTTGAACAGATGACGTGGTCAATAGGTGAGAGAAAAGTACTATACTCGCTATACTCGCTATACTCGCTAGACTCGCTATACGCTAATCTGCAGCATCTGCAAGTGCAACCTGGAGCGACAATGCAGGTGGAGACAGACCTGGACGATGTCCCCAATGCCAAGCAAATAGCTCCTCATGAGCCCTTTATCAATATATACTTGTTTGCATGCGAGTCCCAAAGTGTTTTTGTTTCTTGTTTCTGTCATCATTAAAGTGACGATATCAAGATGCGCTCCTTTCTGGCCTTGATCTCCCTCGCGGCCAGCGCTGCTGCAGCCGGCGCCGATGCGAAGCCCAACGTCAAGCCATTTGATCCCAGCTCATTGAGTCTGCGGGAAGTTGGCGCGCGCAACACCCTGGTATGTTCCTCAGTAAGATCATGGACTCTGAGAGATGCCAACCAAAGAACAGGACTGGCGCGTTTGGCTGGAGCAAGACGGCAATCCGATTTCGTTCTGGCACGACATCCCCCTCTTCCCGCAAGGAAATGTCTCCAACATTATCAACATGTATGTTGAGATTCCCCGGTGGACCGATGCCAAGATTGAGACCAAGCGAAATGAGCCGTTGAGTAAGTCAATCATACCATGCCTACACATGAGCGTACACTGATAGCTGTCAAGATCCCATCTTCCATGACGACAAGAAGAACAGGCCTCGATTTGTCTTCAGTGTCTGGCCCCAAAAGACCTACCCGTTCAACTATGGCTCCATCCCCCAGACCTGGGAGGACTCCACCGTCATCCACAACTTTACCGGCTATATTGGTGACAATGACCCGATGGATGTCTTTGATGTCAGCTCGCTGGAGCCTCCGTACGTCGGACAGCTGAAGCAGGTCAAGGTCTTGGGTGGACTGGCGATGATTGATGTAAGTCTCACTCGGAATTACCGAAAGACTTTTTCGATGCTTATGCGATCAACCACCAGGAAAACACGACCGACTGGAAAGTCCTTGCCATTGATATCAAGGACCCCATTGCTTCCATGGTCAACAGTACGTTTTTGTTTCGGCGATTCCTACTTTTCCGCTTAGGTGTCACTAACTCGTTGCCCAGATGTTGATGATTTGGAGGTGCTCCGCCCTGGCAGCAAACAGACATTTTATGACTGGTTCATTGTAAGTCTCCAAGCTGCTTTTCTCTACTCAATTGCCTTGTTTTAACCCCCGTTGCAGTACTACAAGGTCATCAAAGGCTCTGGGAAAAACTTCATCTATGGTGGCAAATTCCAAGATCCAGCCACCATGCTTTCCACTATCGGCGAAAGCCATGATTTTTGGCTCAAACTAATGCGCGGCAAGACTCAAAAGGACAAGATCAACCGCGACCAGACATCCAACCCTCGTTGGTGCAAGACATTCGTTGACGCGAGCAACACTACCGCCAAGTTCAAGCTCCCAGCGAAGAGCAATATTCTGCCTCCGGCGAAGCGTCCTGCCCAATACGATCGCTGGTATTATCTCGACAAGGACTTCAATATCACTCCAGGACAGGTGATTGAGGAGTAAGGCGGTTTCATACCGCAAAACTGATGGATTTTATGCGGCAATAGGAAAAACACGTAAATAGAACCAGTCAAAGACTAATCTGACTGAGAAAATAATTGCTTATATATATTAATGCAGAACATCACCCCAGCTTGCTTCTTCGTTGTCTAGAATCCGAACATCAATATGCTCCACCATGCAAATCATTACCCAATGCGCGAAATCTTCAATAAATGCAAATGAAACGCCGATATATGCAAGTAAGGGCTACAGATTCTCGTACTGGACCGTTTGGTATTTGCTCAGGGCGCGAATGCGGGGACCATACTTGAACAGAACCCAAGGAATGGGAAGAAGCGCAACCGTCACAAACGCAAAGAGACTGACAGCCCAGTTCACGCCGAGCTTGTCGTACATTTGCACGATGAAGAGCGGAAAGGCGCCCGCAAACGCATACCGCGCCAGACTGTTGGCGCTGGCCTGACTGGCCACCACGCTGCCGTGGTATGTGTCGGCGCCGTACTGCATCGCAGCAACGAAGATGCAGAGGTTACCCCAGGCAAACGGCAGGATGGCGACGGCCGGGCTCGCCCACGAGACGGCGCTCGTCGCCGTCCAGGCGTACCAGAACAGGCCGACGGGGAGGCCGAGGCTGCCCACCATGGCGGGGTAGAGGCGGTGCTCCGGCGGGACCCTGCCGGGCGGGAAGCGGCGCGCCTGCGCGCGGTACAGGGTCGCGTCGCAGAGCAGGATCGTGGCCAGCCCGAGCAGGCAGCCGACGGCGACGGACAGGAACACGAGGCCCGACTGCTCCGTGCTGAAGTGGTACACGCGGCCAAACGTGTACGACAGCCCGGCGAAGAAGCTGAAGAGGATGCCAAAGTTGACCGCCACGTACAGGCAGAGGAACCCGGTGATGGGCTCGGTGAAGAGCATGTGCACGGGCCGTATCAGCCCGGTCTGGAGGAACGCCGTGATGCGCTGCCGAACGGGGGGCCGCGGCGGCACCGCATGGCCCCGTTGCTTCGCGATTCGGCGCTTCAGCAGGGCGGGAAACGTCTCCCACGTCGTGAGCGTGAAGAGCAGGGTAAAGGCGGCAAAGAAGAGCAGAATCCACTGCGTCCAGCGCCAATTCTGGCGACTGACGGCAAACGATCCAAGAATGGGACTATATATCGGGCAAGTTAGCAAACTCGGAACCTAGGCAAAGGACAAAGAAAAAAAGAAGAAAAAAGGAACATACGCAAAACCCGGACCGAGAAACGGCATGAGCACATAGACCGCAATCATCGGCCCGCGGCTCTTTGGCGCAAACGTCTCGACAATGGACCCGGAGCCGGTCGCCAGCGCGGGCGCCCAGCAAAAGCCGGCCGCGAAGCGGAAGAAGCACAGGGCGCCGAAGCTGTGCGTCAGGCCGGCGGCGAGCGTGAAGAGGGCGCCGAGCACGCTGGTGCCGATGTAGACGGGCCGCCGGCCCATGGTCTCGGACAGCGGGCCTCCGAGGACAGGCCCGAAGCCGAGCGCGAAGCAGTACAGCGAGAGCGGGAGCAGCGCGACGACGCGCGTGACGCGGAACTCGTCGGCAATGGCCTGCGTCGCGGGGCTGATGATGGATGTTCCGGCAGATCTGCGAGAGGGTTAGTATATGTGAGCTTTTGGCTATGTTTGGAGTTTACATAAAAATCCCCAGGGGGGAGGGAACATACGAGACAAAGCCAAAAGAGGACAGCATGACCATGAGATGCGCCTTTTTCCAGCCGGGCCAGTTCATTGGGTTCTGCGCGTCTCGGTCCCAGTCTAGCAAGGACAGGGCCGGGTCCTGCTGCTGCTTCTCGCTGGTGTCGGAGGGGGCGTCATGGTCGGCCACCGGAGGCGCGCCGGTTTCCGGGTCGGCCGCCTCTGCCGCTGTCGACATTTTTTTTCCGTGCTCGGCTCTCCAGTTCCGCTTTGGCAGCGATAGCCGAAAAATAGTCTGGCTCACGTGTTATACTGCCTTTATAAGATTTTGCTCAAAGACTTGCTGTTGGTAAAAAGCTCCAAGCCGATCTGGTCAAACTTCCTTGATTTGCCGGATGAAGAGGGCGTCCTTCTCCATCAATGTACACACCAACAAGAGTGTTTCCGGGGTAGATGCTTCAAATGCTAGGTAACATCAAACTACGGAGTAGGGGAGCTGGGCCTTTATATTTATATAACCATTCTAGAAAGCTGTTCTTGTTTCCTCCCCCCGCCCGGGGCCTTGGGCCGTCCGCACCACTAGGCCGACTTAGCTTCTTTACCGAGACCGGGACAGGCTTACAAATTGCTGGTGAGTTTGGGGCGCTAGGCGGAATTATAGCGGCTCATAGCGGCCATATGCGGGCTTTTGAGACACGACATGCTTGGTTTGTCAGGGAGGATTACTGATCTACGAGACAACAGCCCGGGGGGGGGCCATGAAGGAATCACCGTCGACAAATTTGACCGCGGCTTCGTCGTTGTTACAAACCAATACAAACTGCATAGTTATTTCCCAGGTCCTAGTATCCGTAGACGTGGTGTCTTAGTTTTCGGAAGTTGGAAGGATTCTGGGGCCGGAACCAGGAAGCTGAGCAGCCAAGAGCAAATCTCTTTTATACATGCTTCGCAAAAGACAAACGCATTTACAAATGCATGCAGATTGTGCGGCGTCTTCCGAAATTTCTAGGCTGAGTCTCTTCCCGACGGACCGTTTTTCCCTCGGGGAGGACGGACAGCGCGGCCGCAGATAACCGGATGTCGCCCTCGGAAGGAGAGAAGAGAAGTCGAGAGTCTCAGACATGCAGACGGGCAAAGTTTCAGTTCAGACGGGAAAAGTTCCCGCGCACCTATTTGGCCAGCTACTTATCCCTAAGCAGAAAATGCGGTCTCGGAATGCCATGCCATTTTGGTGTCGGGGACTTGCCCCTGGGGGCGAACCAGCATTGGCGCGTCTAGGTTGTTGGGAAAAAAGGAATCGAACAAACTGATCCAAGAGTCTCTGTCCTAGCATTACCACGATGCCGCCACATAAAAATAGTGCAAAAACCCTGATCTCTCGTACGAATAAAAAGGGGCCCATTCCCATCTCTTGAAGGCTATTTTCTAGTCTCGTTTGTCGTGCGTCGGCTGCCAACAGGCAAGACCAGATGGACAAACGCAGAGGTACGACTATGTGTTAAGTATGGGTGCCATTTGCTATGTTTGCAGGATGATATTATTGAGTCCATAGAACGCCGACACGACATTGCTTACTGTCACTGCAATTCAACATCCCGCAGGAAAGTACTGGTTCAAAGCACAGTCATCTCCAAAACACAAAAAGCCTCTGTCAACTTCTTAAGCGTGACCGCGTTTACACGGCGGGACGATCAAGTATCAGTCAGACCGGGCCCTAAAATCAGCCAGAATCGACATGCCTTGAATTAATTATGCAATAGTACAGTGGCACAATTACTATACAGCGCCATTGTAGCGGGCAAGACGGTAATGGCGGCAGCCACTGCTGGCAATTATACCAGAGACTCTACACGTGCACAGTCAAGATGGCAGCATCGGCAAGGAAAGAAATCATCAAGTTAAATTGCAAGGATAGCCTGCACATGATACCTAGTGAATGTTACTGTATACCTACCAGACCTACACGCATTTGCCCAGCACCCCGCCCCCGCGTCGCGGCCCTAACCCATCAGCACAGTTTCATTCATGTGAAACTCTGCCTTGGTCGCCAGGTATTCCTCGTGGAAATACTCCAGGTACGGACCGGGCATCTGGCCTCCCGCAAAGACCTTGAGGAGACCATCCTTTCCGGTCCATAGGTGGCGGATAAATGTGCCATCGCACCCGGCATGGGCCTCGGGGAATCCGTTTGCCTCGTCGCAGGGCAGCTCCCGAATGTCGTCGGCGAAATCGTAACGAACATAGGTGCCGAAACCGCCCTGATCTGTTGGCCGGCCAGGATCGTTTGTCCTGAACTTGGTGCAGTTGGGATAGCGGCCGCCATCGTTGGGGCAGTCCTCCCAGGCATCGAGTATCTCAAAGGTTCTTGGGTTATTTTGTGCCACAAGAAAACCCGTGTTGAGATATTCCTTTCCAAACTCGTCTTGGTTCCACTCGTGCTTTGGGTCAAAGGCGAGAGCGAGCGAGTTGGAGGCCGGGCTGATTTTCCAGTAGTTCATCAGCCATTCGAACGGCAAGTCCAGGTTTCTGAACAGCGCATCGGAGTCCATGTAGATGCACGCGCGATGCTTTGCCAAGAGTTTCGAAATAATGGCCGGTTTCTTCCAGGAAGTGCGACGGTCCGTATAGCTATCCGCTGCTATATAGTAGTACTTGTATCCGTGTATCTTACCTGTTCATCATGTGAGCCCGTGTTCAAGTACAAAAGCGAGCAACTTACTATATAGCCAGTGGTTCAGGAACCCGAGGGACAGTCCATGCACAGACTCTGCATTCTCCCAGCTCATGACGTGCGGCCCAAATATTTGACCAGAGGCATTAAAGGCTCTGTCGTCAAAGTCGATTATGCAAAGGTCGTTGCCGAGCTTAGCATGCCATGCGATATCCTCAGACAGACGCCACTCCAGTGCCCCAAAGAGAGAGTATTTAGGGGTGTCGGGTAATACTGAAGGGTTCTGCACCCTCTGGAAGTAAAAGTCTATCCAGGGCTTTGAGGTTTCCGTGGCGGTGTTGAAGGCGACCTGGTGTGGTGTCGCTGGTTCGTGGCTGCGCCAGCGTTAGCATCCATTGGGAATTGAACGAGGTACCAGTTTCTGTATCTTACCTTGGTCCGACGAGAGTGTCTGGGCTGGTCAGTCGATGGTGGGCGAGCGTGAATAATAGGAAAAGAATTGTGGCAGTCGCTGCCGCCCACCCGAGACGACGCAGTCCGTAGGCACGAGTAGCAATCATTGTATCGATTTCGAATATTTCTGAAGAATAGAGGAGGTTGCTGAGGATGCCAAAGGATGAGAAAGAAAATTCGAAAATGGAGGAGCTCTCAGAGGTATTTATTGGAAAATCCGGAGCTGTTGGTGATACGAAGCCGCAAGGTCCGGAGCAAACAGAAACGCATGCCAAGACCAAGCTGTTCACCACAACTTGAGAAGGAGGAGGCGAGCGCGTATGCTGAGCAACCAAGTGCCACCTCGTTTTATCAGAATACATATCACGACATGTAAATATTGGTCTTGTTTGTACCTCGACGGAGATGTTGTATCCCCTGTTTGCATTTCTGGAGCGGATCACGTCTCGGAGGCGGGCAGACTCGCAGGCAGGGAGAAACACGGTCGGTCCTTTGGGCGTTTCTCAACAAACATTTTGATACCTTTCGAGCGCGGTGGGAAGGTTTGACGAGCTGCAGTGATTGGATTGCAAAGATGAAATACGAAACTGTGCAACCTAGAGCGCCGCAAAGCCGCCGTTTGCACAGCAGCTCTGGTATGCTGAGTCAGACTCTCCCTCCTCTCCTGAAGACCAGGAATTGGCCTTGCGTTCGATCAATGGATTATCACTGTCGGATCCAGATATGTCCTATTCTGCTCGTCTAGCACGATTGAATTGATGAGGGGACAGCGGTCTTGCAAATCCTCTGGAAGCGTGGTGTGAATCAAGGCGGCGCCGGTGATGTTGCACAAGTTTCTGCCGCTTCCATACCACGACCAATCAATATTTATTTTATGCGGGAAATCGATAATCTGGTCCTGGTGCGCCAGCGCAAGCACGGGATGATTCATTGGGGTGTTGCTCTGATTCGCGTAAAAGTACCTTGTCTGCAGCACGCCGCGTCAGTACATATACGCCGAATCCCAATACGTCATTGGTTTACATGGGATGTCTTGTCCATGCGCCGCCGATGGAGTGCGACCACGCAGCGCATTTGCTAGACCGGGCATGCAAACACGTCCGGTTCCACGCGAGCCGGCACCGCTGGATGGTAGCGGGCTTGGAGAGACGATATGGTACCTAATCCTGACTCGCTCCGGGCGGCATACGACGCACGAGGGCAGGGAAGTCGACCGGCATCTTGTTGTCGCTTGGATGTGTAGAGTTCCTCGTTTGCTATGGCGCCCACGATCAAGTTCGCCGTCAACGTCATTCCGAGAATAGAATGAGGTGAAGCGAATCGACAGGTTTCAGACTCGAGTATGGAGAGTGGAATTTTAGACTCGAGTATGGAGAAGTGGAATTATACCGCCTACATTATCTACCCACTTCTCTGCCTCTATGTAGCCAGCCCTGTTCATCATGTCCCAAAAGGGAAAACGAGATGTGCGCCGCCAACGTCCGCCGAGTTCCGCCATTTCCCAGCCGCACTAGTCCGATGAATGCGACCGCGAAGATGACGTTTCCCAATACTTTGCAATGTCCCTCACCATATAAAAGCTCTATTCCCTTTTACCTCGTTTCCCGCATTCGGACACAGCACCCTCAAGCCGGCGATGCAACAATGTCCCCTGCAGTGAGCACCAGCAAGACGGAGCCGGCCTACCAGGTTCTCTCCTTTCAGCCCCATCAGGAAGCGCAGGCTCGTAAATACATCACCCGCAAGTCACATCGCAAGTCGCGGGGCGGCTGCTTGGGCTGCAAACTGAGCAGAATCAAGGTCCGTGTTGATCTTTCCCCCGATCCTCTCCCGGCCTCCCCGCGCCGAGACCACCAACTGATGCAATTCAGGAACCTTGCAGTGCGATGAAGGCAAACCCTCATGCGCAAGATGTCTTCGGTGCAACGCAGCATGCCAATACTCTGTATTAGACAAAAGCAACTCGGCGCGAAAATATTCATCCTTACAAAGAGGGCATCGCGCGACTGCTGCCATTACTCCCTACACCCCGCCGTTCGCCTTTAGCCAACCATCCTCGATAGCCTTGGCCAACACTTGTCTGCAGTCCAAGTCCCCCGCTCGAGGCGTCTCGCGCGTCTCGCTTCTTCACCACATTAACCAGCACTTTCACGCCTCCGCCGGCCTCGAGATCGCAGGCGGACAAGTGGCCCTTCTTGTCAGCCTCGGCATGAGCCGCCCGTATCTCCTGGATGTGACCCTGGCTGTGGCCGCCTGTCATCTTCGACACATGTACCAGGCCAATGGGGGCTTGAATGCTGCCACGACGGACACTGTATACGCGTGCCGAGTCGCGGAGCACTACCAGCAGTCTCTCGCGATTCGGAGCTTCAAGCAGGCTTTGGGAGAGCCATTCGATCAGGAGGGGTCCGATTCCGTCCTCATTTCCTCCATGATGTTCAATCTACTGTCTTTTACCCTAGATGACAACGACGACCCTGCCCTGTCTTGGGTTTTTACCACAGCGCCGGACCGCCTATCCTGGTTCTCGATGAGCATGGGTCTTGCTCCTCTGCTCATAAATACGAAGCAATTTCACGAGCGTTCCATCCTTCGCCACATATTCAACGCCTCCGACGATGAGCAACATACATTCCACGGCAATGATACAAAGTCATTATCCAAAGTACCGTCTCATTGGCTTCGTCTATGTGGGCTCGACTACGGTTCGGATGACCCCGACCACATCTTCTACGAACCCGTGCGCATTCTTGCTGAGCTATTCTCTACTCCCGTCAACCAGGAATCCTTTTTCTTATACATGGGGTTTTTTGGAAAAGTTGGCGCCCAGTTCCGCTCTCTGCTCGAGCACGATAGTGAGCCCGCCATGTGGCTCCTGGGATACTGGCTGGGGCTGTTGTGTCGATTTGACCAGATATGGTGGCTCAGTGCGAGAGCCAGGAGGGACTACCGTGCCATCTGCATCTGGCTGGATAAGCGCAAGGTACGACGGGGGCCTGGTGCAGAGGGTTTGATGTGGAGGCAGCTCATGGTTGATCTTGAAGGTGCTACACAGCAACCACCAGAGCCTGGAACAAAAGACTTGCACAAACCCGAGTTCATCGAGATTTGCGACTAAAAGTACCATGGCACCAGTATCGACAGTATCCAACACGATTTTCGGATATATATAATAGTGACTCTTCATATCCTTCTTTCTCGTTTATCTGCTGGCTGTCATAGATCCTGACTTTCGAGACATCACACTAGAACAATTGTTGTCCTTTGCGACTGGCCAACGGATAGGGTGGCCAGCGGATAGAGGCTCTTACTTCATCAGCTCTCGGCAACCTTGTTCTCTGATTCAACAACCTTGTTCTCTGATTCAACAGCCTTATTCTCTGATTCCATGACCAGATTCTCTGATGCAACAATCGGATTCTCTAACTTAACAGTCGAGTTATCCGATCCAAGAAGATTCTCTGATTCGCCGACCGGATTCTCTGAGTTGATGATCAGGTTCTCTGATTCAACGATCGGATTCTCCGGTTCAGCAACCGTATTATCTGGCAGGTGCTTGTCGTGTCTATCACTGCGACTCATTTTCGAAAATACCTTTTCCGGAACTCCAAGCTTTATACTCCACACCAAGTCGTGATCGGCCCCCTCAACTTCAGCCGCATTGTACGCAATCACGCCGTCTCCGCAGCGGTCCGCCGCCCAGCAGCTGTCGAACCACGTCGGGCCCTGCTCGCCGTAGTCGCCCACCATGGAGTCATTCTCGGCGTGAAAAGCGTCAACGGTGAGCGTCCGCCCAGCCGCGCGCAGCGCCTCTACCAACCGCGGCACGTACGCCTCATAGCCGCCCCAGTCGCTCCATCCTGCGGCGGCGTCGTCCGACCCCTTGTGCATCATGAGGACGGCGTCGACGCCCATGCCCTGCAGGTTCTCGCTGTACGCCTTGGACATGAGCGACGGCCGCAGGCGCATCTCCCTCTCGCCGTCCGTCTCGAGCGCCGAGGCCGGGGCCACCGAGGAGGACGCGCCAATGGTGCGGGCGACGACGCCAACGAGGCTGGACACGGCCGAGGCGCCGGCGCCCAGGGCCGGGTTAACTGTGCTCTTCATGAAGCGCGCCAGGGTCTCGGAACGGCCGATGACGGCCGCGGGCAGGCTCTGGGCGATGCGCATGGAAATAACACCCGACTGCGCCGGGGGGATCCAGGGGCCGGCGATGGCGAGGTAGGGCCGCTGCGGGTGCAGAAACGAGGGGTGGTGCAGGATAAAGTCGAGCGCGTAGACGGTTCCGGCGCTGTGGCAGCCGACGGAGACGTGCTTGATGTGCAAATGGGCCAGGAGCGCGGGTATGGCAGCTACACCACGCGTTTGCATGTCTTAGCCGACGTTTGTCGAGTTGGGGGGCGCGCAAACTTACCCTGCCAAACTTGGAGCCGATCCTGCACTTGAACCTCGTCCGTACCGCCATACCCGGGCCTCTCGACGTTGATGATGCGAATTTTGTGCTTTTTGGCGATGTCGTCTTTGGCTATGTGCATCCAGCGGCTGCCTAGTAGAGGAGGGAAGAAGAGAAAGACATTCTCCTCCTCGGGGTTCTCCTCGTTGCGATACCCATAATCGGCATACGTAATCTTAAGCCTTTCTGATCGGTCTTGAATAGTGTTTCCCGGGAGGTGAAATTCCCGGCTATACCTGGGGTCGTCGAATGACGGGTCCGAAGTCATCTTGGCTTGATGTTTGTTGTTGAAGCGATGGCGGGGAAAGCACCACCAAGCTGTTCAGGCTAGTTGGTTCATAATTTCGTGCCCAATGCCAATAGGCTAGCTGGCCATCCACCTCGTAATAGTTTACTGACTACTACCTCCCAAAAGTAGTATGAACACGTTCGCCGTCAAACTTGGAAATTTCATATTGATGCTATTTAACACCAACCGCACTGGGATGTAATATGCGGAACAGCGGAAAGCAGCGCGACAAGCCTCGGCCGTGTGACAGTGCAGCCGCTACCCTGCAGGGGTGATCGATGTCTGAGTTTGGTGACTCCATCCTTCAGCAAACCCAACCATCGACTCATCAGCTCAACGAGGGAGCAAGTCCATCGTCCACTACATAAAGAAGATACATACCTAGGCCTGGAATTAGACAGCGAAAGTCTTCAGGGCTGTTGCCGATTTCTTGCACTTCGAACGAACGAGTCGAAACGACATCACGCCACCATCTCACCGACCACTCCCTTCGGGAGAACAAGGCTTTTGAACGAAACAGAACACCAGACGCGTCAAGGAACACTCCTCCCATCGCAACCCAATTTTACAAAATGGGATCATCCGATATCCCACCCCTTTCAGCCCCGCAGTGGCTCATCCCCGTGTCGACGCTCTGCCTCAGCGCTGGTGTCGGGTTCTGGCTCCTGTGCTACGTCCTCATGGCGCGGCGCGCGCTTCAGACACACGCGACGCCGATGCCACTTCTCGCGCTCGGACTCAATCTCTCCTGGGAGGTCGTTTTTGCCGTGTACGTGACCGAGATGCCGATTGAGCGCGCCGGCTTCGTGCTCTGGCTGCTGTTTGACATGCCCGTTCTGCACGCCACCATCAAGCAGGCCAGGCACTCGTTTGCCGCTTCGCCGCTGGTGGCGCGTCACGTTGGGCGCTTGCTCGCTCTCATATTTGCCGCCGGACTCGCTGCCAACTACGTCTTTGCGCAGTGGTGGCTTGCCGTGCCGCACCGGGGCCACGGCAACAAGGATGGCAAGCCGTGGTTCGGCCTCGAGGCCAGGGATACCACGGAGCTGGCCTGGTGGTCGGCCGGCGTGGCGCAGATGGTGCTGAGCGTCTCTTGCGTGGCGATGGTGCTGAGTCGGGGACACTCTGGCGGCCAGAGTTACGGAATCTGGTAAGTTGCTCCTTCGGAATCCTTCCCAACCCGACTGGTACGCTCCGGCAAGGGCGTGTCTCGATCAAAGCCACATTCACACTGTGTATAGGAGGCGGTCTCAGTTTTGGATATCGTGCCAGCCAACGGGCAGGGTATCGGGTATCAATATGTGAAGGAAAACGCCCCGAGCTAATCAGGCGACATTTGCTTACCAAAGCCTGATAAGGTATTAACATGGCTAACCTATTACCTATTTTCTAGGTTCTGCCGTTTCGCAGGTTCTCTCATGGGACTACCGGTAACCTGCGGTCTGCTCTGGTGGTACTGGCCTGAGCCACATGGCTTCATTTTCCACCCTCTCTCGTACATCATCATGGTGCCCACGTTTGCCTGCGACATTGCATACCCGTTCCTCCTGGCCCATGTTCGCAAGACGGAAACGGTACTCCCAAACGGCATGGTGGTGTCTGGTAGTGGCGAAGCGACGGGCAACAAGAAGACGCAGTAGGGGCTCGGCAATGGGGCACGGATACATGGGCAAACGATGTACTGGTCATACAAGGGCGCCCGGCAAATTGCTGTCGACTGCAACCAACAATGCTGCTCGTATTAATAAAAGTTTTCCTGTCCTCCACGACTCAGGGCTTTGACGTGGTTTCCGGTTTGCCGGGAATTGGATGGTCGCGGAAAAAAACGAGGATATTGGTCGGCTCGGCCAATTTGGACCAGCCCACTTGTTACTAGTTGCACATCCGTGGATAACTCCTTGCTTGAAGATTGGCAGGAAATGAGGCGTCACGTAACACAAACATCCGCACAGGTTCGTGGCAGATTCGAGACCCGGCCTGAGACAAAGTGGCTTTCATCGATAATGGTTCGAGCCACGGAATACCGAATTTGGAATCACAGCACTGTGAGTGAGTAGTGAGTGTGTCAGCCCTACTGCGGTGGCCTCTGTACCTGCAACGAAATTGACCCTTGCATGTTTGCCTTTTGAGAATCAGCATGTCAAGCGCCGCCGATGCTGATCTGCGACCGTTTCCTCATCACGATGCATACGGAACCTGCAGACTGCAGGGCTGCAACTGACATCCAGACCGCCCGCGGCTTCTATATCTGGACAGCGCTCTGGTCAGGGCGCAAGCGGTGTACCCGCCTATCAAGGCAACGACTGTTGGTCCTTCATTACACCAAGATGATCGCCGGCCGGCAGGAAGGCTTGGCAGTAGCTCGGTGTGCCGCCTCCGAGAACCGTGAATATTAATTACCGCGGCCAGAACGAAAACACTCGTTGCCTCGGTCCTTGGTTGTTCGCATATGGTTTTGTACGCCGACGCTAGCCCAGAGAAACATGGCATGATTTTGAAAGGCAAAAAGGCGCGAGACGAGCTACAATGGGGCAACACAAGCGCGGCTGATGACGGCATCTGGGCCTCTGCCAAAACAACGAAAATGTGTCGCACCGAATGCTGCTGCCTAAAGGTACAATGATGTACGTGTTCATATCCTGGTCTCGAAAAAAAGTTCCTATGGCTGTTTAAACACTGAGACAGCTGCGCGCCCGCAACCGTGTTCCGCGAGGCGTTCAACGTCGGAACAGAAGAAAACGGCTAACCGACGTTGGGTTTGCCAAAAAGGTCTGTGCAGATTGCATGAAAATCTCATGCACGATGAGGAGGGGCCGAGAGCCTCTTTTTTCCCTCTAACATGTTCCTGCATAACTAGACAACTCAGAGGAGTAGAGTGGCCGGGGGTACCACCTGCACGTCCGGGGTTCTTGGGCGTTTGACTTGTCTGAGTACTTGACGAACAAGACCGTGAACAGTTTCGCCTCTGACTAAATATCTCAGAAAAGACGTGTCCTTGTATCTTGCTGCGACGGACGTGATGAGACCCTGTCTTCTAGTCACATGGTTTATCGGTCCTGCGGCCTCAGGAGAAATCATGTGGGGACTCATACCTCAAGCAACGCCTCTGTGGAGGTTTGATGAAAGACAGAACAGAACTTATCGGAAAACAACGGTTCCGTTGCCTTTTCTCGCCTTTGCTCCCGTATCGGGAATGGGCGCTGTTGCATCAACAGGAAGGGCCCACGACGCACAATGTGACCAGACAGAGACTTCCACTCACGGCATCATGCCAGTTTCTGACCTTGATCAGCAGCGGCGCCCGCAGTGGATCGAAGGCAGGTACATACAACTACCCTCTATTATTTATCGTGATGAGTTAATTGTCCTCGTTTCATGGGCGAATTCTCTCACCCCCCCTCCTCTTCAGAGTCTTTGGTGCCAATCTGCATTAGCGTCGCTGGGAAGGAGAACTCGCTGCAGGTCTTGTTGGCGCCTGTCTGTGCCTTTTCTAGTTATCCAAAGTGGGGAACGAAAAGACGGAACGAAACGTCTTTCCTCATATTCCCAGTGTGTGGCTTGTGTCGAGGACACGAGATGGTCTCCAAATGCGATGAGTCCCTTATCGTGGCAGCGCCTTGACAAGTGCGAAGAGGTTCGGCCCTTCCCGTCCTTCTCTTGCTCGCTTCAAATTGGTTGGTCCGCAGTGACTACTCACTAGCTCGACGACTTCCCACATCGAAGACGCCTTATATGGGGCAAAGGACGAAGCGACTAGGCCATGCTGGTGCCCAGCTACTTATCAGACTATGCTATTGGTAACAGTAAACTTGGGAGCTCCAACCCGAAAACGGGAACGGAGGAGATGTCCGACTGCAATATCGTTATTAGCCTTGCTCTATACTAGCCAGGTTGTCGTACACAGCCCATCGGCGGGAATGTTCAGAGCATTGCTTTTGATTGGTAGAAACACTTGTGCTACGGGGCGAAGTAATCCTGACCCGTGTCCATCAATGGAACGACAACGGAGCATCGAGACCGGAACTTCGGCGTAACAAGCTTGCGGAATGAAGATGTCGGGGGCCCGAGGCTCTGGTCGGCCCCTGACCACTGGCATGAAATCCCCGGCCGTTTTGACGCCCTGTTCCATGTCAAAGAATTGTCCGGAACGATTTCATCGGCGAGCACATGCAAACTCCGATGACATCTAGTCGGAGCCACCTGCTCGGGACGGCCCCAGCGAGTGCTTTGTACACTCCGATCCCTCGCAAAGTTTCAAGGTGACTGTGGGATATAATTGCCGGCAACTACGGAGTAATTTGTCACTCGTTTATCAATCTGCCGAGAAGACATGTACTCGAACATCTCATTTGTCATGGTGGGCGTGTATCAGGAGTTTGGCCGCCTGGCTGAGTTTCTCAATAACCAAGAAGTTTCAAGAGGCAAAGACAGCGCAAAGTGACACGCGAAGGTTGACTCAACGTCCACGTGCAACCATGCCCGTTGATGACATCTCCGTTGCTGCTGGTGCGGTGAAGGTCGAGTTTTGATGCGACATGCAACTGAGACAAGAGAAACGGCCTGGGCCTTCTGGGGTTCGCCGCTTCCCTCATATCTAGATATGACGAGTCCCTTTGGCTGGAACAGCACAATTTCGCGAACATGTGATGCAATCGACCAGTGAGTGGCCATCTCGGAACCTCGCTGCGCGCCAACCACATCCGCATGGTGACATTGAGGCTGGCATTTGCACCAGATCGTAAAGCAGTCAAAAACGGATAGCGCGAGGGAGCTTGTCGTCGTCGTCCGGGGGTGCGTTTTCTTCACGCCCCGTGGATCGAAATTGAAAAGGCCCACGAGCCCACGCTACGATCCGGACCGACCGGACCAAAAACCTGGATCGGGTTCGATTTGCCCTGCCCTAGCAAACTTGCAGTCTTTGTTTCTCAAAATCTCTGTGAATTTCCTGATTCGTCTCCCAAAAGTCCAACGATGACACAGGCCAGCGTTGTTGTCTCTTGTCGCGTCTTCTACCGCGCCGCCGCCCACCGACCCGCCCCTCTGGGCCACCCCAGCTGGTTGACCCTTGAATGAACCAGAGAGGCGGTTCCGTGTGGATATATTATTAGACTTTTATGCGGTTGGTGGAGAAAAGCGACCCCAACAGGATGCGGGAAAAAAAGAAAGCAACAGGAATGAAGGAGCACCACACGGCCGAGACGAGTTAGCCAACCCGGCGATGGGCACTCTCTTTTCTCAAAACCTTGGACAGATAGCTTGTCCCAGAAGATTGGGTGGCGTGCCTTATTTGCGAGATTGGTGTCGGAAACCCCCCCTGGTCTGTGTTGCCTGCGATTCGCTCTTGTTCTCTCCACCAGGTCGAGGATACTGGGGGAGCTGGTTCGCCTGTAGAGATTTTTGTGATGAGTTATTTCCAGGCCTGAGATTTCTATTCTGAGAACTGACAGGTCTCGCCAGGGCGGTGTAACCAGTGACATCAAAGCACTGTGGGCTTGGCGATACCGACCGTCTTGTTGCGCAGAAACCACTTTTCAAAGCTACAGTACCCAAGTCACGCCGTCATCTTATTGACCTCTTGGCAGCCACGGCCATTGTCTTGCGCAAGCTCCAAATAACCAGCATCCCCATCCTCAAGGGAGGGGAAAGACATTGGTCCCAGGCATCTGGTACTGACAAGGCGGTAATAACTCGTGAAGCTAGCAGCGTTTTGCGGAGAAGGGACCGTTAATAAAAAAAAACAGGTACAACCTGCCTCGACGACAGGCTGGGAGTTCCCTGCGCGCGCTCCCCCATATTCGTCTGGTCTTCCCTGGGCGCAAAGGCGCGGAGAGATCTGCACAAGCTAAGACAACGTTCAGAAACAACACGATTGCCATGGCACTACGGCTCGTTGTACGAGCAAACGAGCAAGTCTATAGTCCCAGCCATTCAAGGGGTGCCAAAAAGAAAAAAAAGGAACAGAAAAAAAAAAGGGCACCAATTGGAGCTGGAAACCGGGTTTTTTGCTCAGCTCTTCGGAGCAGGACCCATCATAAAGAAAAGCAAATAACACCAAAAAAAAAAGTCGGAGAATACTTCTTGTTTTATCAAATTTGGAAAGCGGCAAGGCAAAAACTGCGGTATGTATCCTGCAAGTAAGCAAGCCACACCTCATCCTTATTATTATTGTCGGTACAAAAATCGCTGCCTCACTTGTTCGAGGCGCCGCCACGAGACAAAGTACACAGCGTGTGGCAGATTCGTGCATACATGGACAGGGATCTGTGACTGGACGAGATCGCTTCTTTTTTTTTCCCGTTTCGTGTTTTTGGGGATTTTCATATTGTTTTTTTCCTTTTTATATAATCATCAGCGGGCTCCTGCAGAACCTGCGCAACACTTGTCGACGAAGCAAGCAACCCACGCGCCGCCCACATCGCGGCACCAGGAGGGAGCCAATCCTTTTGCGGGGAGGGGGGGGGGAGTCGCTGGGTCGGACTGCTTTGAAGTTGCCCAGCCCTGGCTTTTTTGCAAGTGACCGTATTGTGTGCGTTGTCTGGCAGGTTGGGCAAAGCAAGCAAGCACGTGTGCCCTGTCAGGCTGTCATGGCCGCCTGCCTTGCTCTGCTCGTTCAAACTCTCGGCTTTCTAATTTGTAATAGATCAGCGATTTTAAACCCCCCAAGCAAAAAGTACAGTACGTCTAGGTGGCGTCATCCTGTCTAGGGGGCCGACGCTCATCAGAGTCATCAGACGGGGGAAGGGTTGACCTCCCGAGACAAGGTCTGTTTTTTTTCCTTCTCTTCCCCTCAGGAACAAGCATTAAACTTCTTTTTAACCGCAGTGAATGAAACACGGTGGGATAAGAGGAAATAAAGCAAAACGAACCGAACCGCGGCGCCATGGCGTAGCAAGCCCGTTTAATGACATGTAGGGCATATTGTACGGACTAGGCATCAGGGTATTAGCCTCTGTCTTTTCTGTTTTGTGAATGACAGGGCTTAAAACAAGGCAAAAGGCACACAGGTCTGGTAGAGGTCCCCCCTGTCCCTTCGCAAAATGGCTTGTTTTATTCTTCTCGTTGTGGAGGGTTGCATTCTGGATTCTGGGAGAGGCCAGTCCCGCGTGGGCAGGCCTGTTAGGCCACTTCCCCCCCGGTCGTTGATGAGAGGCGTGCAAGAATCTCCACAACTGGATCTGGCGTACTTTGCGTCCGTACGCTTGGGTCGCTCATGGGTCATCGCTCTGGGGAACACAAGGAGATCATGTGTGGGTTGAGATGCGAGCATTCTGACAACGGGGCGAATGGAGCATCAACTGGTTATCTGTAAAATTGCATTTCCAACGAATCCTAACTGAACTGCTCAAAGAAATCATCCTAATATCAATCCCCCGTGTTCATTGCCAGATCCTTCCTAAATGCCAAAACTATCCTGTTCTGTGGTGTCCAATCTCTCACCGCTTGCTCGCGCGGGTGTCCTTTCCATGTATAGCCGTTTCCCAGTCGCAAAAGGAAACAAGAATTTGATTGCAGCAAAATTCGACAAATTGTCAAAGCAAAAACGCCCCCAAGAAAGCCCAAAACCGATAATAAAAACAAGAGTTGGGAAGAATAGTTGTCGCTTGCGCAAAGCAGGCACGGGTGCCCAAAAAGTCAAAGCAAGATATCAAGATATATCAGATAGGTTTGCACCTGGGAGGATCAAGGCCTCGTTTCCTTCAGTAGCTGGTCTGCGCGGTAAAATAAGCAATTCGCCATTGTCGCTGTTGTCGCCGTGGGTATGATGCAGGTTGTTGATTAGATGGTCATGCGAGAAGAGGTAAAGCTGATGCTCGATGTCAGGTCCAAGAGGCGGTCCTTTTTCGTCGAGTTTGGTCGCTGTACCGTTCCACAGATCCCAAATTCCTAGGCCGGTATCTGGAAACGATGCGACGAGAACTGAACAGGGCGCCTTATCAGCTTGGCCCACGGAGGGTTGCTGGGAAATTGGCGTTCCCGGCAGGCGGCTAGAGACAGAACAGGTCAGACGGGGGAGGTGAGGGGATACTTTGGGTAAAACATACAGCATATCTCGTCGCCACTGGTAAACAGTTAGTACAAAAAGCAGGGGATGGGAATGACGGGTGGACGCACTGGTATTGTTTGCAGACTATAGTAGGCGGACACCGCTTCTCCGTCTCGATGTACTTGGAGCACCACGACTGCACCAGATGGTAATGATGCTGGCAGCTGAGTTCTCTCTGCAAGGCTTGTTAGAATGGTGGTAGAGGGGTGACAGGGCGTGGCGGCACGCACATAAATATAATTGCACATGGTGTCGTTTGTTGTAAAAGGTGATTTGGCGATGTAGGAGGGACAATGAGACCGGTGAGAGGTGGTGCGGATGATGGCGACAGCAATGATAAGAGGGCGGGTTTGAGGGTACGAATATGTCGTGTAACACAGGGGACGATGCCGGGAAGGCAAGATGTGTTGGAAGAGGCAGCAATGTTATATTTTTTCGGTTGAAGAGGAAAGAAGCAGATGGGAAGCAGAGGCGATGATGGGGAGGAGGAGGTTACAAGGCTATATACGGATTAAAAAAACAGCAGTTGCCGGGGTGTGTGGTGGTCATGGGCGTGTGCGGCCGCAGCGAAAGCAGGCCAGGCAAGAGAGAGGTGTACAAATTACATACTGGTATAGTTAGGGCTACCTGCTTCGAAAGGCACAAAATTGCACACTGCAACCCGCCCATCCGGGTCGCAGCCATGATTGGCAGTCAGACAGCGTAATTGTGGTCTGTGTTTTTCACTCGCACGAGCAGGGGGGGGGACGGGCGTGGTCCAAGGAGGACGAGGGGGAGCAAATACGCCCGCGGGTCTCTTGCTTGCCAGGGCCCCCAGCAACAAGGGTACGCTTTTTTACGGACAGGAATTTCCTTACGAAAACGGAGTACCTCTACGAATAATACAATGTACGCCGTGTTGCCAGTCCGGGGGTGGGGGTGGGAGACAAACGCACGCCGCCCCTGTACCAGCAGCAACCCCTGTTCTCCTCAAAGGTCGCTGCTCGGAGACGGGAGGGACCGATCACTAAAACCCAACAGACCTTGGTTGGCGAAAGAGTGTGTTGGAGGGGTCGCGTATTTTGGTCGAGGTGTGGCATGTGTCCGTCCAGGTTGCGCAAAAAGTGTTCTGAGGCGGCACACGTTTGTTGGTGATGTTGGATGGTTTGGCGGTGGGGCGTCAACGACGGGAGGTTCCTTCAACTTTTGGGTACCTGTTCGGTGCATCCCGCGTACCGTCCACGCACTGTATTCTTACTGTACGGTCACACCCCGTGGACCTGTGCGTCAAATACAGTGCCAATCCAACCACTCACTGTGCGTACACCCCTTTGAATCTTTGAATGGCCAGCCGGGTCCCTGCTGAGGTAGCGCCTTCCTGCTAATCTGTAGCATCTCTAGAAACAGTGCAAATTATTCACGGGTAGCATCAACCTGCATCTATCCGTCCCTATACCCTATACACAGACGTACGGAGTAGTCAAACGTCCCTCATCTATCCTTGCAAGCACAACATTGGCCCTTCTGCCACTCAGCATCACGCAACCAGGCGCGAAATAGCTGCCGTGCGGGCCGTGGCGCGCAAAGGGGGACAGCCCCCAACTTTACTTTTACCTTTTGATCACGGTCCGGCGGCGACAGTCCGCTCGCTGCTATCCGTCAGTGCTTTGCCATGTTCCAGCCCCATTTTCAGGCCTTCGCTATCCAAGCCATCAAAAAGCCAAAAAGCCAAAAGCCAAAAGCCAAAAGCCAAAAGCCAAAAAGCCGCTCCCCCAAAGTTGCAACCTACTTCGTCCCCCATACAGCCTAACTCAAAATTACATCAACGGACAGAAGGCCATTGGCGGCACTCGCACCCCCCTCGTTCCTCTTTAACAACATGCAAGCTTCCCCGCCGTACGGCAACTAGAAAGAGCACGCAGGAGGAAGAAAAGATGGCGTCGGATTGACATTGCACTAGTTGGCACCGAACCGCCATGCACGACTCTTGACCGATTGCTGGCCACGTCCGCGATGCGCTCTGCAGCGCTGCCCAACAGGGTAGTGTGCTGCAAGGGCCCATGGCAACTGGCAACGTCAGACGTGATGTGCACGAGGATGTTCTCGGCACGTCACCTCCATCGACGACGGCATCACCACCTCTTGATTGGGCCGCCCCGTGACGAGTTTTACCGCCTATCCGTACAGACATGCCCTTCAATTTGCAGCCCGATATGAACAGCGAATCGCAATAGGATGAAAGAGAGAACCCTTGTTCCTTGGGCTCTGAAGCCTTTCGGTTATACCGTCTAACTGACTGTTTCTCGTTCTTCTTCTGTATTGGGCACACCCACCACCCCTAACTAGCCTCTTGGACCCTGGCTCAAGTACATGTGCCGAAGAAAAATGGTTCGATTTGACCAATGCCGCTCGGATAACCGCGTCCTGCATCGCCGTTGAAAACCAAAATTTCCGCAAAAAAGGCCCCAGTCTATGCAAATGGAAAACGGTCATCAGCATCTGTGCGTTCCCGGCATTATCGTGATAGGCCCTGTCCTCCTGTCAGCGGTCAACCCGACATGCCCGCGCCTCTCCAAGTCTGTCTGAAGAAACGCAGACCGACCAGCTCAGCCACATCGTCCGGCTAGCGAAAGACCAGATAAAAACACCAAGCATCGGCAATGCCCTCTGAAACGCACGCCAGTCAAGGCCAAGCTCGCCCCTATAAATACTAGCGATTCCTTGACCACCAGCCGCTAGGAGCCGCCGAAGTCTAGAAGCCTGCTTTGTTCTTCGAAGCTTTATCTGTGCGCTGCAAGCTTGAGTAGATCAGGCGATTTGGAAAGCCAAAGCAGGTGTCATGCTAAATAGGATTGGCTCCTACGGATTACCCTGGAGTAACCCCGTCGTTCACTTGGCCGCGGCAACTCTTGGTAACTCGGCCGCTCACCAGCAAACCAGAGTTAACTACTCAACTCATCACTCCTCACCTCCTTTGGTTGGCATCACAAGCTAGCGGCTGGCTGGTCCATTGCGCACGTGTGTTCGACCCTTGTGACAAATACCCCCTCAAAGTGCTGCTGTTTCAACTCTGCTGTAGCCTCCCAACTCGTTGATACGAAGGCTTCTCGGCTGGGCGAGACCACGTAATGCTCCGTCTTACTAAAAAGTACGTGTTTCTGACCAAGCCGGTAGTCCAGCCCACCTCGCGTCAACGATACGTGGTACGTGTGCTTGTACAAAGCCTTTCGAGACAATCGCGGGGACATTGCGCACGATGCCACAGTAACTACCCAAAACACGCCGAAGCAACGTAATCCTGTTTTATTATTTCGACAAGCCTCAACTGACAATAGCAATACCGGGCAAAGCCGCTTCTTTCGCCCCCAGTGTCTCAAAGCCAATCACATAGCGCAGCAAGGATGTCTTTTCAGCGCAGCTCCGTTCCCATGGTTGCTTGTCGACTTCTCGAGTCATCGCTAGTATCTATCGCGACGGGGCACCTCTTGGGACCCTGATAATATTCCTAGACGTGAATCCCAGCCCCGTACTGGATTTGTCCCACAGCGGGGCTTGTGGAGGAACCAGGCGGACGGGTTGGGCCATACGAAGACACACCTTCTTGGCCAACCCAGTCGATAGGGTGATACACGGATATCTGATTCAAGCTAACTAACACAATGGTCTTCGATAGGGACCCTGCAATTTAAAAGCGAGGGAGTCACCGGAGCCTGAAGTTGGTTGGTTGGGTAGTATCTACATACAGATACAGTCGTGACATATCCGCGGAGCTGACGCCATCTTCAGTGGCCGATAGACTGAAGAGTCGCCTACATACATACATACGTGCAGCGAATCATACGCCTTGTGGGGGCCACGCACTGTTTGTGATTTCCGGACAGGAGGACTCCGATGCAGTGGCAATATTGGTACAATTGGCACAATTGGCTCTCCTTGGTGTCGTCTTTTATTCACACTTGGCAACATGATTCATCCGGATCAGCAAAATATTTATACAAAAAGCACACCAAACGCCTTTCAGCAATGCTCACAATCATGCGACAGCCACAGCTCCCACTAAGGCATCCATGGCGCTGCTGTGCGCATTCCCAATGGGTTTATAAAGCGGGCCGTCCCATGCAACACCCAACTTGTTACTATCCTCGTCGCGGTCCTTGCTCCAGATGGAATCAGCGTTGTGTGTGAGGAACTTCTTGATGTTGCGGCTGGGCGCAACGTCGTTGAGGTAGCGCAGGTTGCGGGCATAGACGCCCTTGAACTGTGCACCATCCGCGCCACAGTGACCGTCGTTGTGCTCGCATCCGTCTACCAGAATGCCGTTGCCATTGACCAGCTTCTTCATCGACGCAGCCGCGAGGCTGTTGGCACGGTGAAGGTAGTCGTGGTTCCCAGTGGCCTTGTACAGCTCGACCAGGCCACCCAGCACGACGCCCTGGTTATACGTCCAAGTATGCGCGCGGTTGTTGCGACACTGGCTGTCGAGGCCGTCGTTGATGAGGTTGTCGGCGTTGATCATGCCGCTCTTGGCGAACCACGTCCACTGCAATTTCGCAATGCGCGTGTACATGTCCTTGTCGCTCGGGACGCGGTTGGCGAGCGCGGCGGCGACGGACAGGTAGAGCTCGTTGGCAATGGCGTTGACGTACGTGCGCTCCTTGCTCCAGTAGATGCCGCCGCTGCAGTTGGTGCCGCCACCACCCTGCATGTCGTTGAATATGCGCACGGCCGAGTCGAGGTACTCTTGGCAGTGCGTGTAGTCGTAGGCGTGGATGAGACCGAGCGCCCACCAGCCCTCGTCGTCGTAGTACTCGTTGATGAAGTCGCGGAAGGCGCGCGATTGGAGGCCGGCCGCTGCGGCGGCACCGCACCCAGTGCCTTGGCCGTTGACGCAGTCTTGGGTCCTCACCATGCCGTCGCTCATCTGCGTCTTGGTCGTGACGACGCTGACCTTTTGCGCCTGCGTCCACGTGTTGCGAATGATGTCGGCGATTTTCAGGCGCTTGGCGTCAGCGGGCCGCAGCCGGGCCCAGTCGGCGAGGGTGGTCAGCGCGTTGCCGCTGTTCCACCACGCATTGTCCCAGAGGCCGGTGCTATTGCTGTACCAGAAACCCTGCAGTGCAGAGGCGGCGAGGAAGACGTGGTTGGCGTAGTGGTCTTTGCTACTGGTGGTGTTCTTGTAGTTGACGGTGGAGGCGGGGGCGGCGCCGACGACGGTGACCAGAGCCGCGCTGGCGGACCAAATCTTTGACAAGATCATTTTGACAACAGATTGTCTATATCTCTGGGAATTCCACAATGCAATTGTAGGCGAGCACGCTTACATGGTCGACAGGCGGAGTAGGGACATGCTATTCTCTATATATTGCGATTCAAGCGTTATAGCGGGCTATTATGCAACAAATCTCGCTACTTGGAAAAAATGGCCCGCGCCAAGTCTACTCCCTTTTTTCCGAGGTCGACTTGGTCCTTGCAAAAAGAGAAAAAGAGACCTGCTGATGCTGCAAGAGTAAGCCGATGCGGGAGATTTGGCAGAGAGTGAGGAACTCTTGGCCAAGCGGTTGGGCAACCACGCGACCACCATGGCGCAGACGCAGAAGAGACCGAGTTCCACCGCCAAAAAGAAGGCCTTTGTCGGCGGCTCCCGTGTAGCTACTAAAGAACCGCCGAAGTGGGTGGGAAAGCTGGTTGGCACATTGCCACGTTTCTTTTTCTTGTTGGCAGCGTCAGGCGGACAGGGAGGTGGTGTTCAGATGACGCTCTCGCCCACCCCGTGGCCATTCATGCGCGGGGCTTGGTGGGCGGCGCAATGCTGCGCTGCGGTTTGATGTTTTTATTTGAATTATTATTTGGATTCGAAGACGAAAAAAAAGAAAGAAAAAAAGGGTCAAGTCTGCTTTGTTTTGGGCGAGGTTGAGACAAGACTGACACAAGTACAATGTGTCGCGACGGTTTGTGCTGATCCGGGCCTTGAGCCGTCCCGAGCCCCCATCTGTGTCAGTTCAGCCGTCTATGGCCGTTGGATTTATCCCGGTGCCACGCACCCAGTTCAGACGGGTATCAAACTCTCTTCTTATCGAGCAATTTTTGGGGGTTTTCTTTCTCACGTAGTCTCTGCAAGTAAATACATTTCCAACCCTTGATGCAAGGAAAATCCTTTACATACCTGACCCCCCCGTGTTTGCACGCGGGGTATGTGTACATAATAAGTGTACATAATAAGCTACACCGCGGCCCCCAAAATGAGGCTGTAAAGACAAATGGCGGGCGCAAGCCTTTTGCGGGGGGGGGGGCTGGGATGGTGACACAAATGCCAGGCAACTGGCGCAGCCCTTCTCGCTATCTGTCTCCATCTCCGTCCAACACTGCAGCGGATTCTACGATAACCAACGACGGAAAGGCATACGCAGAGTGGCGGACCATGATGCTGATATCTGCCCCCCCGGCTCCTCCCTTGGGAGCACTTGATCAGGCAAAGCTATCAAGAGCAAGTAAAAACGGCTTTTGGTACGCCGGCGCGGGGCTAGGAGGGCCGTGCTGTCAAGAAGCTTGTCAATTTGAGACAAACTGGGGCTCGCCACAACGGCCCGGACGGCTACATAGATGCACATCTGTCGCCTTGACGTCTTGTTTTATCGCACCATTCTTTTTTTAATGCCGGAACGGCTCGCGTTGTTGATGCAAACGTATACGTGCAATACAAAATAGGTCAAAGCAACAAAGCCGGACGGACTGTTTTGGTTCTGTATAGTTTACAGCTAAGCCGTGTTTTATGCAAACCCATGCAGGTGAAATGAGGGATTGCGGGAACGAAAAGTAAGCTGATTTTGGTTGAATTTATTTTGCATTGATTTATTTTTGCCCTTGTTGATATGTTTCCTACATATTGATTGTATCTTCTCTCCGTCCATTTATCATTACTCACCAGCGTCAAGGGTAGATGACAAGTCGTCTCCAAGTGGCCGTTTATTTTTGTCCAGCAAACCAACCCGCCCTGCCCTATAACGGGTGTTGCTATATTCGGGGCTCCTGACACAACACCCACGCCCACGGTGAGCAAAATAAAACAAAAACAAAAAAATCCAGCTGAACAGAGCGGCTGAAGATGGTTAGAAAAGAGGCAGCCCGCCCTCTTTGCATAGATATGCCGTCATGGACGAGGTTGGCCATGTCTAACCTACGCCCCCCCACCCATCCCAGCGGTACGTTTGACAAGGAGCAGGCGTTGAAAGCCTTGCGAGTAAATTTGACGGCATTCCCCGTCTTATTGGATGGAAAAAGAGCTCTAATACTAATTTAAAGTACCCAATTTTTTTCAGCTTCACAGCCAGAGAGCTCCACGTCTTATTAGGCCCGCCACGTGTGGAAGTTGTGAAAATTACCCTACAGATCTCGATTCCACCCCCCCCCCTCTCTCTCGCCTCCTCTACGTGGCCCGCCTCAATCCCATTTTTTCCCAGTTTCTCGGCATCAAACAAACATGTTATTTTTCTTTTGGTGAGATGTGACAGAACCTCCCCGTGGTGGGCTCCGATTTCTTCGTTGGCGTTTTCTGTGGCCCGATGCAAGCGGCGCGTCCGGCCATCTGGCTTGCATGAAAGATCAACTCGTTGCCGCCCCCTTCTTTTTGACCTAGGAGGAGTGGAAAAACGTGGGAAAACGTGCCCCCTTTTTTTTCGTCCCGCACTTGCCGTCCGCGCTCCCGCCTCTCCAACCCGGATCCCGGCCACCTCGACTTGCTTGAACGCTGTTTGGCTGTCCAGGGATTTGCTCTAGCGTGAGCGCGGAAGGCGCGGCGCAGGGGGCCAGCGTCACCGCAGTAAGTCCCGGTCACGTCTCCGTTGGTGAAAAATAAGTCGCATGGCAGACTTTGCCTATCCGGCTTTCTCGCTCAATTTAAAATAAATAAATAAATAAATAGAAATCAGGGGAGGCTGTGGAGTGTGGAGTGACAGCAACAACTTCCGGATCGGAACGCCCGGTTGTTGCTACTGAATCCCTTGAAACAACTTTCCCATCCTCTATTTGTTTTGAAACGTAATTGTAGTTCGTTAGCAAAAGGACTACCCCTCTTGTGCGAACGGACGGAAGAAACGATGGCATATCTGTTGCGCAGTCTCCGTCGCGGTCATCTTCCTCCGTCGACGGCAAAGAACGAAGTGCCCGTCCCCCGACAGAAACCCCTCGTTATGAGGAATATTCCGCCAAGTTTACAACTTGTCCCGCGGCCACGGCACGTAACTCGGCATTTCATCCCATGGCCGTGCGTAGTTGTTTGTAATAACCGACAGCACACTCCTCCAGAGCGCGCACCAGGCAGCAGTCTTATCTACTGGCTCCGGCGTGTCGATACAACTCCATTCGGCCTCTTTGCCCAAACGTGGTCCCCATCTCCGCGTAGAAGAAGACGAGGGCATCTTCGGCGGGGCCGAGGAGAAGCCAGCGATGTCCAACTGCCTTGGCCGAGAGCTGATGGATTCAGTACCCGATAGAAGTTGGTTGTAACGCGATTGTGCCCATGCGAGGTCCTGGCGATCCACGTGGTTACTTATGGAAGCTCCGGACTTTGCTGGCCGCCCAAAAATCATTGCACCCATGATGGAAATCACAAATGTATTACTTTTTATATAGAACGAGACATCTACCATTGCAGATACCCTCCCCGTTGCCAAATACCATGCCTATCTTCAGGCCCTGCCGAATCCAAGAACAATGAGCCGCCAACTTTTCACAAAGACCACCAACACACGGGCACTATTTCTTCTCGTCCTCCGCCATGGCATCAATCGCATCCATTGCGTCCATGAAGTCGTTGAGCTCATCCTGCAGCACCCCTAGCGTCTTACCGAGGTCACCCTCTTTGATCTTGAGATTGTCAAACGAAAGTGTGGTCATTTCCACAGCCACATTGGCGCCGTCAGCGCCGTCAGCGCCGCCTGGCACCGATGCCGGGCCGCTGCCGTTGGTGGCCGCGGCTCCGGCAAGGCCCAGGAAGACGGTGGCGTCGCGAAGCCGCGACAGGAACTGCATGGCCAACTGCACCGTCAGGGACATGTGAAATGCAGGGTGCGCGCCAATCGAGGCCGCGCCGATATTCATCTCGGGCAGCAGCCAAGCGGCAAAGGTATCGTCGCTCTTGGGATCCGCCCTGGCGAGCACGGCGCGGACGTGCGTAAAGAGGTGCTGCATCACGTCCAGGAGCTGCGCGTAGAGGGCCACGGTAAACATGCCGTTGGCAAGGTCTCCTGCGTCAATGGGACAGTCTGCGAAGCGCGCGGCGGCGGCCGAGGAGGAGTCGCCGCGGGGGGCGCTGCTCCTTATGGCCACGACGCGCTCGAGGACGTCAACGAACTGGTGCGTATGCTTGTACAACTCCGCAACGGTAAACTCGTTGGGCTTGCCGCCGGGGCCGTTGATGTAGTCCTGGCCCTGCTCAAGGCTCTCCAGATGCTGGGAGAGCACCCGGATGCGCGCGTAGATTTGGAAGAACTGGTCCATCATGTGCGACTTGGACAGACTGATGATTTGGGGTACCACAAACTCCGTGTAGTTGATCCGCACCTTGTTTGACCGAGACCTGCGCTCTGTCGCAGAGTACGCGGAGAATGTAGTGTGGCTCAGCACGGGGGCAGCTGGCCGTCGCCTGCTGCCGAGGATGGCCGCGGCGCGCTGCTGGTGCAGATATGGTCGTTGCGGCTGCTGCGAGGAGCTGAACGAATCTTGCTGGACGGCGGCAGGATCTGGTACAACAAGGGGCACGACTGAAACTTGGCCAAAGACTTGCTGTTGTTCTTGGTGGTCTTGGTGGTGGTGCAAGAGGTGATGGTGTGGTAGCTGCTGCTGCTGCTGTGCGTCCTCGTGTGACTGATGAGTCCAGAGGCTGGGAATGACTTGATGAAGGTTAAAGTAGTTGTCGGGTCCGAGAGGTATCTGCGATCCTAATAAATGGTTAGGCTGCACCGGGGGCTGGGACAGGGCCATGTAGCTCATATCCCGTAAGTTCATTGTATACTCGGCCAGCCCTATCGACCCGTCCGGCGCCGTCATTAGATGGCTCTGCAAGCCGGGGTTGATGGTCGCGTCAGTTGCTAATAGCGGAAGTCCTTTCACAAATACATCTGTCAATATCGCCCATCCTACTTCAGAAACAATTGGCAATCATGTTCAGGGGTGGAGGAGGGAGGCTGTTCTGGGGGACACCTACCCGCTTCATGTGGCACATGATCAACCTCACTTCCCGTCCTCCTCCGCTTCGGAGAGCGGCGCTCTGTACTATCCTGCGACCCAATATGTTGATGGATTTCCGGATCAAGCACATTCTGGCATATGGCGCCCTGCCCCTGCAAGTATCCCGGCCGTGGCGTGTTTTGCTGTTGCGGTTGCAGCTGCTCTCGGCTCTGGTACCGCTGCAGTGACGGCTGAGACGACTCCGACTGTTTCTGCTGCTGCTGCTGTGGTTGCGATTGCTGCATCTGTTCCTGCGCCTGGTCGTTTTGCTGTATATGCTTCTTGTACCGGAGTGACGGGCTCGACTTGCACTCGGCATTGAGTCTCAAACATCGGTCACAAACCCCGTCTCCGACTCGCTTGCAGCTGAGCTTCTGGGAGTGACAGCGATCGCAAGCTCTTCTGTTCAGGCTTTCGGACATGTTCGGCGGGGGGAGGGGACACCGGCGTAGATGGTAGTGCGTGCGAAAAAGAAAAGTCACAGACAATTGCGAGACCTGGCAAACCCGGGCCAAGAGGGGCCAGCGTTTAAGAACATCGATGCCGAACCATGGCTGGTCCCATCTGGCCGCCCATGGAGTGAGTGAGCGAGAGAGAGAGGCGAGAACGAACGTGGCTCGCAGCCGGCCCCAGTCTCGCGTGAAAGAGGCAAGAGTAAAGAAGCAACATGAGGGCATGTTCTTTTGACCAAGGGGCTGCTCAGCGACACACAAGATCGCCTGCTCCTAACTAGGTAGGCGATAATGCCACCGGAGGCTTGGTGTCACCGATGCGGTCAAGCTGACTGCCTTTGGAGTAACCATGGACTCGCTTGTTGTGCTTATACGACTTTGGAGGTGAGAACGGAGCTGGCGCGCCATCGGTCAGTCTCGTCGTACAATAGAATGCATGGGGGCTCTGCGCCAGAACCGGTCGGTCGGGTTGTAACACCAGATGATGCTATCTTTAGAGCATACACCATGGAGATTTTCGCTAAGAAGCGAGGACTTTCATGTCTACACTCATCATGTCGGCAGCCGCTCGTGTCTGCTTTCGGCAATATGCTCTGTCGCGCTCGGAAAAAACAATGACGTTGACATCTTTGCTTTTTGCGCCCAAAAAGAACTCAATTGTGCTCAGGGATAGGGTCATATATTTAATTAGCTGTAGACCGTGGATCTTACCAACGATTGGGTATAATTCCTGCATATTCAGAGCTCGTATAGCGAGAGTAGGAGCTGTTGCACAATGTCTCAATCTCCGCCCTCTTTTCCGTGCCTCGGGCCGCCTGCGAAGTTGTTTCGAAAGTAGGTCTCTCTAGACTGGTTGATCTTTTCGATGGGCAGGCATCCCGGGTGGAAATAGTCCTCAGTGTTGCCGAGAGGCCACATGATGGTGAAAAGCAATTCGTCGTGCGGGCAGCGTTGGACCTTCTTCCATTGGCTCCAGCCGAGCGTGGCTACCAGATCCTTGACATCCTGATGAGCTCTCTTTGCAGCCTTGTCCACCTGGGTCGATGTTGTGTCCACTCCTTCTAATATATCCTTTTCGGTAGCGGCACGCACGGCATTGTAGGACTGAAGTATGACTGAGCAAACGTTCTTGATAACAACTTCTATAGCCACTCCAATGAGCTCATCTTCCCTTGACCATTGTGATTTTTTATAGGTCGCAGGGAGAAGAGGCTGCGCGATGCACCTGGAGATCGCCTCGTCTAGCAATTTTGGGGTGAGCGGTGATTTGGAGTCCTTTAGCCCGGGCGCCTTGATATATGTTCTTGAAGCCGTTTCAAGCTCGTTAAGTAAGTGTGCCTGACTGATGTCGTCCGTATTCATGAAATCGAGTCTATTCGCGAATCGCCGAACAATCGTATCCGTCACTGCCTGCCAGTTGGCAGTAAATCGTCGCGGCTGGCGCGCCAAGAGCTCGACTTCAGGCTTGAGCTTCTGACAGTCTTCCATCCCAGCCGTCGCTAGACGCATCAGGTCTGGCCGCTCGGGGTCCATGGTAGTGATGTTGATTGGGTAAAAAAGCCCCGACACCATAGAGGAGTAATCAATCCGGAGTCGGTCGGAGCCAATGCCGTCATAGTCCTCCGCCACGGCCCTAGCCCACTGGAAGAAAACCATGCTTGAGTCGCTGACTAGGCCATCGTGAGTATACAATGCCACGCTGGCAATCATATCGACGTCTCTTGAGAAGTCGCAATGAATATACTCGAACCCAATCTCCATCCGGACGTAGCCATCGTATCCCCATTTCGTTATCAGCTCGCATACCTTTCTAGCTCTGGTAAACTCGCCATCCTCGAAATCTTCGTTTGTCTTTCCGTACAAGACGTAAAGTTCAGCATCCATGGTGCCCATGTCGGTCTTCCCTCCGGACATGCCGTCGATATAAAGCACATGCAGATCCTTGGTTGCCTGATGGCTCTGGATGTATCCGGCAGGATGGTGCCGTTCGTGGCCCCCGGTTACCTGCGCTCTCCGTCCCAGAATCTTCTGCGCAGCAGACAGGCCCTCCATTTTGGAACTTTTTTGTTCGGTTTGCACATCATTGCCGCCAGCGACCGGAAATGCCACGTCTATTGCGAAGGCCTCGGCGTGTTCAATCTCGAAGGCTAACCACTCAAACGTCTCGGGGCGCTCTTCCGTGAGGCCACCATGGTACAGGACAGTGCCAGCAGGAATAATAGCAGGGAAGAAGCTGAATCCATTATGATTCATGGCAGAGCCCCATTGGCGGCCGGCGTTGTTGATGGCTCGAAAGATGGGGTGCGCGCGGGCGCGGGCGCTCTCAACGGTGGGCTGCAGCCTGTCATCAGTGTGCCCCTCCGCATGCTGCACAGGCAGCCAGATGCAGCCAGCCAGCACAAAATTGGCAATTGAGTATAAACGCATGCTGATCACTTGATTTTCGTCTTGTTTTCGACTGCTTCGGATGCCAGTTGCAGATGTGGAAGAGGAAAGACATAACAACCTAGGTCTGCGCCCCTGATCCATGGACAACTTGCGGATACCGACCTAACCCGAGGCCGCGTGGCGGCGATATCGCAATACGGCGGAACGACATTACCCCAATTAGGTAGGTAGTGAGGCTCAAGGCATTGCTGACTTGACGTGACTATTTGGAACTCGGAGATAGCCACGTTTCGTAACAATTATTATTTTTTTGTATTTGTGGTATATCATAAGGTACACTGGAATATCCATGACTGCACACGGTCGGTCTTGAAGCATCGGTCGGTCCTTAGTGCACTATTTCTCGAAGCGCTTGGCAACGGTTCCCCAGTTGATAACGTCCCAGATTGCGCTAAAGTATTCGACCTTGCGGTTCTCGTATTGCAGGTAGTACGCGTGCTCCCAGGCGTCGATACCCAGTAGAGGCTCGAGGTTGCCGGTAATGGGGTCTTGGTTCGGGCGAGTGACGACGCTGAGGGTGCCAGAGGTCTTGTCCTTGACCAGCCAAGCCCAGCCGGAGCCCTGGATACCAGCGAGCGCGGCGTTGGTCTGCTTCTTGAGATTGTCAAAGGAACCAAAGTCCTCGGTAATGGCAGTCTGTAAACGGTTGGGTCAGTCAAGTGGCCAGTAATCGGCCGAGCGCGACGAATGTTCGCAGTACATACGGAAAGCTTGCCAGCGGGCTCGCCGCCACCACCCTTGCCGTTGGGGGCAAGGTTCTCCCAGAAGAGGGAGTGGTTGATGTGGCCACCACCGTGGAAGTTGAGGGCAGGGGCCTGGGCCGCGGCAGCCTTGGAGTCGTTCTTGGCTTGGGCCTCGGAAAGAGCCTCGACGGCCGCGTTGAAGCCGTTGACGTAGGTCTGGTGGTGCTTGGAGTGGTGAAGCTCCATGATCTTGCCCGAGATGGCGGGCTCGAGAGCGCCATAGTCATCTGATTGCGGCGTTAATGATTACTCGTGCGCGTAGCTGACGATGGTGGTGCAGCCAGTTGAGGAACATATCGGCCGAGAGAATGCCCGGGGCATAAGGGCCACTTACATGGCAGATCGGGCAGGGTAGCCTTGCCGCGGACGAAGCTTGTCGAAGCCATAGCGACAGCAGGCTTGGAGACGGCGCGCAGGCCGGCGCGAACGGCGGGGGTGGTGCGGAGGAGAGACGAGGCCATTTTGTCGACTTATGGAATGAATATCGGCTCTGTAGAACCGGATTGTAAGTATTGGCTCAATTGTGTTTGTAGACGGCGTTGTCGCGCGACGAGGAAACTCCGGCGCAGACGAGTTGTGCTTCTGACGGAATACAAGCGCGGGTGAAAGGGACGATGCGCATCCAATCAAGCTATACAAGAAGCGCCAGAGCTTTAATAGACCCGTGGGGATGAGAAGGCTTACCAATTGGACTGGTGATGGCGGGAGAGTTGATGATGTCAAGTCGGAAAGCCGAGCTATTTTTCCCCCAGCGGCCGATGGGCTGGGGAAAGCTTCTGATGAGCTCAGCTTGTCGTCATAATTGGCTTCAGTGAGGTAGTTCCAGTGGTCACAGGGATGGTACAAACGGAGATGACCGCTGTAAATCGCTCCGGTCAGCAGCAAGTCCAGCGCTTTGCATTACTAACACCGCCCCACTATTTGGTCTAGGCTTTTCCAGCGGCTTTCCAGCGGGCTCGGTTGGGATGGGGAAGCCCGCTGTCGCCCCGACGTTCCCGGCTGCCGTTCGAGCCCCCTCCCTTGGCCGAGCGGCGCCGACTCTTCGGCCGATGGTTGATGCCCGTGATAGCGCGGGTGTGATGCGATGGTAGTTGCAAGACTTGGCCATGACGTATTTTTATTTTATACTCTGCTCAACTTCACGAGTTATTCCCTGCAACGCCACTTCTTGTATGATGAAAGGGCTCAACTCTCATGTAAACAGGTACCCAACGACCTATGTAACCGATGAGAAACCGCTGGCATTATCTACCTAGGTAGGTACCTATGTACCTAAGTATCGCGATAGCTTTTGGTCACCATGTACAAAGCCAAAATAGTACATTGCAGCCGGGCTGCTTACATCCTAGTTATTAGGAAAGAAACCCCGCCAATGCATTATGACAAGGGCCAAGATACATATCTGGTGGCCAGCAGCAACGGCTTTATATTGCACCACGACTCCACCCAACGTGACACCCACCATCGGAATTGCCGTTTATGCTGCCGATTTGACGATAGATCTGTTCGTGGCAAAATTCACATTCGTTGTCGACCATCACATAAATTCTCCAGAGAGTTGCAATGTAGTCACAATAAGAACCAGCCGGCAACTGAACCCATATTTTACTCGTTGACGAAGATCTGGTCGCTTACACGCAGGTGTGTTGCTATGGCAACATCCACCACCTGTCACCTCCACACTTTCGCACCACCAAACAACCCAGCTTCACCGTCCTGCACACGACAACGACGTTGAGATTCCCCAGGGCTCAATTGGCAGGCATTATCACAGGGACGGATCTCTGTACCTAGGCTGGCAAGATGGCGACAATAATTCTGCAGCCGAGGCCTGCGACGCTCTTCGCCAAGGTGCGACCGCTGGAGGACTCGACGCAGCGCAAACAGCTCTGCTCCAAGCGACCGATACGCCCGAGCCAGGCCTTTGCAGCCAAGACGCCGACCGCAAGAGCCTCAACAACGGGTGCGACACCCGCCTCCGCCGCCGACCACCGTCAACGGCCGAAGCTGCACCTGGGCCTGTTCGAGATTGGCAAGCCGCTCGGCAAGGGCAAGTTTGGGCGGGTGTACCTGGCGCGGCACCGGACGTCGGGGTTCGTGTGCGCGCTCAAGGTGCTGAACAAGGACGAGGTGGTGGCCGAGGGCGCCGAGGCGCACGTGCGGCGCGAGATTGAAGTGCACAGCCAGCTGCGGCACCCGGCCGTCATTGGCTTCCACGGCTGGTTCCACGACTCGCGGCGCATCTTCATCATCCAGGAGTTCGCCGCCGGCGGCGAGCTGTACAAGTCGCTGCGCAAGGCCGGCCGCTTCTCGCAGCGCCGCGCCGCCGCGTACGCCGCGCAGGTCAGCCAGTCGCTCGCGTACCTGCACGGCCGCAACGTCATGCACAGGGACCTCAAGCCCGAAAACATCCTCGTCGGCCTGCGCGGCGAGCTCAAGCTCGCCGACTTTGGCTACAGCGTCTACGCGCCCAGCAACCGGAGGCAGACGCTGTGCGGCACCCTCGACTACCTGCCGCCCGAGATGCTCAACCAGCGCAAGCCCTCGTACTCGCGTGCCGTCGACCAGTGGACGCTCGGGGTCTTGACGTACGAGTTTTTGACCGGCGAGCCGCCGTTTGAGGAGGACCAGATTCACATGACGAAGAAGAGGATCGTGGCGGGGGACATGAAGCCCCTGCCGTCATCAATATGTCCCGAGGCACGGGACTTTGTGCATTCGGTTCGTTTGTACCTCGTTGTCTCGATGCCATCGCGTACTAATACCCCCTTGTAGCTGTTGCAACAGGATCCGGCGAAGCGATTACCACTAGCAGAGGTTATGAATCATCCGTGGATAAAGAAGTATTGCGCAAAGCAATGATTGCATACAAGGAGCATACTGGCGTTATTTTCATTGGGGGCTGGCGTTGTGGGTTTCCTCGGCGTTGCCTGTAGGATATACAGGAACGAATTTGGGCTGGCATTTTAACAGTGATTTGCATTAGACATACAAAACCATGTCGCATTTACTTACGATCGACTTTCATCCTTCATATCCGTCCTTCATGAGACCATGCTTCGCGAGAACTTGGAAGCACGGTCTTGTCTACTTTGCGGCGCCAGTATCGGAGAGAGTGCCGATGTGGACCCTCATGCGCCGGGCTTACACTCGGCTCTCTATATGACGCTGATAGGTGATCTTGGTACATTGACGTTTGTGTGAATGTATTAACGGCTCCGCTATGCGTCTAGGTATGACTGCTGTCGCTTCAAAGTTACATTGTCAGCTCCGATATGCTCAACTTGAGCTCTCTGCAGACAGCCTCCAGACTCGCGTTTTGAACGCCATCATACCACTCATAGACATCGAGCAAATGAGCGCCAAGTGCTCTTTCTAGCCCAGCTTGGTCAGGTTCACGATTCTGGATACTCAGATTCTCGTCTGAGCTGGACGCGGACAGGTTCGAGCGGAAGATGCCAGCCGCAGAGAAGGGCAGGAAATCCTCGTATGTAATGGGTGCAGCCTTGACGTGGTTGTCCGCCACCAGTTGTTCAAGCAGCGTCGTATGTCCGCCCGTGACCACCGGCCTCTTCTCCGGCTTTTTGACAGCCCGATACTGGCAGTAAATGAGACCTTGCGCTCGCAAAGACTCCCATGTATCCGGAAAGGCCGCAAATACATTCCGAGCGACAGCGTCCGCCTCCGCAGGGCCGAGCCCTGCGGACTTGGCCGCGCTCTCGGCGAGAAGCGCGTCGTACAGGTCCCTGCCCGCCGGCGTGAGCGCCGCCCCGCGCTGCTCAATCTCGCCGAACCGGGCGGTGTGGGTCGAGGGCACGAGCGAGCCGGCGTCGGCGGGAAAGCTGACCTGCTCCTCGAGGGCGAGGAAGCTCGTCTGGCGCAGCAGGATGGGGCACGTCCTCGACGGCGGGCCTTCGATGCGCTCCTTGGCCCGCATGCCGCTGCTCAGCATCGCCTGCTGGGCCCGCGATATGTCGAGCGTGCGCGGGGTCAGGTGGTTGATGTGCGCCGTCTTGAAGCACGCAATGTCGGCGAGGATCGGGTGCTCGTCCCTCAGCACCTGGTATTCCGTGTCTGTCGAGGCGGCGACTGGCTGCCAGCTAAAGGTGCGGAGCGCCTCGGTGATGAAGACGCTGGCCTGTCCCTCGGTGAGCTGCCCATCCTGGGAGTCGGCCGTGTCTAGCATTTGGAGCAGGGTCTCTGAAAAGAGGTTGCGACGAGAGAGAAGCGCCTCGGACAGCTCCCGGGCTCGTTCGGACGCGAGGAGCTCTGGGCGGAGTAGTGTCGTGAAGACACGAAATGGGGCTTTTTCTAAGCTCGTGGTCGAAATTGGCCGAAATGCCGTCGCGTGCATAGGAAGACCGGCGACGGAAAGGTCGTAGTATCCCACAGGGTGCATGTCCAATATCTTGAATATTCGGCTGATTGTGCGCAGCTCATGGGCGGTGCCCAGGCGGATCGCACCATGTCTCTCAGCTGTTAAGCGTTGTAGATTGCTGGTTATGTGGCTGGACCTGATCAAGTCCTGATTGATGTCTTGAACGATTTCGATCAAATCGGCATATAAAGGGACCTCTGCTTTGTACATGGCGGACATGGCGGTTGCAAAGTCGGCGCGCAAGTCCGACTTGTCAACATGCGCTTTTGGCGGCGCCGACAATCCCATGACGATCGTAGAAATGATGGATGGTACTGAGGGAGTAACTAATTGACTAACCTATCGAACTCATCGTATCCGTTAGTGATGGCGGCAATCAGTTTTATAGTCGACGCGAACTCGTTATCTCGGAGTAGTCTCGAGAAGCTGCCCCACGGGCTTTATCACTACTCCGACAAGTAGTTATCGTGATTTACCATGTCACCGTGGTGGCGTATGATAGTCTGGTATGTTGAACTACTGTGTTTGTACTCTTATGGAACCAACTATATTATTCTGGACTTTGATGTCGTAAAGAATTTACAAAGGACCCCGGCAGATAAAACCGGCGTGTTGCAGCAACTCATGACTCCCGAGCATTTCGAGTCTCGCCTTTTAGCGACCCTATCTCAGCTGACGACCTTTTTCAGTTTTTAAAGGGGAACCCTGAAAACAGAGTGCAGATGAAACTTTTGCCGTTCTTGTCTTGCAGAGCGTTGAGAGTCAGCTGGAACATGTTGGCGTCAAGGGCCAAGTTGATGTGGCCAGCAAAGTCCAGCGGGCAGACGTTCTGGGTCAACACGTTATACACGCCAGGCTCGTTGATGAACGAGGCAGTTACGGCGGGCGTGACAATCGTGTCATACTTGGTGGCAATAATCGTGACCTTGTTGCCCGGCTGCACAATGGGGCCGTCGTTGAGCGCCTTGATCGCATCCCCATCAGCCACGTCGAGGCATGCCGGGCAGCCCACGGTCGTGAGGACCTTGTCCACCTCGGTACGGATCAGCAGCAGATTGGCAATATTGATGAGGCGACTAAATTCGGTGCCGTGGCTCGGCGGCGCGATGGCGACAATCTTGTCAATCTTGGCGCTCATCTTGCGCACCTTGGCCACGTACAGCGCCTGCAGGCCGCCCTCGGAGTGGCCGACGAGGTCGACCTTTTTCGCGCCCGACTTCTGCAGCACCTCGTTGATCAGGGCAACAATCTGCTGCGACGACTCGGCAACGCGCTGGACGCCGCCGACGGAGGGGAACGCGGGGTGCGCGCCGTAGGTCAGGCCGTAGGTGCAGTAGCCCTGCGGCCGCGCCCAGGCCTCGAAGAAGTTGAGGTCTAGGTTGCGGTTCGCGAACAGGCCGTGGAGGACGATGACTGGGTTCTTGTCCGACTTGCAGGTGAAGTCGTTGGTCATGATGAGGCCGGCTTGAAGGCTGGAGCGCGGCTGGGGCTCGGGGACCGGGCTCGCATCGACGCTGCTCAGCAAGGCCCCGAGGCCGTAAAGACTTCTCAGTAGACGCATCGTTGCTTGGGATAGGGATATAAATGATGGGAAGTTCGGAGAGACTCAGCAAGACGTCCGCTTTGCTTTGTACGCAGTGACAAAAGGCAGAGAGCTCTGAGCAGATCATGGTCAAATTACTGGGCAGTAGGTCAGCAACTTATATAACTGCCAGCGAAGCCAGCGCTTCGGTACTAATGGAACCGAGTCCCATTTAGAGAGTGACTTTTATCATCCTTGCCCAGCCCATCTAGAGCCTAGTCAGTCACCTGGCGCCAACTTGTGTCCAGCCCATCTGGAATCTAGATCGCCCGGCGCCATCTTGTATTCAGTCCCCAGCCTGCCCGTCGTCATACATTTGCTCCTCTGCACCTGTAGCCAGCTTCGGTAGCCTTTGCATCAGTTGCCCGAGGTCCCAAGAACACATAGTAAATAAACTATAGTGCAAGGTTGTGCGCAGCCGTCACGGCCTGTCCGTTCGTACGGTCGCGGCCCACATTGGCGGATGCATCCAACTTCGGAAATGATGTGCTAGTCCCCGCGATTAGCCATCGGTGAATATTGACAAGGTTTCAATGAAACAGACGGAACAGGAAGGTTGTTAAGACACGCTAGAGTACTACTCCAACATAAAAAGAAGTCATGACTCCTGAGTGAATGACTCCTGAGTGAGTGGCTGACTCGAGGAAAGTCGCACCCGGGTGGTCTTCGAGTAACTCGCAATTGACGCGGTTAACAGATTTATTGGTCACTGCTCTGTATGGGCAATAGAACATCGACTTCGGATAAATGGATCAACTGCAAAGAGATTCGACGTCGAGAACAAGCCTCAATGCCACCCTGATGGGGTCACTGAGCTGTAGAAGGCGGGGTACTTGGCACGCCAAACTTTGCACCAGCGTAGGTATCGACACATGTCGAAGGGAGAAAGATGACAATTAGCAGAAACCGAGGCATCTGGCCCTCTTGCGAAGACATGTCCGTCCTCCGTTCGGCGCGGGGTGAATCATTAGACTTCGGCTTGTTCCAGCGCCTCCCCCGCAACTACCCCACAGATGCCCGGGTTACCTTCTCCACGATTTGTTGGCGCTGTGATTGATCCAAAAGACCAGATGTTGGATGCCGGTGTTAAGAAAAGATACAAGGATCGGCGTGGTATAGCGGCGCCGTTCTGTACGACCAATGTATTGCTTGCGTGCTCATCTTTGGCGGGCTTTGGCGGCATCGCTTTCCCACAACCAAGGCGAGTAGCCACGGCGAGTGAAGTCCAAGTTTCCGAACAGTCTTGTTGTGAACATGCTTTATTGCTCTGCACTGAATCCATGTTAGCTTCCTGGGAAAATTGCTTTTGGGTCGGATCAAGAAGGACTGTCTGTGCCCATGTGGAATTGCGACCAAGACCAAGAAATGTGGGAGTTTTCTCCCAATTTTGGCACTCGAGTGCATACCCAAGTGATGAATTCTCAACCTTCTCTCGCAGTAAACATCTCTCGTAGTAAAATCTATCCTGACGACAGCTCTAGAGCACACAATGGCTTGACGAATGGTGAAGCGGGAAGTCGTGCTACAGTTGGGCCACTTAAAACCCCCACCAAACGCGTCAAAGCATCGCGCTCTGCCCCGCCAAACGCAACATCAACCTTGGCTTCAGCACAAAACTAAATGGCAAGATGCCATGAAAACACATCATGTCCTACTACGATATTGACGCTATCCTAACAGACGCCGAGGTATGTACGCTCCATCCACCCCCCCCCCCCCCTTCCGGGTCCGATTGCTGACGAAACCCGCCCGCAGAAGGTCCCGTGCCAGTTCGAGCTCGACGTCCCCTATCTCGGCCACCTCGACAACAACCCGCACGGCCTGAAACCCGGGACGCCGCTGCTCCTTCCGCTGTGGCTCGCCGAGATGCTGGCGCTCGCGTCGTCCGGGGGCGCCGACGGCCACGACGCGCCCCTCACGCTGCGCCTCCCGCCGTGCCTGGGCGAGACGGTGCTGGCCGCGCTCAAGGCCGACCCGCGCGCGGTGGCGCTGCGCGACCAGAGCCCGCACTTTTTCGGCGTCGGGGTCCGCATGCTCGACCTGTTTGACGAGCGCGCGCTCGGCATCGTGCTGCGCCGGACGTTTGTCGTGCGCGCCGCCGACGTCGGCGTGCACGCGCGCAAGGTGGACGAAGGCGGCGGCGGCGGCGGCGGCGGCATCGGAGGATTCGGCGAGGACTTTCTGCGCGGGCTGGACGAGTGGGAGCGCGGCGTGTTTCGGACTAGTCATGAGGGCATCAAGGGCGTGAA